TGGATGGTCGCGGGGTCCGACTTGTCGAATTCCTGGGCCTTCTCGATCTCCCTCTGGAACTGCTTCTCCATCTTTTCCATCTCGCGATAGAAAAACGGATCAAAGAAAGCAGGGGGTGCCGCGAACCGCTCGTTCGCCTCGCCATCCAACAGGTCCCCGTGGGCCAAGATCATCCGAACACCCTTGCGGATGTCGGCCAACTCGGCGGCGTCGATCTCGGTCGCGGTGTGGACGAACATCGCCTTGATGCGTTCGTCCGAGCTGTCGTCGAAGTGCTCCTTCAGCTGACCAACGAAATCACGGAACTGGCCAATGGCCAGGACGCGGATCTCGTTGGCCGTGCGAAGAAGCCCGCCGTACGCGTCCAAGGTGTCGGCAAGACGGTTGGCGGACTTGTTGAGATCTGAAGAAGTCGTCAGACGGACTCATAGACAAAAATGAAAGAAAAAGAGTGGACTCGTACCGTCCGCGCTCATCTGCGTGATGTACCCGAAGCGTTGCCCCATATACAGCTGCTCCGCGGGCTTGTAGCCGTTGGTGCAAGTCTGCTTATAGAGCACGCACGGGGCGCACCGATTGCCGTGGCGCCCGTCGACGCTCTTGAAGCAGACGCGCTGCCGCGTCACGCACATCGCGCAGGGCCTTGGCGCGACCTCCTATGAAAAGGGAATCAGTCGTCGAGGCATGGCAGAAAAAAAAAAAAGATAAAGGAACGCACGAAGTCAGTTGGCACCTCGACGCCGGCCCTTTCCAACTTCCCCGCGAACCCTTGGCGTGCCACCGAAAGGAGCGCCTCGGTGTCGTAAGCGGCGGGAGTGAACGGAGCTCGGGGCGTGGGAGCCGATACCTTCGCAGGAGTCTAGAAACAGTCAAGTCAGTAAGAAGTCGACGACAAGAAAAGTCGCGACTCACCGAGTCAGATTTCTTCTTGGCCGCCGCAACGGACTTTTCTGCCTTCTGGGCCTTGAGCTCGGCCTTGGCCGCCGCAACACTCCGCTCGCAACCAAGGGTCGCGGCCACCCTGCCCAACTCACTGCGTGGAGTCTTGGTAGCAGCGGGAGCCGCCTGGGCAACCTAGAAAAGAAAGAAAAACGACTTAGTCGACGTCTGGGAACCAAGATTTGTGTCTCACCTTAGCCACTGGGGTCGGGGTAGTCGTTGCTCGCGGGGCGCTCGCCTTGCGACTGGCCTCCACCTTCGGCACCGGATGGGGAGGCACGGACTTGGTCGACTTGGATGATCCATCCGCGACCTTCTTGATTGGCTAAAAAGCTGGATTAAGGGGCGTGGTCTGGGAAAAAGGAGTCGGCTCGCCTTGGGCTTGACGCGGGTCTCGCTGACCTGCTTCTTGGCCACGACGAAGTCGCCGGTCTCCTCTCCACTCTCGGAGGTGTCGTCCATGACGATGACGGACAGGGCTACGAAAGTATGAGTAAACGACAAAGGGGGACAAGAGGAAAAACGTACTCAGATTTGATCGCGCTTTCCCCTTGGACTTGGGCCCCTGTCAAAAACAAACCAACCATGAGACGAAGGAATCGCGATCGACGAACTGGGTCACTTACCTGAAGGGCCAGCTCTTCGGCCGAGGACGCGTCTCCCTCCTGAACCCCCTCGTCGTCGACATCCATCGCAGTGTCGGCGACGGCGGCGGCTTCCTCATCGCTGAGGGACTCGGGCTGCACAGGCTGTGCTTGGATCCGGGCTGGGAGGGTTCAAGTGGTTAGCCTCAAGATCAACGAAATAAGACATAGGGTGCACACACCTGCGTGCGTCTTCTTGTGGACGCGCTTGGGAGGTGATCCCTGTGGAGCAGGGACCGAGGTAGCGGCTACGACAAATAAGTCCCCACGACTCTGGTGAATGAAAAGAAAGAGCCACTTACAAGTAGGCGCATGGGACGACGCCTTGGGCTCCTTGGCAGGAGTCGCCTTGGGTCGCTTCCCGTGCGACTTCTCGCTCGACTTCTGGGCGACGGCGACCTTGCTGCCCGCGACGGCGGCAGGGGCCTGCGACTTGGAGCCGTCACTCTTCCCCTTCTGCTTGGCAGGCCGGGACGACGAAGGAGCGGCGACTTGCTCGGTTGGAGCCGCCTGGAAGTCGATCAGAACATAGTGAAACGAACGACACAGAGTACACATACGGGTTCGACGACGCGTTTGCGTTTCTTCGGCGGCGACGACTCCTCGACTGGAGCGTTGGTGGTCAAGGGTGCAGGCGCCGGCTAGCCCTTACGTTAGTGAAAAGAATGGAAGGCCAAAGCGAACAGACGCGGCAATCATTGATCGCCGTGACTGCTCGCTCCAGCGGGCTTAGAACGGAGCTCACCTGTTGGATCTGGCGGACGTCGACGGCCATCTGCCGCAACATCTGGTTGTAAGCCTCGGGGCTAGGCAGGTGGTGAGTTGGATCGACAAGCCATGAGAGAGACCTTGACTGACGGCATGAACTGCCGCCAGTCAATGGCAGGCAGGTTTGCTCCCGGGACAGCTGATTCGGTGATGGCTGATGGACGGTTAGCGTGGTTGAAAAGTCGCGGTAATCGTCTTGGGCGTCACTCACGGTTGTTGTCTTGGGGGCGGGGGCTCTGGTCGGGCGCGGACATGGTGGTCAAAAGGCAAGAGTGTCTCGTACTAGGGAGACTCTCGACCCTGAAAATTGAGGGCATTTATATGGTGAACATGCCGGAAGAAGTTTGATCGCGGCAGATCACGGAAGGAACCGAACAACCAAATGAATAAGACGTGGGAACATAACTCTATGTCTCCGCGGCTTTAATAATAAATGAACGAGACGTCGACTGTTGGACTTAGACCTGACGCAGTGAGACTGTCGCGGGATTGACCAGGAGGTGAAAATTAGTGTTCCTGGGAGATGATAGGCTGGCTACCAGACGCGCTCTGCACCAGCTCTGTAAGGGCGTATTTTTGCGCTTTTTACAGAGTTTACTCTTGAACCATTCGGTGTATCGTGTCGCGGTTGACAGTGTTGCGCTCAGTAGGACTTATGGGTCTACTGCCCAGTCGACGACTGTGGATAGTGTCGACGATAGCAAGGCAGTCAGACCACTACTGTGGAACTGGTCTTATGAGTCTACACCAGGCTCAGGGCCATTAGTGACGAACGCTTGGACCGCGACCATTCCCCAAAAAAGGGATCTGTCGTTGCGTCGACTTCTCAAAAAGGGTCATTCTCTGCAGATGGGAACTTGGGCTGAAGGGCTGAGCAAGGCGCGACGTCCTCAATAATAGAACTACTACTGGACAGGACTTGGCGTTACGAGACTTAAACCATCTTGTCGCGGCAACTCCCGGTTTTGGGTTGGACGTTTCCTCAGATCATGCCACGACGACAACTTGTCACATGTCAGGATCCATTCGATCACGGGACACTGTGGACGCGTCGCGGTGACACTTCCAAGTGTCACGGCGAGTCGCGCCATACCCAAACACACTAGAAACCGACACGGCTAGATCCGTGAACCGAACCATGTGGGGGACGACTGGCGTGCCTAGGGCCATACGGCTTCTTGGGGCGCCCACGTTGGTCTCACATGCCAAGACATACCCGTTGGCCAATCCAGCACATCGTATTCCAAAAGTATGACGCGGTGAGTTGGCCCACATCAAAAGTATCATATGGACAATGGGGCGGGGTCCTGATCACTCAGGACCTGTCCGATCGTTCAACTTTCAATTACCCTAAAAGGCAACCGATCTTAGATAGCGTAGCTACTATGCAGTTGTACAGGACTTTACTAAGCATCCTCGTAGACAGTATAAGTAGCACGACGTTTCTTTGTATTAAAAAGCTTTCCCCCGGACTGTGAATCACTCTCATTTCAGATTGTTTTGTACAATTTGCGTGCCGCGTGATTCCACCCTAAGAAGTTCTGCTACCCCTGCCCGGTCGCGACGAGTTGCTCCCTGAGCACTTGTAGCTACTGTGATTTGAGTTTGAGTTGAGACATCAGAAAGTCGGATTCGCCGCATCTGGTTTAGTCGCGGCATTTAGTGTCGTCGCCTTCGGGCTTTGTTGAGATCGTTCCACACCTCTAGCTTGGCAGTGCGTCGACTAGTTGTGCTCGGGTTGTTTTGGTCAGTTGGCAGTGCGTCGACTTGAGAACTTTGGTTCCACACTTCTTGCTTGGCAGTGCGTCGACAAGTTGTGCTCGGGTTTTGGACATTGGATATTGGCTGTTAGTTGGCAGTGCGTCGACTTGACATTTTGGTTCTACTAGTTGGCAGTGCGTCGACTCAGTATATTGGTTGTATCGGTTGGCAGTGCGTCGACTTGATATTTGGGCTTTGCGTCGCCATCTAGACGCTGTCGCTACAAGGGATCTTAATACTTCGTATTAAGCTCTGACTTGTTATATCGTTGGTTGTGGATTGTATTAGTGTTGGTTGTGCTTGTATAGAAGATATTGGTTGAGATACCATTGTTTGCTATATATATATCCCTGTCGTTGACTCCGTCTCCGCGACTATTGGATCTGCGTCTATTGAGAGTTGTGATACTGGTGCTCTGTCCACCCCGAAGCCCTCGCATCTTTCACACACTGAGAAGCTGATTACGAGGAGTGTGAACGTGTTTATATTTGGGTTTACTTTCATAGTAGATTCACTTGTGAGCACGCCCTCAGCATTTCACCGGGGTGTCCCAAATAGGAATCAAGTGTGTACATGCTGTGCGTCCACAATCGGGCTCATGGCTTATGGCCGTTGATCCCCAGTACCCAATTTGGGCAGGGGATTGCAGCTGTGCCTGATCCGGAGGTTCCAGCTCATGTAATCGTTAATATCAAATCACATGAGCTTGTCTCTCTTCTCAGCGGTCACCGGGTGGCATAAGAACACACATCCAGATGTCTGGCAGATCCCGCCATCGACAATCGATTTATGTCAGCACCGCCAGAAGTTGAGAAGCCAAAAGGGCGCAGAGGCCGTAGGGCCGGAGCTGGTCGTCCGCCCAAGAATCGCCACATCCCTCAAGCCTCGATGAAGGATCCAACCTCAAACGTGTATTGTCTCCGGCCAGGGGAGCCCATACCCACCTTCTTGCTCCCTCGAAACTCTTCCCGCACAGTTCCTCGCGGCGATTATGCTCCCCCGACATTGGGTCCAGCTGTAACATCCGCATCAGCCTCAGCTTCAGCTTCAACTTCGCGTAGCGCAACGCAACGTCTGCAAACTGTAAGGGCAACTCCTGCCAGCCCGAAGGAAGAGAGCACACAGCACACAACAACCTCACATGAGTCTGAGCACAGAGGGGGATCCTTAGAGACTATCAAATACAAGGGAGGTACGCTACTCACCTGAGCACAGAAGGGGATCCTTAGAGAACGGTTCAAGGATCCATGTGCCCAGGTGTCACACTATATAGTCAGCTGTGACAAGTGACTGATGATGATGGGATATCACTGCCATGGAACAATGGCAGATGACAAATAGATAATGACAAACCCAGATAAGATAGTGATCGGCTCAGAGGGGCCAGTGATGGCCAGCTCTTAGGACACCAACAGTGGAGGGCCACACTGGAGGAGCCCAGTGGCCAGGCCAGTGCTGGGCCAGCCAGTGGAGACGTTGGAGGCGAGGACCAATGCCCGACTGGGAAGAGGGGTGGTGCGGATGAGCGCAAGGCATCTGGTACGAGCCTGTACGGCAGTAGACCACATCCGCGGGGAGAAGGCCGAAGTAGAGGGGGAGGAGTGCGTACGGCAGTAGCACTCCCTGGTGCAAGGAATCGGGCTTGGCTAGACCGCTTGCGGGGATTCGAGGGAGATGGCCAGGGGAAGGAGGAAGAGGGCGGATGTTGGCATGGATGGAGATGAGGATCGGAGGAGGAGGAGGAGGCTGGGTGATCGACAGGTGAGCAGGCACGGGTCGGCAGAGAGGGCGCAGTGGGTCACGTGCATGGTCACGTGCCCAAGGAGCGCGGCGTCCCCTGACACAAACTTTATTTTGGGCAGGTCTCAGTGCGGTGCAGGGAGACGTAGGGCAGCGGAGCAGTGTTGGAGGTGCATCATACTTTGCATATCAACTGTCCTGTTTACTCAAGATCACCCAGGCCCTGCGTTGACTGAAGCCGACTGTCTTCGTCTTCAAGAGGCTCTCGAGTTTGTCAAAGAGAACGATGAGCATGCGGATATCTTGGCTCGCCGGGAGCAGGACATTGATGAGTCGTTGGTCAACAAGATTGTGGAGCGAGATGTAAGAATGGATGAGGATACGTTATTGGAGGAGACTAAAGCATCGGAGGCTGCACACGACTCTGTCCATGGCAGGCACTTGGAGGAGCTCCTCACGAGAGTCCGGAACAAGATTCGTGTGCACAAGATGCCGTCGTGCTATAAGAATGGCCAGTTGTATGATCGACCACCGCACCCAATCTTCACACTGCATCGTCAAGGAACGCATGGCTGTAGCGGGGGCCTCAACCCGAGCCCGCTTTACCTGCGCAAGACCTTCATCTGGCTTCCTATGTATCTCCCTGGTCATCCAGAGAAATTCATCTGCACCTGCGGGAGGTTGTTGTCTTCAAACGGTAATGCTATACTACTGCAGGCATTTCATATTGCTGACGGCTTGCTAATAATAGGTTACAACAATAATCCCATTGCTTGATGTGTTTGCGCAATGCCAAACGACTTCTTTCTCCTCACCAATCGATTTGTCTGCAACAAGCGTCGAACGGACAATGCTGGCTGCGGTGTTAGTTTCCAAGGCACCGATCCGCATATCATTGACCAGCTACCACGGTTTGTTCAAGTCGCGTTTCCTTGTATGTTTGGCTTGCAATTCTGCTCTAAATCTGACTCATGTCCTAGCGTATCTCTCTACACGAAGCACAGTATCTAAACTCGTCATGCACCAGATGACCAACACATTTGCATCGCGTTTTGGACCCGCACCCTTTGCGGAGCTGTTCTCGGAAATTCAGCACCGTGCGCACGCTGATGGTGAGATGATGTACCTCAGTGCGGCCAAGTTCTATGGTGTTGCACCAGCTTGGTCGTTCTCTGCCTTTGACGACCGTGACAACTACGCTGGCTCAACTTCATCCGTGGCGTATCTCAAAGCGCTGTTCACGGACTACATCTTGGCACACAGGATCTTCATTGATTGATTTGTTGCAAGCTTACCGCTCACCATTGCAAAAGCAGATCATACCTTTGATGTGAGTTTGTATTACTCAAGTTTGAGTCAAGCACTGCGTTAATTGGTTGCCTCCAGTTCTTGAAACACATGGGTGGCGTGAAGGGCGAGTGGATCTTTACTGCAGCGTACACAATCTTGAATGAGTTCGAGGAAGTTCATGCGCACTCTCTGACATTAACGAAGTCATTGTCCTTTGTCGAGGAGATATATGGTCAGCTCCTGCAGGGTTTGAGAGACTGCGGGAATGCAGCAACACAAATAATCTATACAGATTCGCCTCAATGTATGTGTCTCTCATGCATATTGTGCGTTGCATGCTCACAAATCTCTGCGAGTGGAGCGATCGTTCCATGAACGACTGAACACTGCCCTTCAAAACGATGTTGTCCCGGTCACTGACTGGTCTGATCTACCATGCTTTCGCCGTACATCTGATGTGCTTCCAGTCACAGTGTCTGACCCCATTGGTATCGAGAACGCCATGAATGAGATCTTACAGGATCTGCTGGTCATGTCAAGCGCATCAGCCTCCATGGGAGTGCTTGCTCTTGATCTTGTAGCTTCCAATCGCAAGCAAGGTCTACGGATAGATACCATGCATCTTCGCACACATAACCGTCTCCTGATTTTAAAAGTGCATGCGCTCTTCATTCCTTGCTCTCACACATCCTAATATGGCATCAGATGTCAGACTATGACCACCGTGCACAGTTTCCTCCATCTCTCCTTGCCATACTCACCAATTCATCCCTAATCAAAGTGGGATTTGGCATACGCCGGTCATTCCAGCATCTCATTACAGTCTTTGGCATCAGCAAGATTGAGACTGTACTGCGCACTCGGAGCAGCTCCATCTTTGATTTAGGAAAGCTCGCCAAGCTCAAGGGCGTGGTCAATGATGACAAGGCCTCTCTCCATGCCCTGGCTGGTACTGTGCTGAGGCAATCATATATGCCGTCGCAAAATGTATCGGGACTGTCTGAGGGAATCGACTGTCAGTGGCAGATATTCATTGCTCTGCACAAACGTGACGCAGTTGGACTGCCTCTGATGTCCTCTCAGTCTGAGATGGACAGACAGCTAGTCACACTTGTCCTTGCCTGTAAACCGGTCGCTGAGGGCTGCATCGTGGGTCATCATCCGGGACATTTGGATGTGGTCATGGATGCTGAAGGAACCACAAAACGGATCAACATGTCGAGCTCTCAGTCTCTGATTTTGCTTACAAAGGTATGTAGACTCCAAAATGCTGGGGATTTCTTGCAAATTCTCTATAGATGCTTGTTCCCGGCGCCATTCTCAATTTACACAAACAGACGCTGGAGTGGATTGTTGGTCATGGCAGTCAAGCCGTTGTCACAACGTCCCAGCTCCGGTCTCAAGGATCATCAGATCCCGTACCTGCTTGTTCTATTGCAGACTTGCTTGGTGTGCCGGCACCTCCCAATCCCATAACAGAGTATCCAGATTTTGAGCCATATGCACCATCTCCCAGCAACTTCGATTGCGCTGAGGAGGTCTGGGAGTGGGACTCGGATGACGACGACACTGAAGGTGAAGACGACTATGCGCATTTTACATTCAATACACTTGATTCAGTGATTCAGATGGAGGTTGATGAGGTATGCCGTATGCCTGCCATAAGCGGTTGTGTTCAGTCACTCGGCTGATAATATATTCGCTAGAAAGCTTCGGCAGACATGCTTATCACCAACTTCAATACTGGTGTTCACTTTGTCCATTGTGCATGCACAGAGCCCAAATTTCCGACACGTGTTCTTGACGATGCGCTCCACTTCATGGATCGACTCTTACGCTTGCTATCAAGGAAGAACTCAGCCTTCAAGGCATTTGCTCACGATTTCAGTGAGGCTATCTTTATCCGGGACCATGCAGATGAGACCGCCGTGCGTGCGGTCCTGGAAAAGCATGGCATTGTGTGGGAGTATGCCAAACGTGCAAAATTGGCGGTACTCAATCGGCGAATCCGACGCATCATTCCACCTAGGGACATCCTTCTGAGCCATCTGGACAAGCTCTTTGATGCTTACGCTGACCTTATCTGTTCAACAAAGTCCGCTTCAGGTCCATTCTTCACACCTGACGCCCGAGAGATGTGGAAGAATCTGCGCAAGACAGCGCAGCAGGGATATCTCTCAGACCCTCCCTCTATTCCTCTGTACTATCTCATGGGTAAGGATCATGACGGTCTCAATCTGTACCGTACTGTTCAAGGCACAAACTCAATCGAAGGCGGATTTCACATGGCCATACATCGTGTCTTTGGATCTTTGCGAGCATCTGCAGAACTTGCAGAATGTCTTCTCATCAACTGGATACTGCGGCGCAACATCAAGGTACGCTAGCTGTGCCCATTTTTGAATGTATCATGTTCTAATCTCCAATTCTTACACAGGTCGGATACCACAACCGTACGGGCCTGAAATACCATGGCCACTTTGCTCTCTGGGATTGCGACAAGATTGTTGAGTTTGCAATCCTCACTGGGGTCAGACCATCCTTCCCTCTGCCTCGTATTCTCCCTACACGCATTGCCACAAGTGAGACAATTGGAATTCTGCCCGTTTCGCAATCCCTTGCAACGTCACTCAAAATTCCCACACTTCCACGACCCCGAGTCGCTGGAGTTCCTCATCATCGTGATGTGCCGGTTCACATTCTGACGCACTTGTCAACAAAGCCAACAAACCAGTACCGGTACCTCCAGCTACGACAGCTTAAATTGGCAGCTGTTCTACCTGTGCACACTCGCAAGGAGTTTTCCATGTTCAAGAGACATGTTGATGATCGAGACTTCCGAAAGGGCAGTGATCGCGTGTATCCATCTCACGAGCGATGGAGGAATGTGGACTTCGAAGAGTTCACGAAGTTCTGGAATAATCAGGTTACAGGGCAATCTAGAGCAACCACGGACTCCAACCAACGGCTCTACTACAAGATTCCCTCTCAGCTCGAAGCTCATCACAAACACGTCATTGCTTGGTCCTCGGAACTTGCGACACTTGCGATTGAAGGCAATTTTGCCGTGCGAAAAGAGTTTCTCAACGCGCTCAAGAATACTAAACCAATGGGTGCCCCTGCGGCCATCACATTCCCGCCGAACAACAATGAGGACATCTGGGACGGCGAAGTCGATCTATCCATCGGAGGTATGAGCACAGGAACAAGGTTGTTTTGTGAATCACTGAGCACGAACAGGTTTCTACGACAAGAACTCCTTCAATCCTTCTACTGGCATCCCAGCGCCTGCAACATACAATGCGGAGCTCGACTTTGACGAAGTGTCATCCAAACCCAACGGAATCCCTGCTCCCAGCTCATCTCTAGTAATCATTGAAGAGAGCTCCCACCACGCTTCGAGTGCCCTGAGTGCTCCCACCCCTCTTCCGTCCTCCATGGCTGTACCCGCCATGTCGACAACAATGCCAATCCGTCAGACCGTGCTTCTGGAACGATTTCATCCATATAACCCTGAGCTGACCGTACGAAACCCCAAAGATGATCGCTGTGCTGTTTGCATGAACGACTATTGCGAGCTGCGGTGGTCGTGTCCAGGCAAAGGAAATCGGAGCAGGTGCCGATGCACGCACCCGCCTGTGCAGAAAGGGAAGCGTGTGCGTATCCACGAAGATGTGATTGTCGAGTTGTGGCAGAAGGGACCTGCCGCCATTGCAGCAGCGCGCGCGGCACGGCATAGCAAACGCCAATAGAGTATATGTACACAAGCGAGATTGTTGTAGCGAGCAAAACGGACACGTTGAGCATGGCACACAACAAAGTGCAAGTAAAGACTCACCAGCTAGACACATCCATACCTGTGGAGAATTCCAACCTCACGCATCATGCCGCGTCGATAAAATCTATACATTCTGACTGAAACCTTCGACAACTTTGCAGGATGGTGGTACACTGGACAGAGGTAGATGGACTAGGTCGTGCTTTCCGGTGTGTTCAGATGGAATTTGGTGGTCATGGACAGGGTTAGACAGACTAGGTCGCGCTTTCCGATGTATTCAGTTAAAAATTAGTGGTTCTGGACGGCGAGAGGGAGAATGTGAAAAAGAGAGAGAGAGTTGATGAGTTTGCGAGCACTCGCGTCAGATTTGCATGCAGTGTTCCATTGTGTTCCGGTGCTCACGTGGTTGCCTCCGACTGATGCGAGCTTGTATGAATTCCTATTGGTCGATCCCTAGCCCTTTGGAGGCAGTTATCTCCGAAAGCACTGGGGACACGGCATCATTTGGCAATCAGAGATGCGCACAGCCTCGGGACTGGGGACTCGAACAAGATCAGAACAGTGCACACGCTTGAGTGCACCGATTGAGCCACAAAATCGTATACGAGATAATAACGATGCGATAATTCTCCCTCTCTTTTCCGATTTTTTCTCTTCCTTTCTGTTTGATTAATCCGTTATCATCAACGGACATGAGCCATGAGCCCACAATTGTGGGGTGTCTAAGGTGCCTGCAATGTAACAGCTTTGAATCTTTCAAAACTTTAGTTGTAAATTTGAAGGTTCATGAACTCTTGTGTGTAAACGTGAATATCGCTAGATTCAATGTACGCATGGCTTTCAAAATGATAAGGATGAAATTCAGTGCGGAAATTCGGTGATCATTGTCCTGTATTTGTTCCAAGTTCACATCCCTCCTAATACAACACCTGTACATGTACAAAACGGAACTATCATTTACGCGTGCCCTGGGGGTTCATCGAATACCCTGAGTTCTCAGCGCGAGGTGAAAACGACAGGCAACCGGCCCCGCCAAACAATGAAATAATCCATCATATCCCGTTCCCAAGTGCTCAAGTCGAATCCTTTCTCAAATTCCATATCAAACTTACTGACCAGAGCGCAAGTCAGCATCCTCATTTCCTGTGTGTGCAAGTTCTCAGCATGCGGGAACATGCACGAAGAGCCATGCATCTGACGGACCTGGTACGCCAAGTTCCGGCCGACACAGTTCGCCGGCCCGATGGAGAACGGAATAAACGCCGCAGTGTTGTGGATCACCTCGTGGTTGCCGAACAGGGTAGGCTCGAGCTTGAGCTGATCTTCGGTCGGCAGCCAGCGCTCGGGGATGAACACGTCGGCGAAGGGTGAAAAGTTCCTCGGATCGTGCTGGAGCGCGTACGTGTGCACGACGGTGCTGGTGCCCTCAGGTATGAAGCTACAAAGGGGTCGGAATTGATCGCGCTTCTATGGAACCTGACTCACTGAGATCCCACCGCTTGTCCGCCGCTGCCGATCAGCGGTGCACGCTGGCTTCCGCTCATGACCGCTGGGAAGAGCCGGAGGGCCTCGTTTCTTTGAAAGATGAACGGGGCTGTCCACGATGAAACTGCAGAAAACACACATCACAGCATTCAGGTATGGCATGCGCGCTTGAACGGCCGTTTCCGTGATGTTCCACTGCGGGTCGTCGACTTCCTCTCGCAGCCGGGCCAAAGTTTGCGGGTGTTTAAGCAACAGCCAAAAAATGTTGCACAGCGTGGTCGAGGTCGTTTCCGCCCCAGCAATAATTGCGGGTGATCCGTCGACGATGACTTGGGCAAGTGACACTGGACTAGTTTCCAGGCCTGCCTCGTCGATCTGTGTTGGGATCAATAGGATGAATGACAAGCAGAGAAAGCTTACCAGATGATAGAAAACATCTTTTCGGTTCGACCCCTCCAGTTTCCGTCTGGTCGCTCTATGAGCAGCATATTTCCGATATCGCCGCAGAGGTTCTCCGACGCCAGGAATCCACCGATAGAACTCAGCCGCCCATGGTAGATGGCCCAGGAATAGTGCAGTCCTGAGGCAAATCAACGAAGTCAGCTTTGTTTCGTCCAAGTAGAGTCTTCAACTCACGGTTGAGATTGGGCTATAATCTCCAACATATCATCTTTGTCCTCCGTGGCCAGGGCGTTCCCGCCGGTGCTGAACCTGCAACCGAGTGTCAACCAGACACGCTATTGAAAATGAGATACGCACATAACATCGTTCATGACATCATATGTGAACCATCCTGCATGATGGGATGGTCATTCCAAGTCGAGGAGATGATCACTAAACGCACCAAACCATTTGGACAGATCGACCGGTTGTCCCCTCTTGGCCGAAACCATATCGACGATCTGGGAGACGCGGCCTTCGACTAGACTCTCGTACTCTTTGAGCATGGATGTGCTCAGTGCCCGATTCCATGGCCGGCGGCGGCGAGCGTGCTCCTCGGGATCACGCAACCCCAAAATCGGCCGGAACTTGGGGTCCTCAGGCATCCGTCCGTCCCACCACTCGGCTTTCCCACCGATTTATCATTCTCCCGTCGCAAGCACATGGTGTCAACGCACCTTTGGGAAGGCCTTCCTGAGTTCCCATCATAGGGTGGATCGCGTCAACTTGTCGGAAGGACAGTTCGTTCGGGCCTGATCATCGGGGCATAATGAGATTCCCCACGCGACACACGAGCAAGCCGAGAATAGCCGCTCACCGACTCGGACGATATCTCCATACTTCTGGTGGAGCTCGGTGTAGTATATGTGCTGCTTGCCGCGCATGGACACCGCCGTCAACCATATCTTGGACACCTTGCACATAATCGGGCCGGGATACTCCGCCAGTGGGTGGAAGGGCGAGAGCCGATATACCAGCAGTGATGCGAGCAGCGAAGCGTAGTAGCCGCCGTATGTCGCCGCGACTGCGACCAAAACACTTTCTCCCACATGTCGTGGCACCTGGAGCGCATACACAAGCGCGGCGGGGGGAACTATCAATAGCGTGAAGAAAGATGCAAGACGCCGCGGCTCCAGGCGGTTAAAGAGCAGGTGGCACACCTGAGAATCGATCAGTCAATTCCGCGGAGGTTGGCGAAACGCTTGAAGATACTTACCACACCAGCACCAACGACGGAGGCGACGGTTTGATTGAATGACAAGGAGATCGTCTGCATTGGAGAGAAAACTGATCATTGCCCAAGGTTCGAGCCATAGCTTTTATTCAACTGCCACTGTCGTGCTGATGGCCTCTGGAAGGCGTCATCCAGTCACTTGATGAACATGGCACTCCTCTATCCGGAGTTAGAGCGGTGAGTCTGTTTCTCATGGCTTTGAGAACTTGCAGATCTCCATGGAATTGCACACAGATAGCATCGTGAGCGGATGTATGGGGTCCAGTTAGCTTGGCATTCCACGAGCCTGTCGCTGGGATAGTGTGGCATCCGCTTCGAAGTTGTCGAACCCTGAGACCAGAGAGCTCCATCCAACCATGGTCGAGGTCCATGTCAGCCAGAATTCGAGGAGGACAGATGCATGATCCCAGGGATGATGCAGGGTGGAGTGGAAAAGTCTCTGTCGCGGCAATGTATCGCACTCGCCACGGGTAGCGAGGGCAGTAGCCTTATTTCACAACAATTCAAAGTTCATCGCCCTCGAAACCTTGTCGTGCGAGTCTGATCCGGCTGTTGGATAGAATGCATTGGCGAGCCAAAGCGGCTGCTTCTTTCCATCTCTTAAACCCCTTGCCAAGACTGCAGAAGGGAATTCGGGATGACCAAGCTCGGGGAGGTGACAAGGAGTGACCCGAGTTCGCACACGAATATTGACCATCAAGTTTGGTTCCGATCTTCACAGCCTCCACTTCCCAAACAGGAATATGGCTGACGGATGGTTGATGACACTACACCCGGTAATATTGTATCCTGCCAGGGGATAGAGTGGCTGTCCAGTGCCGACTCCCGAGGTTTGGGAACACACACTTCACTTGAGCAGGTCCTCTACTGAGACTCTGGGCTGAAGCACCGATAAGCAAGCCTTCCGATTGCCCTAGCCGAGCGTGAGATGTGCTTCAAATATCCCAGAATATCTCCAAGTAGGATCGTGCCTGCTCGGGCACAAAGCCCAATTTCCCGTCCGAGAAGCCCGCTACCAGGCCTCGGGCTTGCAAACCCTGGCCCGGGCCAGCTGATTTGCTCATGACGCTGAGTCACCGCAGCTGCACGAGAGGCGTCAAATCGACTCAGACTCAAAAGCTATTTTCGTCTTGACTCAAAAAGTCAATTCCATTCCCACATAACTAAGGGAGCAGATAATACTGTAAGTTCAGATGGTTCAAGCCCATTGGGGTGGCTCAATCTTAACTTCGTCCATCTAGCCATTCGCTCATATAAACAAGTCATTCAACCGCCTCTGTCAGCAATTATTAGCTGATAGCTAGATGGGCCACCCGTTTGATCCTCAATACAAGATCGATCTGATGCAATCAACCAGGTTATGAATGTTGGATATCTGATGTACGACGTGTTGATCTTCTCTGATTTGGCGTATTCTGGATGTACACTCTCCCAAAGTTTTGGCACAGATAACCATTCACTTTAAATTTAATTTCTCAAAAATTAAACTGATGAGATGTTTGGAACCTTATGAATATCCTCTGCCCGGAGTATTGTGCAATGTGGCCCCAGTTATATTCTGATTCGACAAGAGTGCGGTGTGTACAGTGTAAATTACTTCCGCTCTGCTGTCCGACCAGGTCTGGGTGAGTAACACAATTAAATGAATGTTATAAGGCCAGATAAAGTTCTCTTAGAACGTGGGATAACTGCGCACTCCCATATCTTGGGTGAACGAACCTCAGATTGATGAAGAAAGTAAGTTTGCGTGCCTCGTTACACTACATGAGATGAATAGAAATTTCAACAAATATTCCCGACTTGAATTTCATCTGTGAGAGTTTGATATCGACTTGACTCGGACCCGGCACATAGTAATTCTCGAAGCACCAGGAACGACCGCCTGTCTTCGTAATGACTCAGGTTACGCGATCAGATAGAGTTGGCTCTGCGGGCCACTCTACATTGCTTCTTTCCAAACTTCCTTCTCACATTTGTAGCCTAATCATCAGCAAGGCACGCGACGTGTCGCGTGAAGTTGATCCCAATCTAGGAAAATGGGATACATCGTTTATCGTGAAGCAAAGATCACGGGCAGCCGGCCTCGCCAGACCACATAAAAGTCCAACAGATCCCGCTCCCAGGTACTCGGATCGAATCCGGGCTCGAATTCCATATCGAATTTGCTGACCAACGCGCAGATCAGCATCCTCATTTCCTGTGTGCGTGCAAATAGTCTCAACGTGCTGCGAATCGCGAAAAGGCCTCTGACTGACCTGATTGGCCAGATTGCGGCCGACGCAGTTCGCCGGCCCGATGGAGAATGGAATAAACGCCGCAGTGTTGTGAATCACTTCATGGTTGCCGAACAGGGCAGGCTCGAGCTTGAGCTGGTCTTCGGTTGGCAACCAACGTTCGGGGATGAACACCTCAGAGAAGGGTGAAAAATTCCGTGGATCGCGCTGGAGCGAGTACGTGTGCACGAGGGCTGTAGTCCCTTCCGGTAGGAAGCTACGGATGCTTTGAGAATTTGAATCCAGATCGAATCAAAAATGGGCCCACTCTGATCCCACCGCTTGTCCACCACTGCCGACCAGTGGTGCGCGCGGACTCCCACTCAAGACCGCGGGATACAGGCGCAAGGCTTCGTTTCTGATAAGCCATTAAGAGGCAATGCCATGCGATTCGACAAAAATATGTACATCACAGCATTCAAATATGGCATGCGCGCTTGCGCAGCCATTTCAGTGATGTTCCACTGCGGGTCGTCGACTTCTTCCCGCAGCCGGGCCAAGGTCTGCGGATGTTTGAGCAGCAGCCAAAAGATGTTGCTCAGGCTTGTCGAGGTCGTCTCCGCTCCAGCAGTAATTCCGGGCGCGCCGTCGACTATGACCTGTTGCAGCGCCACAGGCGCAGTTTCCACACCAGGCTCGTCGATCTTTTCGAGAATAAGAGTCACCACGGTCAACAAATATCGGGGAAATCTGACCAGATGGTAGAAAACGTCTTTCCGGGTTGAGCCGGATTGCTTTCGTTCGATCGCCCTGCGAGCTGCATATGTCCGATAATTCCGAAGATGTCCGCCAATACCAGGGATCCACCGATAGAATGCAGCAGCCCAGGGCAGGTGGCTCAAGAATAATGCAGTTCTGAGAGAATGGGAGCAATGAGCAGGCTTCCGTCGTACACGAAGAATGAACGGACGGTTGACAATTTGCGATGAATTCCAGCATCTCGTCTTTGTCCTCCGTCTCCATGGCGTTCCCGCCGGTGCTGAATCTGCAATCGAGCGTTAAGCCCCAGCGTGCTGGGAACCATTAGTATCATACGACGCACATGACATCGTTCATGATATCGTAAGCAAACCAGCCTGGTCAAAGCATCGTCAGGTCCATTCCAATAGACAGAACTTCCGCTCACCAAGCCATTTGGACAAGTCGAGCACCTCGCCTTTCTTGGACGAAATCAAATCGACCATTTGGGCCACGCGAGTCTCGACCATGGTCTCGTATTCCTTGAGCATCGGTGAGCTGAACGCCCGGTTCCACGACCGTCGGCGACGAGCGTGTTCTTCGGGATTCCGCAGCCTGAATATCGGCCGGAAAGTGAGTTTCTGCGGTTTCCGACCGTCCCACCACTCCGCTTCGCGCACGCTTTCAGAACGCAGCCCCGTCAAAGACGCGTGACATCCACGCACCTTTCGGCAAGCCATCCTGCGTTCCCATCATCGGCTGGACGGCGTTCACGTGTCGGAACGACAGTTCGTTCGGGCCTGTTATGGGGTTCCAGATGCGAAGTCAGAGTCGCCAAGGAACAGATGTGCGAGTCGGGAGTAGCCACTCACCGACACGGATGACATCCCCGTACTTCTGGTGCAGATCGTAGTAGTAGATGTGCTGCTTGCCTCCCATCGACAGTGCCGTCAGCCATATCTTGGACACCTTGCATAGAAGCGGACCCGGATAACGTGCGAGGGGATGGAACGGAGATAGCCGGTACGTCAGCAGCGAGGCCAGCAGCGACGCGTAGTAGACGCCGTACGTCGCCGCGACTGCACCCCACAGACCTCCCCCTCTCCCTCCTCCTCCTCCATCTACTCCACCTGCATGCCGCGACACTTGAAGCCCGTAGACGAGTATGGCAGGCGGTACTATCAGCAGCGCGAATAACGCCTCGAGTCGCCGTGGCTCCAGGCGGTTGAAGAGCAGATGGCACACCTGGGCATCGCATCGATCAGCTATCTCCGCGGACAAAGGAACCGCAGTTTCCTGCTGCTGCTGCTGCTGCTGCTCACCACGCCGGCCCCAGCGACCGAGGCAACGGTTTGACTGAACGGTAAGGAAATCGTATGCATCCCAGGGGACTCGGGCGAGAGGTCGGGGATCGTGCCGTCACTTTATATTTGACTCTCATGATCGGCTTTCTGAGGGCGAAGCTCAAAGTCACTTGACGAGAGAGATGCTTGCTCTAGCGGAGATAGTGCGATCCGCACGAGTCCTTGGGCGGTGAGAACATGGAGACATCCACCCAGTCCCACGCAGACGACACCGTCTCCCAGATGTGTATACGCTTCGGCTCGAATCGGCTCCGAAACCAAGAATATGTCGCTGATTTCGGCGTGGAGGAAAATTTAGAACGCTGAGGCCGAGGAAGCTCCATCCAAATACAAGTGAATTCCGCGCAAGAGCGCTGGATGCTCGCTTCGAAGACTCACACCGGAGGATCGCGAATAAAAGAGGCTCTGAAAATTGATTTATATGACTAATATTGCAGCACAAAAAATATATCTATATTCCTTACTCAATACTTAAAGAGTAAGATACTACGTTAGCTTTCCTGATATATGAGATATTGTGGTCCAAAAGGGGGGCGATGATCAGCGAGATATCAAGGTCTAAAACGAAAGAACCTTTTTTGCGCATTTTTTCGTCGATATCACAGCGCTTTATCTCATACTCATTAGTAAAAAGATTAGCATGTGCGTTATCAATCCTAATATTACCCAAAAAGAGCTGACTATAGGCTGCTAGAATATCAGAAATATTGCAGCCCAAAACAGCTGGACCTGATATGACCCATATCAGGGTCCAATTTATTTATCCGCCGATGATCGGCCGTTCATCCGTTGCTCATCATCAGGCAAAAAGAATAGATTGTAATACGAAGTACATGACAGCAGAAACTAGCTAGTAGAAAGATCAAGAACAACGCAACGATCACCGGAGTAATTGAATCGAGCATAGTGAGATACCACATCTTGTACCGGAACACTGTCTATGATATCAGTCATGGAAGAACGATATGTGCGAGCGGGGAAGAATGGCCGATAGCGGGAGAATGGATCCTGCATCCCCGGCTTTAACGGTGCTTGTCGCCGAATCTTGAATATGATGTCTTCCCCAGTTGCAAGAATCCTCTCGATGCTCCCCGCAATCACCTCACGAGAGTCGCACCGGTAATAAAGGACAAGGCTGTTACCAAGGTGCGTACTTGCGCGTGAGAAGTTGACCCCACTTCGTTTGTAATGCGCGCGTTCCCCATCTTTGACAAGCGGAGAGGAATCAAATGGTGCATTGTAAGACGGGAATGTTTTCTCAAAGAGCGCTCTTAACTCCAGGAAGACCGGGGGGCAATCAGTGCGGCGCAACCATCGTCTTATGCTTGCACCCCTCATAAAGGATCTGGACAGTGTGGCTTCAAGTTCTCCTCCAATATGGTCATTGGTTTTGATTTTCTGGAGGAATCCAATGACACGTTCAAAGGGAAAGGTCCACCAAGAGATTACGGGACCAAAGAGTATCAGAAAGTCATATATATGAAACGCCATATGAACATTTGGCCGCATAGGATGAGACAGGGTATGAGGATGGTTTGCCGCAAGGCCGTCCACCCACTGCTTGAGAAATGAGCGATATTTGGCAGCGCGGGAAGGCGTCATTGTATATCGGCATACAAGAATCACCGCTGAAAAGAGCGCCATCGTATGGTCTAGAATCTGGAGTGACCGTGTCGGTTGTTCCGTGGGTTCATGATCGCCCCAAAGGAGAACAAGAGCAATAGGAAGATAGATTGTTGATAGGATGCGCCATTCAGCCGCCTTTATAGTTCCTGCGTTGCTATCACCGTAATTCATAGGAACAGAATCAATATATGCCGGGGTCGTAGTCTGCGCAATGACTCGCTGGATGAAGTAAATGTTGGCAAGGTTTATAGATCGGGGGATGTATGTGCCACTTGTGAGCGGCTGCGTACGGCGCTAAGCAGTTGTTAGTGACTATTCTGGAAGGAGGCGAGACAAGTGCTCACCCAAGCTAGGAGTTGATCACAGCAGACTTTCTTGGACGCTATGCGGCTCGCATCCGTATCAAGACCAAGTGAAGAAACAACCCAGCGGAGCGCTGAAGATTGACCTTCATGAGCTGCTGGTGCATCTCTTCTTCGGTGACTGCTGGGACGAATCGAGGGTCAGGAGCGTCGATCATCTCAACATCTTGATCATCATCTTGTTGCTCATTGTCGGCGTCAGCTTCGTCTGTGAGTAAGGGCTGGATGAGTTTTTGTTGAATGGTGCGAATCATAGGTAGTTCTCGCGTCTCAGTTTTCAGTAAACAAGAGGGATGGCAGTTTGCAGAGTTGTATTCCGGCCACTCATACTCAAATGCAGCTCCCATTGTCTCCTTGCGCTTGGCCAACTTCGTGTCTATTTGTAGTACCCGACGACAGTGGTAATGGACAAGACCCTCCAGGATGCAGTGCATGGAATCAACGACAGCCATGCAAGTGGGATCCCAATAAGGAAGACGCCAGAACTCTGACCAACGGACACCATACTCTGCGAAGATAGCATCTCGAGTGCCTTGCGTTGTCGCATCTCGCCACGCATACGCTTGAGCACGAAGAGTTGTGATATCCCGTCGCGTCCATTTGTGGAACTCCGTATTATGCATGGTCTTGACGCCAAAACACTCACAGATCGAGCAATACTGGTGTGAGTTATGGGCCGCCATGCCTTGAGCCTTTCGTGTCGCAGGTAAGTCGTTGACATTCATGACGAGAGCGAGATCTACGCTACGACCTGCGGCATGGAGCGCAGTACGGGAAAACCGATAACCTCGCTCCCATCCTATGACAAACTTGTCAATCAGAGGACGGAAGTAATTGTCGATTTGGTCGTGGCCAGGCTCGCTGGGACCGAGGATGATACTCAGCCACATATTTTCGGGACGATAGCGAATGTCCTCGCTCAGATTGAGGTTGACGACGGCGAGAAGCCCAATAGAGTTATGATTGCCTCGTTTTCTGGTCCCATTGGGATTGAAGAAGTCAAGCATGACCTGAAACGCGAGCCGCAGGCGACCGTCCCGCTGTATGAACAGCTTGCCAGGGACAGGGCCTGCGAAGCTGCGCAGAAACGCCGCCTCGAACACATTATTGACGTGCTCCTCCGCCAAAGACGCATCAGCGTTCTGTGACATAGCTTCGCGCACAGCTGCAAACGCGTCATCACAGGCTTTCTCGCACATTCGTTCAACTTCGGGATCGGTTAGCATGGCAGCGAGGTAGTCGATAAACGAGGTGAATACGAATGGCTTGATGGGACGCAGCTTCCCCTGGCGTGCCCCCAAAATCCGCGTCCCGCAAACCTGGCGAGCTCCTCGCTGCGGATAGATATAGTTGTGACAGGTCTCCGGGTAGGAGGCGTCACCAGTGAGCGGGTTCTTGGTGGGTGTGTGCGTGTGATGGCAGGCCGGACAAGTTGCGTAGATGGTGGTGGCAGGATCAAGTTTGAACCTGCGAAGAGCAGATTCTAAGGAGGTGGGCAGCTGTTTGAGTGTATGTTCTTGGATTGCATTGGCACGTCCTCTGCGCGCACATAGAGACATTGTGGCCTGTATCATTGCGTTGACAAAAGCGATGATAAGATTGACAGGTTCGCTGCTAATTCCGACAACGACATGGCAGATGAGGGCCAGCAGGATTGAAAGCTGAGCGATGACATCGTATTTGGCAATCGGATTGACGAAGTGATGCTCTGGAGATGGCGTAAATTGTCAAATAGAGCATATTGAAACCAAGAAAACATACCGGTATCGTGCTTGACTTCATCTGTTTCTGGGGGAAGGAGGCGTCCCACAACATCAATAAGCGAGTCGAGCGTGGTGGCCTCTTCTCGGACCATCTGTGCCAACGCCTCATTGCTGTCACCCTCCACGTGAGACTTGTTCCTGGGGGACTTACGAGGCCGTTCATTGCCGGTAAGCTTGATGCTGGAGAGAAGACGACCCGCCTCAAGAACGACCGAGCTTGCAGTATCGACAGCGCTTGCCAGCGCACCAATGGTATTGGGGCTTGCATCGAGTGCGTGCTGGAGATCCAGTTGAGCATGAGCAGCCCGGAGTCGTTGTAGCATCTCTTGTAGTAGAGTCACATTGGTTTCTTGAGCTTGGATTGCGGATGGACGGAGCAGCAACGCTTGCGTTTGCATCTGCAGGACAGCTTCAACACTGGAGAAAGCTTCTGTGGATGAAACGGGCAGGAAGTCCGTGGGGACGTCAGGTACAGCAGCCTGGAAATTGTCCCGAGAGCTGAACAATTTCGAGTGTGTTTGGTGAGAGGCATGTACACCATCATCCATGACGACCAACCCAGTGAGAAGGCTGGCCAGTCTTTCGACCTCGATATCCGCAGGACATGCGGGCGCGTCTGTAGTGACTTGAATGCCATCCAAACGTGAGACCAGCTCGTCCACTTCGTCGACAGGCATGAGGAACGGAACATGATGCACGGGATCAATCTTCTCTGAGTCGCGCGTGGGTTCAAGCACAGCGTCAGGGGTGTTCTGTCGCTCCTTGAAAGTCGCTATTTCCGCTTGGTGTGCTACTCGCTGACGCTTCAGGACTCTGTGATTGCGATGATTGGTTAACGGGCATCGCTGGCAAGTATAGTAGTAGTAACCCGACGACGACATTCGTCGACGGCAAACGTCTGACGAAAACGCAAGGTGGGGAGCACAGAATCGTAAGAGTGTGAATTAAAGTATGTAATCGAGCTTGTTATATGCACAGGCGGGAAGGTTCTTGTGCTCGATTGGGACAAGACAACAAAAGTGGCGTTCAGAGATACTCTGCCGACGGCATACGTCTGGCATGAGTATATGTACACAGGGATATGGGAGCACAGGAGTGGTGTCGACGGCAAACGTCTGACACCACCGACATGGTGGGAGAGAGAGAGAGGGATCGGTGATAACCGATCATTGATTGGAGGCAGTGACCGCTCAATCAATCACGTGGTCCATTGATTGCTCAATCCATCACATGGTCTACTTACCAATCTTTGATGTGATTCCATCACATTGACTCTTGTCCTCCACTCTCGCTCACAGACGTGTGCCGTCGTGAGCGCAGGTCCTTCAACATAACTTGTCACACCGAATATGGACTCTGGAGTTTGAGACTCCATTTCTGTCTCAGACGTTTGCCGTCGGGACGATCCAAGCGTTTTATACAACTTCTGCTAAGGCTCAGAATACATCGATCGCATGTAACTACTCGATGTAGTCGAAATAGTTGCCATATGGGATCTTTACACTGCTCTGTCTTGCGAAGCTCCAGTCCCCGAGCACCTTCTCGAACCCATATGCTAACGCAGCGAGGAGGACAACAAGCCAGACCAAAGACTTCAGCCCTCTCATTAGTCTCACACGGAAGTCAGGCGTAATTAACGTCTTGCGGTAGACAAAGATCTCATTCTTCCCGCTAATCGCACTTGATTTCGCCGCGAAGATGGTCGGGACACCCACAACATCCGCAGCCTGTTACGAGTCAGTACATGGCCGTCCAAACACACTATACTCACTGTCACGGTCTGGACCCACTCATTAGGATCGACTTGGAGCTTATTCAGTCCCTTGTCCCGGCGTGCGTACACGTAGACGGTCCCATGGTCGCTGCCGCTGACGATGGCACGGTTCGAGTCAAACAGCGCTATTTGGTGGATGCGCTGGGTCTTTTTCACCGGCACTCCAAAGCTCTTCACCAGCTCGCCTCCAGCGAGGCGATAGAGATGGACACCAGCCTGGGGATCACTGACACAGAGAGTGCCGCTGGGCAGGTCCACTGCGGCATCAGAACTGCCACGCATTTCAGCAGCTGAACCCAAGAACAAGTATGATGTACATGCGGCACCCCAAGCTCCGTGCAGCATCCGCACTGCAGATACTGGTTCCGCGCATGTTGTACCTTGAGGGATGGTAAGTCTCTCGTAGCCCCTCGATGGAAAGTACTTACACAAGCCCACAGTATAGTCCGAAAACAAGCAGCTCACGCTCGTTGCTGTGCATCGCCCCGAACAGAACAACTCCGGGGACGCAATCGCTGATGGTGAGGGAGATCATTTCAGTCTCGATCATCCTTGCGCTCAGCGTGAACATCTGGAGGACCCCTCCACGATGGCAAGCTGCCAGACGATTTGTAGCTGGATCAAATGCAAGGCCAGTCACCTCAGCAGGGGCGCTCATCTGGCGATTCCAGATCTCGTGGAATTGCACTCTGCTCCCCTACGAATGCTCAGGGCAGCGCCGCAACAGATGACTTCACTGACACACCGTATTCTCCAGAAGGCAGCACACGATGAAGCCGTTCTGCGTGCCATAGATGAGAGCCTCGCTCATGTCATCCTCGCGTTTGATCCACTGGAGCTTTGTCGTTGCGCCGCGGAGATCGGAATTCACAGTCACGACGTTGAGCTCACATAGTCCTTGCAAGTCCCAGATCTTTGGCCCACCTCCACTGGATCCTAACGTTGTTCAATGCGCCCGACCACGCAGTAGAGTTGCGTAGCTCACCTGCGCTGGCCAAAAATTTGCCGTCATCGCGAACTTTGAGGTCAAGAATGGCGCCAGTATGACCGTTCAACTTGCAGTGGAGGCGGTACTCAGCATTCTGCGCTGGAACATCGCACATATTCGATTCAATGCAGCACCCCCATTGCGTCTAGTCTTTATGGCGTCGTCAACAATAAGTACGAGATCCTTTTTGTCTCCCAGTAGAGCACTTGGGTACGTAATCGAGGTTAACTAGATTATAATTGGACAATCTTCCTTCATCCTAATGGAGGTATCTAACGGTCTATCATGATAGGACAATCGTCCTTCGTCCTAATGGAGCTATCTACCGATTTATTACTTCACAATAGAACACGCCTCGAAATTTGCATCTTGCTAACAACATCCCGCCTCAATGCTCTTCCGTGCTAAGCCACTTTCACCACCGCCTCCTGTTGTTCAATTGCTCGCGCACACTGACATCCAGTCGCCAAACTTACCTGCGCTCCTGATGCACAATGACGTGAAAGACGGCCCTCCCCTCGCGTTCAGGGAGAATGCCATCAGTAAAACTTCGCACAAGCATGCGCCAAAGAAGATGGTCAGCTTCGAGCCTGCTAGCCTCAAGACGTGTCCTCCCATAGCTCAAGTGCACCAGCCATCAAAACCGTCGTCGAAGCCTCCCACGCAAGCTCGTACTCCCACCAGCGACTTGGAGGAGGAGGAATTCGAGGAGCAGACCTTGAAGCTCTCGCTCTGCGTCCCTCCTGGTGGTCCTTCTCACGTCAAGGACTCGGACTTTGCGATCTTGACTGGGTGGAGCAAAGATTTCATCGCCGAATTCCAGGTACGTCCATTCTGGTTGCCCTCTTACAATGATCCGTATCTCTTTCGTTCAGAATGCGGTCGAGAGTCTCGCCAGCAAGAAGTTCGACCCCAATCAGTCCTTGAGCAAGCAAGATCCAGAAGTCAAGGCGCAAGTCGTTTCTGAAGTACGTTTTGAGTTCACTTCTTTCTTTGGTAGCTCACGCTGACTATATCTAGATCCAGGAAGCGTATCCTATTGTGAACAAGTACATAGACCTCTGGCCCCTTGAAAAGGCACTTATTTGTGCCTGCAAGAATTCGTCTGCCAAGGAGGCGAGAAACTCGGAGAAGGCCGTTGTCAAGACACTCAAAAAAAACTTGCGACCATGCAGTGTCAGTTCATTTCCACTGACATCTTTCTCTCCTTCTGACGGCTACTATGGAGCAGGATCGTATCCATCAGTAGTCCATTTACATGTACTTACGTTGTGATTAATGAATCGATGGCTCGTCGATATTCATCGCTAATCGTCCATGATCACTAATCAGTGATGATGATGTGACTACAGTCACATCACAAGCTCCGTTCAAGCAGCTTGCCAGATTAGTGGTAAATGTAAAATGTATGATTTTCAAGTAGTACTCCTGTACATACTGTTGTATCCATGTATTGTATCCATGTAGATATACATCACTGAATTAATACATGCGCTCAGCAATACTCATTATGCAATATCACCAATCGCTAGTGATCGGTGATCCATCGGTGATCGATGATCCATTGGTGATCGGTGATCCATCGGTGATTGCTCATTGCTGATGATCCACGTATGATCCTTGATTGCTCATTGCTCATCCAGCAGAGCATGAAAATGATATTATTGCACTACATACTATAAAATATACATTGAGGATGTGTTAGATTGGGTAGTATCTACTTGATTTAATATAAAACCAGATTTCAAGTGCGGCGTGAGCAATCATCATCAGTGACCACTGATACCATCGATTACTGATGGATCACTCAATGCCGATGATCTTTGAGGCAGGGTGTAACCTAATGACGTGAATCAGGACTTCGTAAACATCCGAGCACGTCGGCGAACTAGCTACAATTTGGTAGCTATAGTTCTTGTACTGTCACCTCCCAAAAAGGGGAACATGTTCAAAGGACAATAAGGCAATTGTTCCCAGAAGAATACAATTAGTACCACAACAATATAATGTGTACTTACACTTGTTATAAAAGTAGCCTATCGACCACTCTGTCCACTCAACAAATCTTATCAACCCCCCACCTCATCTCCATCTTTGTTCCACGCGTTTGCCGCGGGAATTGCGATCATGAGCAACAACGGTGTGCCAGTCATGGACAATGACGCATCCATGAAGGAGGATTCACAGAAACCGACTCCGGTAGCAAGGCTTGCTCAAGTTTTTGCGACTGTTAACGAGCCTTGTAGCGTGTTCGACTTATCTTGGGTCCCAATGCGGATGTCTCTAGCAAAAGAAAAGCAGCCCCCACTCCTGAACATCATAAACTCGATGATGTACGTGTCATTTCACACCTTGCATTCACAAACTAAAATGCTCTGCAGGCTCGTTCAAGCGAGCAATACCACAAGCAGGCTGCGACGGAAGCTAGACAGCAGCGTCGTGCTGCTATTCAAGAGAACGACAATCTTCGAGCTCAACTCAGCGCAGCTCAGAATGATGTCCTTGCTCATCAGGATGAAGTGCGTCGTTTGCACATTCTGATCGAGGAAGGCCGCAGCAAGCTTGAGGAGAAGAGTCGCGACGAAGGCGACTTGCATGCTCAGATAATGCACGACCAGGACAGATTGGCAGATCTGGTGAGTTCCTGGTTTGGTGGAAAGAGGTATTTCATTCATATTGGTACAGCTACAACGAGTTACAGCTGCTCAAAACCAAGCAGCTGAAGCATCTACGCAATCCTATCGCGCCCAGGAAACACTTGTAGGTGGCTTGACCGCATTACAGATAATGTTGACATTGACGGCAAGATAGAACGTGCGCGACAAGGAAGTCGATCGACTTCGTGCTGAAGTGTGCGCGCAAGAGGATGAAGTCGAGCGCCTTCGACAACAGATCAAGATGGCAGCACGTACTAAAGCACAACCCTTGACGGTAAAGCGCCGAGGACGAGTCAGCACCGAACTGTTCAACCCAGGGCGGCCATCCGTGATGCAACTCCCACTCGATCCTGCGCCTCTTCCAAACGAGCGCCCTACGTTGTCAGCTCCTACGTCCGATTCGGACCCCGATTCGAGCCCCGATATGGAAATTGAGGCAATTGCAGCCAAATTGGACATGGACGTCGGAGAATTGGCCAAATTCTTGGCTGTGATGAAGCTTGTAAACGGCAAGAACGTAAATGTTGCCATAGGGCCGTCAGAAGCAGCAGGACGCAAAGCAAAGCCCAAGGCTAAAGCAGACGCGAAAGCAGCCGTGGCGCCACAGGACAAGGAGCTAGTGAACGTGGCCCATGTCAGTGAAACATAACGCTACTTGGGGGACAGATAGCTCACCAAATCTAGGCCATGATGCGCAACATAACTTATTGCAAGTTCGGATACAACCAAGCGTCGGATTTTATCTTTCACGTCTCCGCGACAGAGGATGAGGTCAGTGCTTTCGCCGAGAACAATGAAGCCACTGTCACCAAATGGCAATTTGATTTCAATGATGACTACACGAATTCAGCATGGAACGCGGCTCAGATGGAGAGACTGGTGGATGAGGCCGTGAAGGAGGACTACGCTGGAATGCGATACCTTCAGAAAGGTCTCATCAAGCGCAAGTATCTTGAGCTTATTGTGACCGAGCAGCTCGCGCGGTACTATGCGGAGTGGAAGCAGTTCCGCCCCAGGTGGGACATGGAGGAAGGTCGCATGGAAACAAAAGGCGAAGCAATTGCTCGCGGCAAAGTCGTATTGTACCACCGGCGCACGTTGTCCAAGACCATCAATGGACAGCACAACGTTTGTATTTCACTTGAACGATGGATTCTATATGTATTGATTCCCTCCACCAGAAATACGACCATCGTCGCACCACCGTGGAGGCGACAATCGCATTGAAGGAGGCAGACGGTGGGAACGATCTAACAACCTGGAAGAGAATGCTAGACCTGCTGGACCTGCTCGGTCCGAGCGGAATGTCCGAGGAGGAAGAGACGCATTCGATTGAGAAGGGTGCAAAGATCAAGGTTTACAAGATCAAGTTGTGCGTTTGGCGCGAGCCCGCGATTGTGGACTACATGCGCATGGTGGACGCGCAGACTATGCGTTTTCAAGCCCTTCATAACGGCACCAAGCCCGCTCCTCGTGTGCGCGCTCAGACGCACAGCGACAGACCTCCGCCCAAGGGACTTCCAAAATGCCTGTACAATCCGGAGTGGCTGGAATCCCTTTCTCCGAGAGAGGTTAGGGCTCTGAAGGTGTCGAAGAATGCATTTGCGCTATTTGTAGCGGCAACTGAGCGGATGGCAAAATAGACTACATGTACATGTAGTCGACTAACTGAATCGAATGACATCGGATGACTGAGTTATGAGCTGAAATGGTAGCTACAATGGCAGCAGACGCCTGATAGACGCATTTGTGGGCGACAAAGGCGGCGACGGATGGCGTCCTGTCGGATGCAGACGCCTGATAGACGCACTTGTGAGCGACAAAGGCGGCGACGATGGTGTCCTATCGGCGGCAGACGCCTGATAGATGCATGTGTGAGCAATCGTGACGGCTGAGGGACAGTGGATGCAGCATTGCATCCATCGTCCTGCATACGCGGCCGTTGAAACTTGAGGGAGCTGTCGGCGGCAAACGCCTGACAGCATGGTGAGAGAGAGGAGAGGGAGTTGGTCGAGCTAAGTCAGTGCCACAGATCATCGATGGGATCAGGCACGTGTTGATTTTACACGTGCTGATTTTACACGTCCTGATTTCATTGATCCCACATCTCATCCTCCAACAACCACCACCATGAACCCAGGGCGGGATTGCGGACAGCAGGGACCCAGGCGTTTGCCGCCGGGTCCAAAAGCATCAGAATCGACGTGTTTGCCACGCGGTTCTGTGGCTTCAGGCTCCAATCTCGCGCCTAGCGACCACGGCCCACACCGACTTCTGCCTCTCGCGCTTCTTGAGGAATTCAAGAAGAAGACACTCACTGTGAGTAGCCAATCCACTCCTTTCTGTTCTTCATCCTTACTGACTCAAAAAAGTCCACAGCTCATTTCCACGGCGTCGTCCGCAACGAATGGGGTGTCTTCATGGTCTTCAACGCCGATCGCACATCGCTCCTTCGCATTCCCCGCCCCGACCACAGTTACCACTCCTATCCTGCACTTTACAAGACGTCCTGGGTGAGCGTCCGACGAGCTCATCTCGCCTGCTGCCCTCGCTATCCCATGTTTGACGGCGATCTGCTCGGTGTTCTCGACGTATCAATGCGCTCGTTGCCAACGAAAAGGCAGGAATTGGTGGATGGCCCGTCTTGGGTTCTTGCCCCGGCCATAGCGAACAAATGGATCAGTCTGGAAGGATTTCTGAGCAGGGTCGTCACTGTCCTGCGTTATCACGTCGGCCGACTTGTCCCAGCTGTAAGTTGCGGGACAATGCACCCGCGCCCTATCACATACGGCTATACGAACTCTTTCTCCTCGGAAGACGAACTCATTTCGGCGGTGTCTCATTCTCGAGACGCGTTCACACCTCTGCTGGCAGCCATTGCGCTGTGTTTCCTGGCTCTTGACGGATCTCCTCAATGTGCCAACTGGCGTTCTTCAGTCATGAGGAATCTCGATATCCAACACCGCCTCATGGACTCGCTGGAGGACGTTGTTGAACGTCTCCTTCGGCATCCAGCAGGAATGATCTTGGATTGTACAATAGAGAGCCCGCGCGAGCTAGATTGGCTTTTCCTACTCCTTGTCAATGACACCGTTCACATCCATGTCCCGTTATATTTCTTTTTGGGCGAAGGCGAACAGGCTGTGCAACGAGCCACCCATCTTGAGTCTTTCCAGTCGATGCGCAACATCCGTCTGGACGTTCAGAACTCAATCCGCACATTGATCTCGCTTCCTTCATTACCGGTCGCCACTGAAGAGTTTGTTTTTGTTCAGTCCACAATGCGTCAATTCGGGACATTCCCCAATCCTGAATACTACGCAGCTCTGGAGACCAAAAAGCGGCAGTTTCCACCCGTTGAGCCTCACAGCGGCCAGAAGGCAGGGCAGATTTATACGGATTTTTTTGCCTGCTGCAAAGCCCGGAATGAGCGTAAGCTTGCCGAGGAAACGATTGAGCAGAGGCAGACGCGTCTTCAACGAGAACAGAACGCCAAGTCGCAGAATTGTCCTGGCAAAAAGGGTGCCCGAGTATTCAAGTGGGAGAAGATCGACGACTTCTGGGTCCGTCGACTTGTACAACGAAACTTGGTCGAGGAGGAATGGTGCGATTTTGCACCTTCACAGCGTGTCTACAACTCGTTTGCCAACGAATGGGACCTCTGTGCACCCTTGGATCCCAAAGCTCAAGTCGAATACGATGACGACGACGACAGCGACGACGATCCCTTTGGTTACTACAGCTCACGTGCCAACTTTGCCGCTGATTTCGATGACCAGCTTCCCACCGGACTATCTGATGAAGTACAATCGACGCTGAACAACGCTTCTGCTGTCCTTCACCATCTTGACGCGTACTACGACGACGACGACGACGACGACGAGAAGCCTACGATCACAAACATGGACGACATCCCTGCTCAAAACGCTGTACGAGCCATTCTCGAATATCGTGTGGGGCTTGTCGACCACACGGAGCGCCGCTTCGCTGATACAGAAATGATCAAGCCTCGTGTCAGTGCCCACTTCCTCGGCAATGGGACGTCCTCCACTCCCAAGCCACCAAGCGATGCGGCCCTCGCATTGCTGCAAGCATTGTCCAAGGCAAAGCGTGTCCGAGACCTCCCCAATGATCTCTTTGACCTCGGCAACGACAAGATAGCGGATGACATCTGGTCGAACAGTGGTGTTAGGGTGACATTGCTCCAGGGCGTTAGTGCTCAAGCACATCGCTCCACAGGATATGTCCTCAAACCGCGCAACCAAGCGGCACCTGGGAGACAGGTCCTCATCTTCAGTGCTGCTTCTGTCATGCATCTCGTTCGCTGCCGTTGCCAGACCTGGGGCGAGATCATCTCACATCTGTATCATCTCGGTTCTCCCTTCCACGTCGTTGTCGAGGACTCCATCTTTGGACCATCTTCCCATCAACCGGACCTCTATCAATGTCGTAGCCTTGGAGTTCGCCCTGAGAGCTACATTCCAGAGCAGCAGGATCTTCGCACGTACTGGGACTCAATGAAGCGCTTCCTCCTTTCTCCTCGTGGCCGACTAGCCCTTCAAGCTGGAGGCGTTGTTGCTCGGCTGGCACGCAAAGTCATCGTGGACTCAGAATTGGAGCTGAGATCAGATGATGTCGACATCGAGACCGCCGAGGAGCTAGTCAGAAGTGGGGATACAGCGGTCTATTACCATGCATTGATGCAGGAGGAAATGGATCTTGTCCTCGGCGTGTACAGCATCGAAATGAGTAAGTCTCTCAGTTTCCTCTTTCTTACAGAGAACGATGAATAATTTCTATAGACCAGCTGGATCCCACCGCACGCAATGGACATCAAGAGAAACGTGTTTCGTGGTGGCCTCAATCCGCAGCGTTTTTTACTTCGGGAATGAGTGTCGGGTGGTGGACGCCAGATTGCGAAAGATGGTTCCAAGGCATTCTGCAGGAGATGGCGCAAGGCAGAGCTGTTGTTCTCAACAACACCCGTTGGAAGGAACGGATTCGTGGGTACAGCGCTGCCTGGCGCCTTTCTAAGAATCTCGACGCTGTCTGTGCCGACTTCCTTACCAATATCTGAGCTGTCGTGGACTGTAGATATATCATCATCCATCCTAATTGTATCTTATATCAGTATATCTAGATCTATCATGTGCTTCGTATTACAATATCTTTTCGCCTGACGATGAGCAACGGATGAACGGCCGATCATCGGCGGATAAATAAATTGGACCCTGATATGGGTCATATCAGGTCCAGCTGTTTTGGGCTGCAATATTTCTGATATTCTAGCAGCCTATAGTCAGCTCTTTTTGGGTAATATTAGGATTGATAACGCACATGCTAATCTTTTTACTAATGAGTATGAGATAAAGTGCTGTGATATCGACGAAAAAATGCGCAAAAAAGGTTCTTTTGTTTTAGACCTTGATATCTCGCTGATCATCGCCCCCCTTTTGGACCACAATATCTCATATATCAGGAAAGCTAACGTAGTATCTTACTCTTTAAGTATTGAGTAAGGAATATAGATATATTTTTTGTGCTGCAATATTAGTCATATAAATCAATTTTCAGAGCCTCTTTTATTCGCGATCCTCCGGTGTGACTACATAGTCACATTTTCACACTAAACTCAGATCTATTGGGGAAATCTACGTGCAAAATCGTAATATCCCACGTGACCGATTGATGCCAACACGGCAGCTTGGAGTTCCAGCCAGGACCAGCGGCAGACAGAGAGCTGAGCGCAAAACCTCTCAAAGTCTAGGATTGTATGTATACGACGCCCGGAATCTTACCATGCAACTCCCAGAGAAAACGGATTAGAATTCGCTGAGCACAGGCTGGTGCTCGGTGCACAGTCTGACTGGACTCAATTCTTTATTTTTTTTGGATGAGACTTGAGGTTCTTTAGGATGCATATTATTGAAACTTGTTTGCAAAGTCTCAGAGAGAAATATGGAAAACTGAATGAGTTTGAGAGCGTTCAGCTCGTCCCATCAGCTACGTGCGAGGGATTTGTACTTGTTTAGTGCTGAGCGGATGCCCTAAAGCCGATGTTCGCTCGCAAGGAGGCACGTGACCGACATACGGGACATCACCCAAGTGCATGCAAGGGTGCAGGTAAGAACCAGCAGACCTATGTACGCGCCATTCCCATCATTCTATCGAGTTGTTATAACTACATGAAAAAGTTGCGCCCGTCCCCGTAAATCTCTGCCACACTCGTTGCTCAAGCCCCCGTACCCCAAACTTGACCCCGAAATCGCAGCTCGCGGAATGGTAATTATCCTACGGGCTACGAACGGAAATATTACAGCGTGTCGTTAATACGTATAAATCAAGTGTCTATGGTCATGATCATCCAATGGGATATTTACAGCTGAGCCTGACTCCTGTTGTGTCGACCAAGCAACTCACTCAGCTTCCCCGCCGCCGCACCACGACCCAGCTCGTCCTGCGCCGCCATGACTTGCCGCCCGACCATCTCGCTCTGCCCACGGCTGCCATACCCAGCATGCTGCACGTGCGGTCTCGTCCCCAGGACCAAAGAAAACCGCTTGGACCGGGTCGGCATCTTCGCGGGCCCGTCTGAGATAGACACGAGCTGTGTCCGGGTCGTCACGTTGGTCGTCTGCAACGCAACAGCAGGCATTGAGAACCGCTTGTTACGCCGCGCAGTATTTTCCTTCCTCGGCCGGGTTTCTTCGTCGAACACGTCGTCGTCTCCCAGATCGACAATCGTCGTCGGCCGAGAGAGCGAACGCGAATCCTCGGAATCAACTTCCTCCTCTTCGACCTGAGTTGTCAGATCATCCAGTATCTGGTGATAACTCCGAGGTCGAGACGGAAGTGAGCGAACAGCCGAACCAAGCGCTTCATTCACACTGAAGCCACGCCTTAGCCTCTCGTATTTCATTCCCTGCCGGCGGTCGATCGCCATCAGGGCTTCGGTCGTCGAAGCCAGCGGGAGCGATGGCATGGACAACCAAGATGGAAAGTTGGACAGGGAAGACATCGTGTTGGAGTTCGCGCTGAGCATGCTGGGCTGCCCTTCTTCCTCCGCATCGGAGTCCTCAAGAACAGGGAAGACCGTCTCGTAACACGCATTGCAGGCCCGGGCAGGCTTGCTCGAACCGTGCTTGGAATTCGGATCCGAAATGAAGAAGGTCTGATAAGGTATCAGAGGAGGGGAATAGAAATACGGCAGCCGGCAAATCACCGACCCTCTCCGAACAGGTCGAGCACACACACCGTCCGCAAAGCCGACAATGGTGGCGCCGTCTTCGCCAACCGAAAGGCCGGCCACATCTCATACAACCCTCGGTCTTCTCATCAGGAATCCAGATGGCCGGGACCCAGTGCTCGACGCCTTCTCGTCGCTCCAGCTTCTTCTTGCCCTTCTTGGTTTTGCCATCGTCCCTTCGTCCGACCAGCCGCTCATCTGAAGGTGGAAACGGCAGAGCCTGCAATGCCCTGCGCAGATGTGCAGTCGACGCAGAGGACGTGAGCGTCGAATCCGGATGAGTCACGTTCAACGAGACAAACAACTGCGCCTTGGTCTGTCTGATGGCATCGGTCCAGAGATTACGTTCTTCTTCGCATTCTAGGGCACGCATTCAAGAACATTCTCAGGACAGCGGGAACCGAAACTTGCCAGCATAAAGCACAAAACTTCCCTCCGGACTCAGCACATCAAACCTGCGCTCCTCGCCCTCACCGCCAGACACAGGAGACACCACGACCTCCAGATCCACTAGCTCTGCACGGCCTTTGTACACCCATCTCGTCTCTTCAGCGCCCATAGCACCACTGCTTCCATGACGTCGTTTGGCTATCGGCGGCCTGTAAACCGATTTGCGAAGAGGCGGCAACGCGCTCTTGGTCGCGGCCAGTAGATCTCCCGCCGATCGAATTACGGGTAGCTCCGCATCACTCTTGCTCCTCGTTCGCACCATTGTCGGGCGGAATGGACCTGGGCTCAGACTGCTGCTAGCTGCTCCGGCACCCGTCCAGCCTTCATCAGCTTCGAGCCACACCAGGCAGTCCGAGAACAAGAGAAACTCGCGGTCTCTGGGTGCAGAGCTGCGTTCGACGTGGGCGAGGGGACCGCGCCGGACGAGTGTTCGGCCAGGGCTGATCAACTGGAAGGGAAGGTTCGGTGTCGCACGCTGCAGAGCGAGCAGAGCAAGCGTCTGCGCGTGCGTGTGTATCGAGGTGTTCAGCGTCAATGTGACTGCGTCCCTTGTCAGGAAACAGCAGCGCTTAGAACAAACACGGACGCACTCTTAGACACCAACTTATGAACCGCAGTCAGTTGTGCGTGCTCCGGATCGTCAGGATCGGTGCACGAGATAAGATCCTTCAGCAGAAGCAAGTAACGCGGGCATCGCTGTACGATGGTCAGCAACCAATCACGGAGCTTGAGCTTCCCGCATCGAGGGTCAGCCTCTTGCTGCTGCAGATACACGGCGAAGACTGCATTATACTGCGGATTAGGACTGATCGCCGTTGGCGGGGATATCATGGACACCATGGCAGATATCGTAGTCGGGAAAGAAGTGATAAATGGGTTGTAGAGTGACAAGTACGGGAAATGGGCAAGGAGGACGGGAGACAGTGGCGGCGGGAGCGCGTCTCGGTCGGATAGTGTGTCTGATAAAGCAGCATAGAAAGCACGATGCAGATTCCAGATGTCCACGAAGTTGGAGAAAACAGACGCTAGTTCGCCGCGCTGTAACAGAGGCTGTGGTGTCTCCAAGGACTGAATTATGGGAGTAAGGAAGTGCTGTAGGTCAATTTTAGAGACACGCGCTTGGAGAAACCGTGAATTGAGATGCTTACAGAGTATATGAGCTCCAATCCATCGACATAGGTCCTCTCTGTCTCTTGAAATTCTTGGATGACCTTCCTCCGTTTCGCTTCCCGAAGCTCATCCACCGGCTTTCCGGACCATCGATTGGTGGACATCGAGCGGACGTTTGACCTTCGATGCGGACGCGCGATGCGCAAGATTCCCGGTGATGAGGGGCTCGAAGGCGACTGTTGACCTTCCTCAGGCGTCGAATCAAACGAAGCGACACTTGCGATGGAAGCTCGATGCGGATTGGGACTCGTGGGGAAGGAAATGCGGCGGAACGGCAGGTGCGTCGGTCTCGGCCGTGGTGTGGGGTGGATGTTCTTGTCGGAGGTAGGGAACGCGACATAAGAGGTCTCTAAAAGCATCCGCGTTGGGCGAGTCAGCTCCGAATTTGAAATGCAAAGTATGACTTGGCACGAACCTCCAGCCATCTCTGGCCCTCTCAATTGTCGTTGTTGAGGGTTCTATGCGAGGTCACTTGTGTAATGTCGTGCGCCTGTCGAGTTCCCTGAGACAAAGCGATCGGGCCCCTTTCGCCGTTGTTGAAAAGGCGCAGAGAAGCGGACGCGCCCAGCCTGCTCGAAGGGTCAACAATGACACCGTTGGGCCAGGGACCGAGGAGAAAGGCGTGTAGTGGAAGCCCGAGGGCTTCGTCGTTGGGAAGCTAATCGAGGTGTTGGGATCAAAGGTGGTTAGCACCGGCTGAAAGAAGTCTGACGTCAGCACTTGCTCACTTTCATCGATCAATACTGCCTGAAACGTCCAGCACTGGCCGGTCATTGCAATTGGTCCAAGTCCAGTTTCATATTGAGGAGTCCGATCACACACCTTTTACTTCGCTTGCGGCCTGGATGAGATGCTGCGCTACGCGACGCATGTGAAAATCTCACACGGAGAATCCTCACAGATACTGGGACATACATGTTACTGCGAACATAATACATGTTGAGAGCCTGCTAGACGAAGCCAAATGGATGATAGTCTGAGAGCTCTTTTTCTACTCGATGTCAAAGAACAAGACCTCGGCAGTCTTGTCCCCGATGTTCTCGACGACAATATCACCCGGTCCCTCAAAGTGCATGTACGCCCCATCACCCTCCCGAAGTACCACCTCTTCGCCCCCAACGCTCGCCTTTACACCCGAGCCCGTCGCAGAGCCTGTGTTGTATCCACTTGTCTGCACAACATGCATGTATCCCTTCGACCCCTTCACGCTCTGCGTCAGACTCTTACCCTCGGAAAGCAACGTCGCATAGAGCGTCAGCGCGCTCTGCACCGGCGCCGGGCTCTTCCCCTCCCGGCTGTCCTTCAGCACGCCCTCGGCATCCACAGGCGCCACCACGCGCACCCACTGGTCCCGCTTCTCGTCGTCCGAGAAGTGGCGCGTGAAGTATTTGGGCGTGAGACGTGCGACGCGCGGCAGAGACCAGATCTGGAGGAAGTGGACCTGCTCTGGGCCATACGTCTTCTCTGAATGCGAGATGCCTGTGCCCGCGGATGTGAGCTGGAGGTCACCGCGCTTGAGGATCTCTGTGTTGCCCATAGAGTCTTTGCTGGGAGGACGTCAGTAACACGTATCGCGCTTCGCGAGTCAACGCACTGCTCAAGCTGTCCCGACACCACATAAGAAAAGATCTCGAACTCTCGATGCGAGTGCGTGCCGAAACCGGTGCGCGGAGAGACACGATCTTCATTGATGACACGGAGCGAGCCGAATTTCTCGTGTTCATAATCGTAGTATCTGAGGAAGATCGAGTAATCAGAGGGTCTCCCTCGAAAGCATCTCAAAAGCAACTCACGACGCAAAGTTGAAAGTGTGGAAAGTCTTCAGCCACCCGTGGTCGGCGTGGCCGCGCTCCTGACTCGGACGAGGGACAATCTTGGCGCTCCTTTGTATTCGGGGAGTTTGTGTGAAGGCCTTGGAAGTAAGACGACCTAGTCCGGCGAGTTTGGGTAGGGAGGGCAGTTTGTGTCGAGGAGAGGGAGAAATCGAATGAGGATCGAAGAGCGGAGGTCACCGACCTTATATGGCCTTTCGTGCGGAGACGAGAAGAAAGGAACTGTGTTTGGAATATCTGACTGAGCCATCGTAATGAGGGTTATTGCAGAGGCGTCGGCTGTCACGCGGAATTGCCTGTTTTGGCAGCTACACCGACACGCCCAATTTGGAAGGCATCGAACTGCGATTAGATCAAGTGTTTCCATCGTAATGGGCGGCCCTGCCGGCCCGATATGCGTCAATACCTCGCAACTTTGTCTGAAAACCCTCCCCCCTTTGTGATGGGACACCAGATCTTCAGAATTATGACATCGATTCTATTGTGAACAATTTTTCTTCCTTTTGATCTACCAGATTTTAGCAAAAACTCATCATGTTGTCAGATACTCCAAGTACTAGATGTCGATCGTCATTTTGATCTCTATTTTCGTCACCATATGTACGAATCGTGTGTTAGAATGCCAAGATTTCGCCTTTTGTCATTCGAGCTGCCGGACTGTGCTGGAATTCGTCACTACTGGTTTTGCTTCAGAGCCAGACATGACTTCCGGAAGAAGTATAAATTCTGCTCTTATTGGCCTGTTCGATTCCTCATCTAGTTCTTTGCGTGGTCAACCGCCATCTCTGAATGAACCCGACAAAGTCTGATCCGCACTTGAACGATGGTTCACCCGTTTTGAAAGCAACAGCTCTCAGTGATCATTTAATCAGCACTGTTCCTTACAAATCCCCAATTCTTGACTCTAATCTTCAATATTCATGAGGGAAGGTATGGTCTCCTCGGCTTCAAACTTATTTCAGACCCTAGAAACAGCACCAACATGGTCCCAACCGGTTGGTTGAAATGGGACGGCACCTTAGCGCACAGCATTCACCGCTAATACATAATTCTTTATATGATGCCCTGTGTTGGATTGGAGACTCGAAGTTCCAGTTGAATCATGCATGACTCAGTAACCTTACAGTACGGTTCAATTTGTTAATCTCGCCGAGTCCAGTTTAACGTTCACACAACATAATTGTAACGTGTCACAGACGGAAAATGATATTGGCCTCGTTGGAGTCGTCCTTTTTTCGACCTTGAGCCTCGGAATAGACTTGTTCCGTTCACCTCACCAGAGATTTGCCGGTAAGTACGTACAGGACTGACAAATGCTGACCAAATATGACATCATTACTGCCCGGCAATGGCTATACCCGAAGTGGTAATCCGCTCAGTCACTGTGGCACGATTGGATTTTCCCACCAGCCATTTGTCCGACTTACAGCGGAGTACTCCTCCAGCGTAATTTTCGTACACGCTTGGCGCTCAATTTTCAATCCGACCGGCCCGATGTAGGACTTGTTCGCAAGTATAAAGACGCGGCTGCCCGGGGAACAGAGCAGCAACAACAAAACCCCTCACCTCTTCTCAATGAGCGCACCCGTCGAATTCACTGTCTTCAAGGGCTCTAAGAACGACCGCATCGTCGAAGCCACGACCTCCCGCCCCGCCCCAACGGGTACCCAGGTCCTCGTCCGCATCACGCACTCTGGCATCTGCGGCACCGATGAACACTTCAAGCACACCGACATGGCGCTCGGGCACGAGGGTGTCGGTGTCGTCGAGAGGATCGGCTCTGGTGTGACTCAGCTACACGTCGGCGACGTTGTCGGGTGGGGCTACATTCATAAAACGTGCGGGAAGTGCGACCAGTGTCTTCTCGGTACGCGTCTCTATTCAGGCCTGCTTGTACACTGCCTGACTGTCATTGTCTAGGCCACGACCAGTACTGCGAAGACAAGGAGATCTATGGTACCCACGACTTTGACCAAGGATCCTTCGGCACCTACGCTGTAAGTCTTCGGATGTTGCTCAGCCACTGTCTTTTTTGACTGACCATACACTAGGTCTGGGATGAAGCCTTCTTGTTCGTAGTACCGCCCACCCTTGCCCCAGAAAATGCCGCACCTCTCATGTGTGGTGGCGCGACCGTCTTCGAGGTCATCGAGTCATATAACATCCGGCCAACGGACCGTGTAGGCGTCATCGGCGTCGGCGGGCTCGGCCATCTCGCGATCCAGTTCCTGGCCAAAATGGGTGCCTCCGTCGTGGTATTCTCCAGCTCGAACTCGAAGCGCGACGAAGCGCTCAAGCTCGGCGCGGACGAGTTCTACGCGACGAAGGACGTGACCAAGTTCGAGAACGTGAAGCCGCTCGACCACCTCCTAGCCACCACCAGCTTCATTCCCGACTGGAGGCCATACCTCGGCGTTATGAGGCCCAAGAGCAGCATCTATCCGCTCACGGTCAGCCCCGACGACCTCAGGATCCCGCTCATGGGCTTGATTGAGGGAGGCATTACCATCCAGGGCTCGGCTGTCGCTGCCCGCTCCGTGCATCGTCGTATGCTCGACTTTGCGGCCCGCAACCAGATCACACCGATGATTGAAACATTTCCTATGACGAGGGAAGGTGTCGAGGAGGGCATGGCCCGTCTAAGGGAGGGCAAGGTCAGATATCGGGCAGTCCTCGTCGTGTAGAGGCTCCCGGCGCCTAGTTTACCAAAAGTTTTACGATATTTGACGCATATTAGATCACCTAGACCAGCATTCTAATGTACTTACATACATCTACAATTGTAAAACATCATTACACTTCGAGTTCTCTAAGGAGACAAATTTCCCAATTCTATGTTCAGGCGCCGGGACCACTGAATGCAGTGTGGTTTGTCAACCAGGACGGAAGTTTCGAGTCTTAAATGTCGCGCACCCAGGGTTTAAGCTTATGAAAGCATTCAGGTCAACCTCCGTGTTCTAGGAGCAAATTGAACTCGGCGCCACGGCCGGGAAGACGCTTCGTGGGCCAACGCTTTACTTCCAGATTAGGCAATTCGCCCGGGTCGTATCGTTTCTCGGTTGGCAAGATATATATAGTCCTTGTCCGTATAACGTTCTCCGTATCGCACGCGTACACATAAACTCTCTTCAATCTACATAATGGTGTATCACGTCCATCCTCCCTGATCTGACAAGCGGCTGCTTTTGGATTCTGTCGAAGCGGGAGCTGTAGTACTTCCTGCGTTCCTATCAATCAGAGCATGGTTGAGCAATCTTCGAGGCCAACACGTTTTGAGTTTGAGAAGATAACCCACAAGCTTGAGGATCCGGCGCAGTTGTCTTTCGTTCTCGTTCTTGAGGAGCTCGACGTCTCGTTTTAGGGCAGTGATCCGGTCGCTGGTGATGATGAGAGAGGCGATGAGCAGAGACAATGTGAAAGCGATGGCCAGGACCTGAAGCATGATGCTTGTGGGGGTGGTGGCTTGGGCTCAGGAGGTATTTAAATATGAGCCTGTGCTCAAAGGACCTGTGGCAGATCACCCCAAAGCGTTCATATGGCTCGCTTTACTAGAGTAAATGCCGGCAGTTGTGCGAGCATGAAAGCCTGCCAGTCCCGACTCTTCACCGGGAACATTCGACGTCGACGAGTGAGTGAATGCACCCTGACCATGGGTGCACCCGTGCACAAGTCTACTCTAGATTACATCTGCCATAATACTACGATGAAAATACAACTCTGAATCTACTCGATGTCAAAAAACAAGACCTCGGCAGTCTTGTCCCCGATGTTCTCGACGACAATATCACCCGGTCCCTCAAAGTGCATGTACGCCCCATCACCCTCCCGAAGAACCACCTCTTCGCCGCCAACGCTCGCCTTCACACCCGAGCCCGTCGCAGAGCCTGTGTTGTATCCACTCGTCTGCACCACATGCATGTATCCCTTCGACCCCTGCACGCTCTGCGTCAGACTCTTGCCCCCGGAGAGCAACGTCGCATAGAGCGTCAACGCGCTCTGCACCGGCGCCGGGCCCTTGCCCTCCCGGCTGTCCTTCAACACGCCCTCGGCATCCACAGGCGCCACCACGCGCACCCACTGGTCCCGCTTCTCGTCGTCCGAGAAGTGGCGCGTGAAGTATTTGGGCGTGAGACGTGCGACGCGCGGCAGAGACCAGATCTGGAGGAAGTGGACCTGCTCTAGGCCATACGTCTTCTCCGAGTGCGAGATGCCCGTGCCCGCGGATGTGAGCTGGAGGTCACCGCGTTTGAGGATCTCTGTGTTGCCCATGGAGTCTTTGCTGGGAGGACGTCAGTGACACGTATCGCGCTTCGCAAATCAACGCACTGCTCAAGCTGTCCTGACACCACATAGGAAAAGATCTCAAACTCCTTGTGCGAATGCGTGCCGAACCCCGTACGCGGTGCGACGCGGTCCTCGTTGATCACGCGCAGCGCGCCGAATTCGGCGTGCAACGGGTCGTAGTACCTGTGCAGAAGCCCGTCAGGTCGCAGCATCCCACTCAGAAGGCACACATACGACGCAAATGAAAAGGTGTGGAACGTCTTGAGCCAGCCGTGGTCTGCCTGACCGCGCTTCTGACTGGGACGAGGGATTATCTTGGCGCTCATGCTGTCGCTGAATATAGTAGAGGAAGAGGCGATTTCGGTGAGCGAACGACGAGGGAACGAAGACTTGATATGGGGTCGGAGCAGAGCCCGTGCAGGGTTTATATAGGCGGATCGCAAAGCCATGAGAGGAATGGAACCAAGTATGGGCTATCTGACCGAGCCATCGTAATGGACGTTTTGAATCGAGCTTTAGCGATCACGAGGATCTCCATATTTAGAAACAGCGGCAACACGCGTGATGATCAATCGAGGTAATCCTTGCTAAACACGATTAGTCTGCTGAACCGCTCCTTCTAATGTATTCTGGGTGTTTCCTCTCAGTTCCTTCCAGCGTCATATCCTCCACCATGTAAGCCTCGATTCTCAGCTCACCAATATCGCTACGCGGTCACGCTCGTGCTCGGAGTTGCCTTTTAAGGAGCGTCCGAACTGGGCCGAAATGAGAGCGCGTTTTCAGACCTTGTGCTGTGGAGATGATGCACTATTATGGAAGACGGAGAATCATCACTTTTCTGTTCCTTAGGACCAGATGCCCACGAGATGTGGATCGTGAACCACCATCACCTTTACCAGTGCACAGTTTGTCGGAAGATGTCAGCCATTTCATTTGGACTGATAACAGCGCCTTGAAAATATGTTCGGTGGAATGCAGCGTCTGCAATGGCAAACCTACCAAATCACCTCCTCCAGGGTTTCTGACCAAACTGGTCGCGAAGATTAACTGCAGCCGCTCAACAAACACACTGGCACGGACGTATCAGCGGGTACATTTTTATCTACTAGTACAGCATTCGTAGAGCAAGCTTCAAGGAGACGAGTACTAAAATCATACAAAAACATTCTACCATAGATCCTACAATTCGACTTCGACCTCTGAGGGCTTCAGCATCCCCGGAATCCTCTCCCGCTCTTTCCTCTCCTCCTCCCTCTTGGCCTCGCTCTCGAGATCCAGCACGTTCGACTCGGAACTTGCCGAATCGCCCTGGAACTCTTTGAGCTGGATAAGGAAGTCCCGGACCGCCAGCTTGAACTTGGTCGAGTCGGAATGCAGCGTCGACAGGGACGTGATAAGCGTGCGAATGTCCGCTCTATGAGTCGTGTCAGCAGATATATCGCGCCGTATGATACGGTGACATACGTGGCGACATGCGGGAACGCTGAAGTAAGCAGCCCGTTGATGTACTCTTGCAGACCCTCCATGTTGCCCTTCCCGCCGTCGAACAAAGCGACTTGGATCCCATTCCCGGACGGATCGACCAACTCGAATAAACGCGCCAGAACGGTCGTCTGCATCCGGAAACCGCTCTTGTGGTCCGTGTCCGTCAGCACGAAAAGGATGTCCTGCACGATCGACAGGAAATACGCTTGGAAGAAGGGATTTTTGATCTCAGGCGGAGACGACGTGAAGTTGTCGATCACCTCTAAGCAGACTAGATCGACCGATAAGACTGGATTCGATGCACCCGAGAAGCAAGTAACGTACTCGTCAATCCTAGATCGGCAACGTCGCGGATCGTGTGTTTGATGGCCCACATGATGCTGTCCATGAAAAGCTTGAACTGAGCTGGCTGCAAGCCCAAGAGCGCAGGGAAGCATTTGCTGTTGACTGCCCGGAGGAGCTTGTACAACCCCATGCGGTGGTCAGGGAACTCGGTAAAGTCCTTGGTGATCATATCCAGTGTCGGCTGGAACACCGCGTCGAGTGTGGCCGGGATTTGGACAGTGAGAAGAGCCTGAAAGTAAGATCAGCAAAGACACAGCACGGCACGCGCAAACATCACATACCCCAAGCTTCTCGACAATCACGGCCATCAAGAACAACACCTCTGCCTCCCTCGCTACAGGCACATTTCGCTGGTAGTCACCTAGAATCGCATCCAGGAGCAGCGGTATGAAGTTCGCGTTGACAATCTCGAGACTTTCGGAATCCCCGCTGCCAGCGGCGTTGATGTATGTCTCCATCAGCTTCAGGATATCCTTCTTGACCGTGCGCAGTTGCCTGATCCTCGGCGTCTTGCTTGCGATGGGACCTGGCACAGTCAGCGACCAAAGCTCGAGCATAATCAGGAGTAAGAGGGCGCACCGTCTCTCTGGACAGTCTCGCTGATCAACGCGCTCACAGTCTTGTACAGCCCCAACATATCCATGAACACCCTGCCGATCTGCGGAAGGTACGCGGCACCAATCGCACTGCATGCCGACACGTTCGTCTTCAGGATATTCGAAAGCACCTTCACGTTATCAGAGGAGCCCAGGACATCCATGTTTTGCGCGGCTTGGGCCATAAGCGAATCCCACTGCGCGAAAACGGATATGAGCCAGAATGATGGATGGGGTAGAAACTTGACGCACAGCGCTGTTTGGCAGCTCCATGAGAGTGGCAATCAACCTCTCTTGCGAAGACTTGTTCGCCTGCGCCGAGATGACGTGCCCGACTGCTTCGTAGAACGTGTGGACCTGGTGTTGCGCGTGAAGCCAAAGAAGAAGTGAGCGAAGCAGGCTAGACAAACCTGCTGGGGACTTAGATCGACGGTGATCCTCGACAGATTCCGCAGAATCTCATCGACGAACGGCTCGGTCTCGCCTGATTGCAGAATGACGAAATGTCTTTTACACTTCTGGGCAATCTTGATGAACGTGTCGCAAGCCATATCCTGGACACCTGTGCTTCTGTGAGGCCAAGAGACGACCGAGAACAGAACACGCACCCTCATGTTTCTCGTGCATGAACTCGAACAGCTTGTTGACGACAGTTTTGAGGAACTTCCAGTGGGCCTTGAGGAAGCGAGGATACTGGCCCACGATGTACATGATATCCGACGCGACCACAGCCTTGTTGTCTTTGCCACGCTTGATCTCGACCAGAGCAAGCAGCTCTTTGATTGTTGTGACAAGGAATCGTTTCTCCTGCTCTTCGCCTGGGCATCACCTCAGCACCGAATCAATAGAGCGAGAAGAGGAGAGAAGGACTGACTCATAGTCTGCGAGATGGACCCAATGGCCCAACAGAGCGAGTTCAGATTCGCCCAGCTCCACTCGCTGCCATCCATTTGCTTCGCGAGCTTGTCCATCAGGATACTCTCCATGTCCGACACGTCGAGGTGTGTCAGGTAGACCAAGACGACACGCATGGACTTGTACAACACGATGGTATCAGACTCCTTCATGAACTCGCGCACGATTTCACCCTCTTCGGTCTCGACAACAAGGACCTGAGGGCAGGATCAGCAGCTTGTCCTGTCGGGACAAGAACTAGGTGACACTCACTTCCTCGGGTTTGGCCATTCTTCCGGTGACGACTAGCCTGAGATTGGAGAGCACGGCAGCGTACATGTCCTTGCGTCCTCCGCTCCTGGGACCGAGACTCAGCCCCATCAACAACCCCGCCTCCCCACCCCGCTGGTCCTCCTCATACAGCTCAGAGACTAGCTTGGTCCAATACTCCAGACAGATCTTGAACACCTCCCGCTCCTCGACCGTCGAGATCTTGACGAGATACATGTGCGCATTGAGCAGCGCTTCCTTGCTGGCGTCGCCCGCGGCTTCCAGCGTCTTCAGGTGTACCGTCAGGAAGTTCGTGAGGAACAGGGTGATGTTGAGGATGAGCTCCTGGACATCGTCGTCCGCGTCTGCGTAGCCCTGGCGGATATCCGTGCTCGGTGGGACCATCCGGTTGATGGCGGCCATCACCATCGCGAACAGGATCGTGAACTTCTGGTCGTATTCGGGCCCGACCTCGAGCGCGGCAACCTCCGCCAAGCACTTCAGCGTGACATTCCGGAATTCGGGCTGTTCCAGGAACTGAAAGCTATTCGTCAGCGGAATGAGGACATCCTCTCAATCTCGCAGACATACCCGATTCAGCAAGATGTCAATGACCTGCGTCTCGAAGATGTACCCCAATGGAATCCAGTTCAAGAACCTGAGCAGTGTCTCGAGCGTCGCTTTCACCAGCGATGTCTTGTTCGCCTCCTTCAAGACCTCGACACAGAGCTTGAAGATTTCCGAGAATTCCCCGGACATTTGCGTTTTCAGGTTCTTGGTCTTGGTCTGCGTCATTTGTTCCGCAGAGAAGTCGAAGATTTCTTCAGAGAGGCTGTGCGAGTGTGAGCGGACAAAACGGATGGAAGGAGAAGGGCGCTAGAGGCACGCACAGTTTCAGAATCGCCATATTGTTTTCGCACAATGTCAGGTTGGCGGTCGAGGATTGGATCAGCTCGGAGATGAAGTTCGGCCAGTTATGTGGCCACTCTTGTTTGAGGACCTGGGGGAAGCTAGATTCATGCTCTCCTCGGGTTCAACAGCACTCCACACACACCTGCACCAACACCAGGTTCAATTTCCCGACATACGCCCGCTCCCTTCTGAGCGACATCTCATCCGATGCGACTTTGACCGTCTCCCCAACGATGAAGTTGCGGATGCCTGTAGGAAGGTGTTGGTGAAAAGAACCGAGTCCGCCGAAGCGCGCTTCGGCACACGCACCCTGTCGCTGGCCGTCCGGCAACGCCCTCCACCGCGTGGTGATCAGCCGCTCGAGGATCTGCAGCCCGATGTACTTGGACTGCGGGAACGTCGCGCTCTCCAGGATCTCGGGAACACGCGTCCACGATTCGGGGTTCTCCTCGAACTGCGTGAGGACGAGTTGCGCAGATTGGCGCTGGGGGGAAGCGGGGTGTTAGCGTGTGCGCTTCGATGCCGTGGGGGTGAAGGCGGGTATGGGGAGGGGCAAGAGGGAGAGAGAACGCACATCCCGACCGTTCCCGGTGTAGAACGCCATCGCGACCTTGTCCATCAGCGAGACATCGAAGGGGCGGTTGAAGTCAAGTAGCGCCTGCATGTGTGCGAATCAGCCGCCAATCGGAAGCGGGAAGGGACGGTGCAGAGATGCGGAGAGATGGGCAGACGCACCTCCATTGCTGTTACTTGTGTCGTGACGGACAACGTGGGCTGTTAAACGCGTGTTTTAGTATCCCCAACTGGTGTGCGTTGGTCCGCGCTTCAGTGTCGAGGGCGTAAGCTCGGAGGAAAGAGGCGGCGACGAAAAGGCCAGCTGTGATCGCGTCCAATCGACGGTTGTCCCTCTTGAGCGCGAGGAAAGATGGACAGACAGAGTGGCAATGCACACAAGCTCGGCACCACGATCAGGAAGGGCAAGAAGAACAATGATGATCACGTCGCTTTGACCCTGTTTGGCAACATCAGGACCTGCTCAATTTTTGTTGTGCGACTCTGATCGATTATTCTTCAATAACTACATGATGAGATATAGCGAGCTCTTAGTTTGTGAGGACGTTGCTAGTCAATACATCGAGGGCAGCCATCTGACCCCAGGCTGTGAATCCCTGCGGCGGGCCCGCCCAGCTGGACGAATAAGTATTTCCGGTGGCCGCGAGATCCAGGAGCGCATTATACTGAACAGAATTCAGCATCTCGATCTCGTCGATGACAAACGCCAGAACCAACCTGGACATCGCCGTAGCTGTGGATCAGGGTCGTGAGGGGGGCATTGCCTGGGTTGCGCAGCCAGGCCTCAGCGAGACCGCGGATCAGCACGCTCTTGAATCCAGCATTGTCGTTGTCCGAGGAAGGGTTGGCGCCCTCGGTGATGACCCCGTTACTCCCTTGCCACGCGTTCGTCTTGACCGCCGAGTTCAAGAGGTTGATCATCCTTGAAAAATACAGCAGATCAGTTTCTGTTTCTCGCGTAGCTGGCACCAGAAGCCCCCTACAAGTTGGTCCACGTCGAGTCCTTGGTAACAGCGCCGAGCACACTAAGACCTTCGATGTACTTGCCCGTGTTGTAGGTGAAAATCCAGTTCGGAGATCGGCTGCAGTCTCTGGCGCTCATGCCGTCAAGAACAAGCTGATTCGAGTTGATCATCTGGGTTTTGATCCTAGAGCGCTGGTTCGAAAAAAAAGGCGGTAACTTGGACATGAAATGAACTCACCACGTAGCACTTTGAACTGCAGCGTTGGTGTACATGGAATTTCCGGTGGCCTCGGCCAGGAAAGCAGAAAGCCTGTTGAGATCGTTATTTCCCCTGGATTTTAGCGAGTATCAGAATGGACCGCACGTTACAAAAAGCCTGGAGTCAAAAACAGGGTCAATACATGAGTTCAAAAGGGCATCCAGAGATCACCGACCCAGTGGTAATGGAGTTGATTCCAGAGTCGTCAATCGTGGGGCGCTGGTTTGTGATTAGATACGGTGGTGTTCAAACAATCGAGACGTACCCAGAAAACTGCGCCAGCCATAGTGACTGAATGACATCGCTAAGCAATTTTCGAACAACCGCCCAAAGGACCAGCTCACCGCCATTACAAGCCGATTGGATGGGGAAGTTTTTGTTGGGCTGTGTTCCTCCTCCTTGAATGACGCTGAACGAGCCATCAGTCAGGTGGTGTGCCGTTCAGTGCCATCGAACACTGACAACTGCCGCACATGATTCCAGACAGTAACCGCGTGCGAAAGCATCGTCGCATCCTGAATGACCTTGAGACCCCAGCCTCGGGCGAATTTGAAAATAGACAGCGCACCCCGTACGCCCGGTGTGCATAGATCGCCGCCGTGGCCCACCACCTTTTTCGGGATCAGCATCGTCCATTCCATCATCGTTCACCCAGAACTCACATCGCGTCATCATTAAACTTGCCGCACACCCATCAGCACAGCATCCGCGCGCGACACATCACTCAACCACTCACCCTGCACAGTCCCAATCAGAACACTCCATCCAGGCTCGGGAGAATTACACGACACACGAACGCACCCAAACTGATCGTAGTTGCTGAACCGGTTGAAGACAAGATTCAAGTTGTTCAGCACGAGGGCCTTGTTGACCGTGCTCTTCGCGAGGTAGTCCTGGTTCGCCATGACAGACCATACATTCCCGGACTGCCAGTACCCGATTCCTATCCAGCAGTAATTAGTTCCTAACCACCACCTACTCTGATGTGGAGAACAGACCAGCGAACTCTCCCGTCGACGCGTCGAGAACGGTCGTCATCTGGTTGATCGCGGCCTGGGCGATCTGGATGCGCTCAGACAGCCCGCGGCTGTTGCTGAATTTCTGGAAACCCAGAGATGTTGGTACAGTCAGAGATGCATATCAGACGAATAAACCCACCCGCCACGAGAGCGGGACACCCAAGTCCTGCGCGGCGACAGACACAACTGCGGCTCCAGAAAGCGAAAGCAAAAGAACGTGCCGAAGAAACATCGCGAGTAAGTGAGTGAGTGATTGGGATGGAATAGAATGGACGTGCGACCTGAAAGTGGAGCGTGTTTTATACTCGAGGCATCTTCTGACTACACTCACTCGCACGCGGCATCTCCCTGTTTCAGGTTTCTATTGCAGGGTCTAATTCGTCCGCCGCGGGTGACGACACCAGTGGGCGAGGCGAGCCCGGCTGGGTAGGATCGGCGGCGGCGGCGCTGCAACGATCAAACTGGGTGATGCACGCGAGGAGTTCACAGCGTGCTCAGTCCGCGGAGACTCTACGCATTCGTTCACGTCAGAGCGAGACAGACTTCTGCACGCGCTCAGTGGAGTGATCATGATGCTTGCAATACTGTGCAATTGAGCAATTTAACGTCCTGCTTTGTCTCATCTCAACTCTCGAACGCCCCTCGCGCGTAGTACCAAGCACTTATACGCCAGTGCGCATCAGAGATTTCGCTGCGCGGTTGGTAGGATGAAGTATCATATATCAGGGCCCAGGCACGATATTTGGGGAGGCGCGAGTCGGGACGCGGTGCGCACCGCCATCTGATCATAATCACCCGGCATCCATGACAACTGTATTCATAATTCACGTGCCAGTGCTGTCTGCATAGTCGATTGTCTGTGAGGGCACTACGGCCCACGGGTTGGTTCAGGAAGTCAAACGTCAGCGGGTGCAAAAAAAAAATGATTCATGAACCGCGGCTTCCAGATCTCAATCGCTTGCTAAATGAATCACAAGCTCAGTCCTTCTTTGAACTGGAAATGATTGAGCTCTAGAATACTTAAGACCTGACGTTTGAACATACCCATGGCAAATCACCCGGGCCGTACTTCCTCGGTGGGCGCTCCCAAGCAGATATCTCCTCGAGCTCTTGCTGTGTTTGCATCGGAATGACGACCCCGAGCTCAAAGTTGTTGATCTACGCGCAGTTGGAACACCGCGTCCACGGAACAAATTATGCACACACGTTGAGAACAGGCGAGTTCGATGTGCCCGATAAATTCCCCCAGGCCGCGGAGGTGAAATTATGCGAGCCCAGATATACCCATCCGCTGGCGCTGAGCCGCACGCCCTGCGATCCGATCTCAGCCAGAATCATCTGCACATGGATAAATCATCTATCCCCGACACACGTAGACACCGACTGGCCTTGGTGTGCATAAGGACGCGACCGCCTCTGCTCCTCGAGTCCCAGAAAGCGTCCCTCGGGAAATTCCTCGCCTCCCATTTCTTGCGCGTGCAGAACATGGACGTCGCACCACGCCTCTCGGCGTCGTTGACCGTCTGCTGGGTCGGAAACACGACGCTGATGTTAGCTGGATAGGCGAGCTTCTTCCTTTGCGGCTCAGGAATGCCGAGATGAGATCTGAGGGCGCTCGGGTCCCCGCACGCTGAGGTGTAGAATTGGTTGAACCACTGGGTGGTGTACACGCCGATGCTCGAGCCCTGCCAGAGACCCTCAATTGTATCCTAGCGCTATTGAGACGACCCACCTGGCATTCAAGCTTGAGCTGAGTGTCCCTGGGAACCGTCAATCCTAGAGACTCCACGGCATGCATCAGTCGAGGATGTCCATTTCCGGGCTAAAAGTCAGAATGTATAGCATGTATAGCAAGGGGCAGACTCTTTGATTGTCTTCCAGTCTTGCCATTTGCCGATAAAGCTGGGAACAAGCTCTGCTTTGACCTGATTCCAGTCCCACATAGTCGAGATGTCCGAAACATCCTTGATCGGGAGATCCATCTAGTGAGGGCCGATCGTCAGAAATGAGAGCGCTGTAGACTGGGACGGATGCGGACCGATTTGCTCAGGAATTCTAACCCGGCCCCAGCATTGGTCTTCAACAGCACAGTCTGAAGAATTGTTGCGAATCCGTTCCCTTTGGAAGTGGAAGAACGCCCAGGAGACACAGGGAAAACGTCCTGGATGAACACAGCCTGGGGGTAAAGAAGTCAGGACAACGCAGCAAGTACTCTCAAGGCGCACGTACATTCTCAAGGTCACTCCAATCAATCGGCAGCAGATTCGCGGTGCTCACGACGACACGCAAACGACCCGATTCGTACACGAGCACCATATACTACACGGCATCGCAATCAGCGTCCACTGCTACTGCTCCAAATGCCACGCGCCGAACAACCGAGACGCACAACACACACCTTCATATGGAAGCACCCGCCGAACCCGACCTCCGGACACGTCCGCACCCAGCTCCCCAGCGGCGCCCGCAGCCTCTCCACCACCGGCCCACCACCGGCCTTCGCACTCGCACGCGCCTCCCGGCCCGCCGGCGACACGACCACCACCGGCGTCCCGCGCGCGAAATGCGCGCCGAGCCAGGCCGGGTCGTACCCGAACGACGCGACGATCGCGAGCTGCAGCTCCGCCGGCGGCCCGAGGACGTCCGCGAGGCGCACGGCGTCGCGCCCGTCCGCACGGGGCGAGCCGTGCGTCGTGTGCGTGGGCAGGATCGCGCCGCGGGGGAACGTGCGCGAGGAGAGCGGCGGGAGGGTGCGGGTGCGTTTTGGGGGAGCGGAGTCGCTGGTGTGCGCGAGGCGCCGCTTCTGCCGAGGCGGGCTGAGACGTGCGGATTCGAGCTGGGAGGATGGTGGAAGAACGGCTGGTGTTTGGGCGATGCCAGGGACGGGGCTTCCTTGGATGGCGGGGCTCGGCGGGGGCGAGTCGTCCTCGATGAGGATGGGCCTCTGCGACGATCCAAAGGGTGAATCTGCTGAAGCTGGAGCTTTCGGCTTCGGTAGAGCACTTGTTGCAGAGCTGTCGTCGTGGATTTCGAGCGCCTCCGACTCACCCTCTTGACCGTTGGCCACCGATCCCAGCCAGGTTTCATCCAGAGGCAATGGCATGGAGAGTGCAGCGATTGATCGAGACTTGTGTGGAGGAGGCGGAAGAGAAGAGGCCCTAGCGGCGCGATCACCTGACTGCGACGCGTAAATTTCGAAGCCACTCATGCTTCTGGTCTTATGTAACAGCGACACAACCTCGCTGATCCAAATTTGGAACGTTGTCGAACGACGCGCCTGGGCTTTCCAGCCAGGACACTGCGGAGTATACGTATCTCGAGAGATATCAACGGGAGGAGCCGAGAGATATCAACGGGAGGAGCCGCATGCCGGATTCGGGACCGAACCCGCTGCGATCAAAACATCAATTCTGGTGATAGTGGTGACTCTGAGTCTTGCGGAGAGCCACTCTCTGCTCCAACTCAGATGCGTGCACGCATCATCATACTCCTTCTGCAGGCGGCCCTCCTGCACTTTGTCTCCGCCGAGACACAAGCCCCGTTCCGCATCGGAGCACTCGAGCAGAACCGGTGGAGGCTGGACCACGTGCCCCACCTCAACGACACATCCAATTTCATCTTCGAGACGGTCAATTCTCTACTGCAGCATTGGCCGAACACGCGCTATCGCAATGGTGCGTGACTCTCAATACTCTCCGATGTTATCTGCCCCCCGAATCGTTAATCTCGCGGCAGGCCACACGATAGTGCCTGGAACCATTCCCGTCGGGACGCTTCTATACCACGGCCGGCGCTTTCCAGACGTGCCCAAATATCCAGACTGGACATCGCTCGACCCCGAACACTCTTACCATTTCTGCGGCAGCGACTTTCCGCAGCCCAGAAACTGGGAGGGCCAGGAATACCGTGAAGCTCAGACCGGGTGCTGGCATCTGACGTTTTCCGCGACGCGGCCGCTGCGCGTTCTGTGTTTTGACGGCTCCAGCGCGGCAAACATGATCACGGGCACCCTGGACTCGCAGGATCTACTCATCTGGGGTGACGCGGACCCCAAACGGTGGTTGGATGAGGGACAGAGGATCTCTGGGCTTTGTAAATGGGGCAAGGAATTCGGCATCGACGGATTTGTCAGGTGCGTTGCCCCACACGCCCCGAAAACTCGAATTGACAAATTCTAAGAATGGAGATGGATTTGTGCGTTGAATAATCTCAAACTCTCCACTGCCGTCTGACACAACATAGCGAAGTCATGGTCTGCGATTTCGAAAACGGCCTGAAGCTCGATTCAGCTGATTTCCTTGCTTCGTGGTACCCACGCTGGGAGCCTCCGATTTCCTCTGCGCACAGGTCCGACGTGATCGAGTCTCGCATCCATGATGATGCAGACCCCCTCATCGTGCGGCAGATCCTCGGCGCAGAAGTCCTGCGCGCTGGAATGTGGCACAACCGATACCCAGGCGACATCCGCATCCAGCTCGATCTGTCTCGCGCCGTGTCGTTCTACGACATCGACCTCGTCCCCTCCTTGGTCGCGCACAGACTCGCATCGCAAGACAGATTCGAGCACCGGCTGATCAACATCTCCGCCGCCGATCTACACGCCGTAAACCTCCGACTCCGGTCGGTGCTAGCAGAGCCACCAGCTCCAAGCGCGAGCGGCGTCGACTGGAAGGCCCTGTTCCATGTCCCTGTCGCACGGTACTCCGATCGGCTTGAGCTGGTGTCGCATCTGCTGCAGAGCAGGGCCGAGGAGGCTCTCATACATGTCCAGCTGCGCGTGATGCTCACACCGTACATCCTGCACTCGGCTGTTCCCGACGGCGCGCACGACGGCGACGCATGGGCGGTCCCGATTTGGAAGAAATGCGCCACCCGCCACAGCGATCCGATCCGTCAGCGGGAGGATAGCCTCACACCTTCTGAGAGGACGCTCCTCGCGGCGCTCGAGGGCGTCAACCGCGAGATTTGCCGCGTTGTCGTCGGGATGTGGGCTCTCGGTGTCCACGCTGGACTCGATCCATTGATTCCTGGCGACCCTGGCGCGGATTCCGTAAATCTGGTGGACTCCTGGCGCGCGTCTTTGCAGAATCTCATGTCCTGGCTCGACTGGAGCGTGTGGATCAAATGCCGGCCCGCGTGTGGCGCAGAGGTCTGTCCCCTTCATACGTCGAACATCTGTTGGGTTTCGCTGGCACTGACCCGCTGTGCAGGAGCTGTGCTACTTGTCGACTTGGCCGTACTTCTGGAGCGGCTTGGAAGAGGGATCCAAACCGCCGCCGCCCGATGCGCCATATCTTCGCCCCAACCGAAGTGCATCCGGGTCGTGCAGCCCTACTCTTCATTTTCTTGAACCCTCATCATCTCCAGCGTAGACGATCCAGTGCCCGTATCACATACATGCATAGAACATCACTAGATAGATGCGCCCAGTCTCCTCCCGTGACATTTTGTCCCCTTGATCCGTTACGCGTCCATTCGGCCTGTCTCAGCGGACAGCATGCACGGACAGTGCTTGTCATCCAAGTACGACTTTAGCAGATTGAGAATGTATTTAAGCTACAGCCCGGCGAGTGATAACCCGAGTCCTGTTCTGAGCTCACATGGAATCATCTGTGAGTCACACCTTCTGATCATGACAGACCACAGCTCACATTTCGGGCGAAAAAGACATCGGAAGACATGCCACAGCAGATGCTTCTCTCGATACTCCGAGACCAAACACACAGGGAGCTTCTGAGAAGTGCACCATATTTCGACGAGCAAGCCATCCTAGCGCGCTGGAACAAAGATCGTGCCGATGAATTGATGCTGATGGCGAGGAAGTTGAACAGTCACGTGGGGGTTCGGGAACAGCTCTACATCTTGTACACAAAGTATTTGGCGCTGACTGTGGAGCGGAACACACATGAATTCGTGAGTTGTGTTTTATTCAGTCAATTGAATGACCGAAGCCAATGACATCACATGGGAGAGGATTGCAGAGCGCGTGGTTGGAATCCTCGAAAGGTCGATTGAAGATCACATAACCCCAGACAGCAAGGCAAGTCTGCTGCATGACATGTTGTCCCGTGTTTCTGGAATCCGATCCTCATAGATGTTCGAGTCACTGCGAGTCAAAGCGGCACAAGAACAGGGGCAAGCTGAAGTTGACCTATCATTTGTGTGTAGTCTGTGGGGATTATTGGCGGGATTGGTCTTGGGCGTAGTCGTTTGTAACATTCTTATCCGATATGTCACATGGCGATTGAGTTAAGTAGGAGACAGATGCGGATATTCTCCCAGCGAAATCGATTGTGAACAGACGGCCATACCAATAAAAAAATTGAATGTAGGTCCAGTGTGGATATACAGTATTAAACATCATAGGCATAAGCACTGAGTGGGGCTGGCCACTAGCAGATCATGTCTTAGATCAATGCAATATCCAGCGTGCACCAGCGTGCTTAAGGCGAATTTTCTCTTTCAGAAGCAGGCCTATAAGATTTAGATGGCTCGGACAGCGGAGGTCCATGTTCTTAGAGTCACTCTGGAACAACCAAAAGCGATTTCTACCATTTGAATGATTTTGAATGCCTTTATACATAATTCAGTCTTTTGCTAACAGCAGAAAAGCAGAGTTCAAACCATAAGGGGCAAGAATCGGAAGCGATCTTGAGGCCTTGATTACTCGAGTGGGAGGCTGTTTGATGCGGACCGCCAATCGAGTTATCTAATCTAATCAGATCATCCTACTTCATCTTCATGTGATCACTGCTCCCCAAGCTTCATCTGCCACGACCGAGCCAGATACGACACGACACCCTCACACACGAAACATGGTCTCCTCATTCTCCGACCCGTCTTTCGAAATCCGCCCCGCAGCATCCGCCCACCGCGTCTCCGGCTCAGGCACCAAGCTGCAGCTGCGCGCGCAGCCCGAAACAGACTGGTGGCGCGTCCCCCCAACCTCGGCCGCGCCCGAAATCGACAGCCGCACGGGTGCGTTTTTCGCGACGCCCGTCGACGCGCAGAAAGACTTCGCCGCTGGCGTCTGGATCCGCGGCGCGTGGGACGGCCAGTTCGACCAGGGCTGCCTGATGCTCCTCGCGGGCAGCTCCGACGACGTCCAGGGCGACTGGATCAAGGCGGGGGTCGAGGTCGAGGATGGGCACGAGTTCATTGGGTACGCATGCCCCACTGCTCTCATTCACGATGGAGAATCCGCGGCTGATGCTTTACAAGTGCGGTCGTGACGTCGCCGTTCTCCGACTGGGCCATCGCGCCCGCCGCACACTCTACGTCGACATCCGGGGACTCGCCGTACGCGGTGTACATCAAGATGGTGCGGGAGGGGCCCCTGGTCACGCTCAGCCAGTATCTCTCGCCGACGGGCGCCTCGCCAAGCCCGCCCGCTGCGTCGCACCTGACCAAATTCAGAGAGATCCGCGGATTCAATCTCGATGCCCAGGGCAGAAGCAAGGCGAGTGTGGGAGACAAGTGGCGCGTCGGCGTGATGGTTTGCGGGCCGAAGAACAAGGAGGGGACGGTTGCGCAGTTTGAGTATTTCTCGGTTGACTGTCTGTGATGATTCCTGGTGGGCGAGTTTGCTCGAAAAGCGTTCGATACTCCTGGGTCGTGTCTTCTCCTACTTACTTGTGCGAAACAAACTGTTCCTTGATGGCATCATTTATTTGTTGTCCACGGCGATTCACTTTCTTGCTCTTCCGACAGCGTCACTGCATTACTCGAAGCTTCAGCTACAATTACAACAACCATATTACAACAAAAATCTGCTAAATCCTCCCAAAGCGGCCGCCCGACCGCTTCGTGGCTTCATACACATAGAATGTGCGCACGTGCGTGAGCTCCGTGCGCGAATACGGCGGGGCGATGCTCGACACGACAGAGCCCAGGCGGTCGCGGCCCTGCACCCGCGACGCGCGTCTGCCTCCCGTTCCCATGATGGGGCTCTCCATGACGGTACTGGCGCTGCTCAGCACGCTCATGCGCTGCGTGGGCGTCGGCGAGCGCGCCTGCGAGTAGCGCGAGTAGAGGTCGCTTTGGTACTCGCGCATCGCGTCGAGCGCCTCGCTGGCCACGGAGCTCAGCGAGAAGACGGAGTCATGGATGCTGTTGGCGTCGGAGGACGACGTGTCGGAGGACGGGCCCTCTGGCGGCGGATTGAATCGCTCGCGAAGGAAACTGAGCGTTTGTGAGTCATTTTGTTGCCGCTTCGAACTCAAGAAGCTTACTTTTGATAATCCCACAGCGCCTCTTGCGCGGCATCGCTTTGCGTTTGGCCTTCGCCTATCTCCGCGATCTCAGCCGCATATTCTGTCAGGGCGGTCTTGCACGAGAGCAGTACGCGCTGGTGCTTCGACACATGGCTCTCCAGCTCAGGCTGGGGCATCGGGATGAACGTCGATGGCCAGAGGATCAACCCGGGCGAAGTCGCCAGTGGGTCGTCATCTGTCGGCAGCTGCTGTTCCGGCGGCGCCAGCGTCAAGTGCATCGCCGTGATCTCTTTCACGCCACCGAACGCGCGCACCAGCATCTCAAAGACGAACTCGTTCGGCCGCAGGTGGATCCCGTATTTGAGGTTCATCATGCTCTCGAACAAGCTTTCGAGCTCGCGCGCGCTGGCCGCTTGCTCGTGCCAGACCTCGGGGTCCACGTGTGACTCGGTCGGGGTGCTCGTCTCCTCCTCCTGCTCCTCCTCGACGTTGTAGATCTCGCTGTCGCCATCGCCGCCAGCCACGACGTCGGCCAGGCTGAGACGCGAGAACGCGGTGGACGGGATGCTCGTGTCGAGCTGTGGCGCATCGAGCACTGCAGGTTTTCCGTATGGAAAGAACATCTGGTCGTCGATGAACTCGAGCCGTCCCCCGATACTCAGCACCCGCCAGACTTGGTTCAGCACGAAGTCCCATCGCTCGTGCGGAATGCACAGCGCCAGATTGGCCATCCGGACGAGCTGGAACGTCCCGTCGGGGAAGGGGAGGGCTTGCTTGATGCTGTTGAATCATTATGGTTAGCGTTGGAACCAAGTGTGCGTGCTACACGCACAAGTTCCCCTTCACGAATCTCATGTTGCTCGTCAGTCCCTGCCGTTGTGCAAGAGGCCACAAAGCTTTGGTCGTATCGGTCATGTCAAAGCCGACAATTTGCGTCCCCGCTGATCGCCAGGCGGCGGCCGCATCGAGCATCCAATGGCCCGCGCCGCATCCAAGATCGAGCACCTGCATTGGCGGCTGGTCGCCGTAGTTGTGGAAGGAAGGAGTATTGGTGCTGTTGATCTTTCGCAAAAGTTCGAATGTTTGGCGGTCCCTGCAGGTGACAAGTGAGTAACATACAGCAAGCTTCTGTGTTCCGGCAACTTACGCCTCAATCAGGGCGGCGTCGTAGGAATCTAGCGGATACGAGCCGATCCTGGTCATAATCGGCATCATCGACTCGGGACTGCCGTGCGTCTCTCCCAGGGACGGCCGACGAACGCTGGGGATCGGCGTAGTAACTTCGCGGTCAAGTGATTCGGGTGACGGCAGACTAGGCACCACCGAGCTCTTCTTGCGGCTCAGCTCTATTCCCAGCAGCCCGGGCCGCTCGCCGTTTCCATCCTTCCTCCTGCGGAACCGTATCGGCGTCGAAGACTTGGGGTGGGCGCGCGTCCGTGCACCAGGGAAGTAGAACGGCTCCGCGCTCTGGCTTGACGCAGCGGTCGGCGAGACCATGCGTCCCGACGCCTGGGGCGTGGGGGCGCTTCGGACGCTTGCCGCTGCCGTCGGAGACACTGGTTGCGGCGGCAGCGGTGTTTCGGGCACCGCCGCGATCTCTACAGGAGCGACCTTGGCACTTTTCCTGCGCCCACGAAATCGGAAGCCCGAAATGCCGGGACTCGATGTAGTGCTGGGCCTCATGCGGGACCTTGAAGATGGGAAGACGAAGGCTGGCGCTGAAGTGGCAACTCGGCTACTGCTGCTGGACGCAACTGCCGCTGGGGGATCCGAGTTTCCTGAAGAGGAACCGGAGGAGGAAATCGACTGCCGCGAATGCATCGCCGGATCCCCTCGGGCTTCATATGTGATTGCGCCGGATGACTGGGAGACATGCTGAGGAAAGGAAGACTGGGGGAGGACTGCAAATGAGGTAGACGGGGAGGAGAACGAACTGGACTGCGGGGTCGGATACTGGTTGGCTGGATCAAGCGAATAGTCCGCCGCCACCATTCTGGGCGGCGGTGTATGGTTTGGGTCCAGTGGCAGTGCCCCAGGCACCTGGTGGAAACGAGATGGGAGGAGCAGAGTCGAAGAATGTGGAGGAGGAGAATAGTACGGCGGTTGAGGCATTTCGGTAGGGTGAGCGAATCTAGCGTTGGACCAGGAGGGTTCACTAGTCTGGAGGGAAAGCGACGACGATGAGGCTGGGTATGGATAAGGGTATGCGGTGTCCGTCGACGACTGCCTCGCTCGCTCGGAGTAGTTGGGAGGATCTGAGAGCGCTTCAGCAGTTTTGGAATCAGATAGCGCAGCCCATCCGGTCTGAACAGCAGGTGCATTCGGATACGGTGGCAGTGCCCGTGGGCGTGCACCAGAAGTAGACTGCTGGGTCACCGAACTCGTCGATGCAAAGTGCTCATGATAAGACGGGACCGGTGTCGAGTCACGATTTGGGTTCGTCGCGCGGAATGGGAGGATCTTTTCTCTCGGGGCTCTCTGCTGGGAATCGTCAGACGGCGCATGGTACGGGATGACGTCGCCAGGAACGTCGTATCCCGAGGGTCGTCGACTCGGTGGGAGCCATTGCGCGACCTGGTCACGTGCAGGCATGGGTACGAGAAAGCCTAGGGGCCCTGTCCTTGCAGGCATGCTCAGGAACGACAAGGATGAGGAGGATGGGGCGGGGGATGAGCTGGAACGGCTTCGTATCGATGGGGCAGGCGTGGGAGGGTGCACAGGCCGAGCTGAGCTCGCGAGCTCGTCGGGGTGCGCTTCAGATGAGTCTACGGCCGTCTCGAGAAGTGGTGCCAAGGACGGCTGGGCAGCTATCTGTGGCGGTCGCAGCCTTTTACGCCCTGAGGCAGCTCTACTTGACATTATCTATTCCGTATCAATTCCCCCAGTCACGCTTAGTCTATTGTTGGCACTCACAGCCTTCCCGCTGTGTAACAGCAGCTACGCACACACGCGACGCGAGGGTGTGTGATGCTGGACGACGTGTTGCGGGAGGGGGAGAACAGAGGACTCTATGGCGAAGTGCGACGCGCGAGGATTATATCCGACAGGTGCAAGATCCAGTCCCATTCCCTTTCCCACAGGGCATGGGCCTGCGATCCGACTCGCTTCCGACAGCGGCCCCATGGCTTGTCGCCCAGAAAGTCGACGAGCGATAACTAGCACCAGAACTTCCAGCATGTGGCTGAGCTGTGCGCCGATCAAGTCAAGACGCTCGTAGAAGCATCAGACGGCGCCCTTCCAACTATGTTCTCGATGTCGAATATGTCAGACATCAGCAAACTTTATGCATTTAACAATTCTCGATAGATTGTGGCTTCTCCAACTAAGAACCGACAGCAGAACCGACGCCCTGCTTTGCCCTTTGCCTGCGTGTCCAGCCGGAGGCCGCCCGCAGTGACAATCTACGCTGACGAAAACATTCGCACTGTCATTCCTGCGAAGGGTGCGCATATTCTATCGGACTCTGCGAAGTGCCGGGAGATATGCTAAAGAGAGAACAAGAGTACGAAAGAGCCAGACGGCCTGATCCGGTGCCTATCTCCAGTGCTCATGTCAGTCACTACAGTACGTCTTGCCAGGCCTTGCCGATCCATGGCGGTGGCTTGACTTGCGTTGCGTTGCGTAAGGCTGGAGCCAGATTGGCATCGCATTTTTAGCAACGCTGTGGCCGACTTTGGCTCAGGCTCAGGCTGCTGGAAAAGAAGCCGATGGCTATCCGCTCTTGACTTGCAGCAGCTCAAGACTCTATGCAGATATCCGACGAGACAGGACACCGACAACTGACTTGGACGCCGGGCCACCATCACGGTCCATGATAGATGCAGCAACGCCTGTACGCCGGGTCTTCTGCTGTCCATCCACACAGCAGCTTATTTGACGCATCGGAGGAACGTCTCAACGATTTCCGTACGTAGAATAGACGGAGGCGTGGACCAGGCCGTGATATCAGCGGCCAGAACTGCGCAGATAGGCCCGGCTTAGCGCAGATGGGACGTATTCGAGGGTTTGGCGAGGGCTTCAGGGACGTAGAAGGGCATCGGCTTCCAGTTCATATCGCCCAGTCGCGCAAGGCAGGATAGTCCGGATCCTCGGATTGGCTAGCGGGTGGCTCCTCGGTGCCCCAGCGACGCTCGTAGTCGTTCCACGGCAATGAATAGCAGCAGCTGCACGGGCGAGATCCAAACTCGGCAAATACGTAGCGAGGGCGGTACGGGTCTTATGTGCGTTGACGGGCAGTTGACCGACCGTCCCTGTTAGCGATCCCACGGCGTGTGAACGATCGCATGGCACATGATGCGTCCGTCGAGCGATAGCACTTCCCAAAGCAGCTGCCGAGCGATAGCACTTCCCAAAGCAGCTGCGGTATGGAAGCGTACGGACGAAGGGAGGGTTGGAAGGGGCGAGCGGTGTCATACACAGGTACTGCCCCAGAACGGGCCAGGGCCAGTGATTGCGCGCCGTGAAATGCCACCTTGACGCGTCACTTGATACGCCACAAGTTGGCGACTTGAGGTTCCCAGAAAAGCTCACGGTAGAGGACGGCCCGCTCGTCGCTCTGGATCTAATTCGAATGAAAGGATGGGGATGGAGGAAACCACTGTCGCTGACGCACACCGCATCATTTTTCTTTGATCCGAGTTTCTTTCTATTCAAGTCTCAAACCTGCACAAAACTTGCATCATCCACATGCCTCATGATGATGAACCAGACTACTGTGTCAGATCCAATGCACAGTGCTCATCGGTATCACGTTCTAGCTCCAGTCGCTCTTGAAGTCGAGGTGACAGGGTCATACTGGCATACACCTGGATGCCCAACATTCCGATCCATGGGCCATATGACATCTCGCGAGTCCCATCTTTGACGAGCAGCGCACACTCTTCTCGAACCATCAAGTTCCCAGGCTGATTGAAGTCCTACACACCTCATGCTGCGTACGTGTCCTCCAATACAGCCCGAGCTTATTAGTGGAAACGCGCGCTAGGCGAACATGCTAACTGACGCTTGCTTAGGCCATGGGACAACGCGAGGGAGCCTCCGCAGCGGCAGCGCACCAGTCCGGCGTTCGCGAAGGATCTCGAACCGTGACATCTACTGATGGGTGTGAAAGCTCCCTTGCTTGTTCGGGTATCTTTCCGCGGCCCTGTTAAGCAGCAGGACGCGATGCTACAAGATCGACCTCCCGCACGTCTCGCATCCTTTCTTCCCCCCATCTTCTCTTCGTCCATCCCCCCTTGACAATGGCGGCCAACATCTCTTACGATGCGTGTGAGTAGTAGTAGCAGCAGTAGTAGTATGCGTATCGACTGGCACCCGCTCACGCCTGGTGGCATTCGCGTCTGCAGCAGGGGACCTGGTTTACGCCCAAGACGCGAACACGACATTCGTTTACAACATGGGGGACATCGCATGGGTGCTTGCCTCTACTGCGCTGGTGTGGATCATGGTACCGGGTGTCGGGTTTTTCTATTCGGGTCTCCTACGGTGCGTCTTTAGCGTGCGTTTCAGCGTCGTGTCTGATGCAGGCTTGCCGCAGACGCAAGAACGCGCTGTCGATGATCTACCTCAGCATGATGACGATCGCGGTCGTCTCGTTCCAGTGGTGGCTCTGGGGATTCTCGCTCACGTTCAGTGAGGGCGCGAATATGTTCATCGGAGACTTGAGTGAGTCCGCCCCCGCGTCCGTCGTTTTCGGCACTCTGGCTGACCGGTGCAGAACACTTTGCGCTGCGGGATGTGCTCGAAAAGCCCTCGATCGGCAGCACCAAGATACCCTCGATCGTTTTCTGTGTGTACCAACTCATGTTTGCTGCAATTACGTATGTGGATTCCTGCAATGCTCACGTTCGAGTCATGTAACACCCCCCAGACCAATGCTCGCCGTGGGCGGCTTCGCCGAACGAGCTCACCTGGGCCCACTCCTCTTTTTCGTTTTCGCATGGGCCACGCTCGTCTACGATCCCATCGCATGCTGGACATGGAACTCCAACGGCTGGTCATTCAAGCATGGATCGTACGACTTTGCCGGCGGCACCCCAGTGCACATATCCTCCGGAACGGCCGCCCTCGCGATCTCGGTCTACCTCGGCAAGCGTCGGGGCTACGGCACCGAGGCGCTAGCGTACAAGCCCCACAACACGACCTATGTCATCCTCGGCACGATCTTCCTGTGGTTTGGCTGGTTTGGGTTCAACGGGGGCAGCGCGTTGTCGGCGAATCTGCGCGCGGCCAGTGCGTGTATTGTGACCAACTTGGCAGCCAGTGTCGGTGGATTGACGTGGATGGCCTGGGACTACCGTATCGAGAAGAAGTGGTCTGCGGTCGGGTTCTGCTCCGGTGCTATTGCCGGCTTGGTGGCCATCACGCCCGGCTCTGGCTTCGTTGGCTCTCGTGAGTGATCAAGTCACTAGGGCGCCGTCCCAATGCTCACTGCCTGCAGCGGCCTCTGTTCTGTTTGGCTTCATGGCCGGCACACTATGCAACTTTGCGACCCAGATCAAGTTCTTCGCTGGATACGACGACTCGCTCGATGTGTTCGCCTCGCACGCTGTCGGCGGCGTCGTCGGAAACATCCTCACGGCGTTCTTTGCGCAGAAGAGCGTGGCGCATTACGACGGGTTCACGGACATTCCCGGTGGATGGCTCGACAGGCACTATGTCCAGCTCGCATGGCATGTCGCCGACTCCGCAGCCGGTTTGGGATACTCCTTCGTCATGACGGTAAGCACCTCCTCCACTGCCCGGCTGCTTGGCACATATATCTAACGACACTCCAGACGGCGATCCTGTGGGTGATGCACTATATACCCGGCCTGCGACTGCGCGTCTCCGAAGAAACGGAGGTCCTCGGCATCGACGAGTCCGACATGGGCGAGTTTGCGTACGATTACGTCGGAATGGAGTCAGATACACACCCTCTCATCGGCACACGGGGCGCAGCAACGGCGATGAACATGGACCCGAATGCAGAGAACCATTATTTGAAAGAGCGGGGCAGTAACGCCAGCCATGCGCAGCGAAATGCGTTCCCTCTGTAACAGAGTCGCGGGGTTATTGATAGGTCGACGCACACCACTAGTCCAGTCAAGTATTTTGGCAAATGTTTTCTTGGGAGAGCTCAGGAGACTCTGTAAATTATTGAATATTTTGCGCACCATGGATGCGCGACGTAAAGTAGTTCGCGTGCTGAGATACTCTGTGACAGTCACTACTGCGGGTCTGTGTGCTACGCAGTAACGATTGTTTGCCCTCCGTGAGCAATCGATTGACTCGCACTAAACCTCCTTGACACTCAAGAGTGCGCCAACTTGAACAAGCGATCGAGTCAGCACTAGGTCCAAAGAACTTCGCTGCAACCGAGCGGAGATCGTGAGAGCCCGCAGAGGTGTCATCGGTAAAACTCACGCGGCTGATCTGCCAGGTGACATCATCAGATCTTTCTACTGATACCAATCAGCAACTCGCACGCGAGCCGGAGATGAAGTGCAGGAGGATGAAAAGTTAAAATATGCTCTTTAGTCTTGCATGCATATCCATATGATCAATTCATCGAGTACATGAACTAAGAATTACGCACACCTTCCACCCCCATAACAATATTCGTGCACGTTCATTAGAGAGGGGCAGGAGAATAGAAGCAGGCTATAGCCAGTTCCTGCCTTCGGTGACTGGTGAACAATATCCCTCGCACGCTCAAACGTGTCATGCCCGTATTCTCTCTCATTTATCAGCGCGTTGCCAACGACACAGTCGGCCTGAACATGTCGCTATCCACTCCGTTGCATCGGGTCTCAGAACTTGAAATTCCCAGCCCAAAAATACATTCTCTTTTACTTATCGTTCAGTCCGGCTACGTGTCCCGCAATCACATGCATAAAGGCATTCCAATCTTCGGAAGCTTCCGTTCTTCTCCTCACGCAGAGACTTTCTCCATGGAACGTTCCCTGGGGACCTGGCACTACTGGGCTTGGCCCGGAATAGGGGCTCGGAGGAAGCCGAAAACGTCAGGTACGAACGGAGAGTAAACGGTCCCTGCTCTGCTGAAACTTGACCCTCACCTGTGAAACCCTCCTCTGCACGTGAAACGACTCAGGAAAAACCCGCAATCCGTTCGTCCGCTGTACCTGAAGAACGGCAACTCCAGGACCCCAGATCGGAAAGAGCGCACAGCTGATCAGCGCTGATCCTCGCCCATTTCCGTCAGGCGCACCTCGCTTCTGCAGTTTCTGACGCAGGTCGCAAAGCCACACAGCGTCCCGATAGACCAAGTGCATATGCACGCGCGGGTGTATTTGTAGTGGTCGACATGCCCAGCTTTTCCGGCATGTATCTCGTGCCATGTGAGCCCGAGCGCGTATGCATAGTACCGGCCCCCGGCGGACGATCGAAATAAGCGCAATCTAATCGGTCAAATTTTGTTAGCGAGCCCGATGCGCATGCCCTGCTTCCACCACTTGAACATTCGCCCCGAAACCGTCCAGCGCACGAACACCTTCATTTGGAGAACAGGACTGCACCGAGACAGCGCGTCAACTGAAGCTGCGGGGGAGGCGTGATTCGGGATGGCTGCTCACCAGACATACTACTACTCGCATTCTCCGCCTGCAACGCCGACTACGGCACAAACATCCCGGTTCCACCTCCCCTCACGCCTGCAGCAGGTGCGTTGTGCGCTTGGACCTCATTTTGCCATCTACCCCGGCATGTCGGTCTGACGGGCCTTCGCCAGGATTCAGCGCGTAGCTACCCAACCCCGCAATCAACTCCAGCGCCGTCCCTGAAAATATCTATCCATTCAGCCCCCCACAATGGCCCCCAAACTTCCGACGCAATCACCCGCCCGCCGCGCCGGCCCAGTCCAGCCATGCAGTCGTTTCACTCAGTAGGGTCCTCCAACTCCGGAAAGTCAGATCCCGGGCCTGCCGTGTCACCAAGCACCCCGCAGTCCGCCGTTTTTGTGTATCCGTCTGGGCGGTCGCGCTTGCGCACGTCGTCCTCCACCCCCGGATTCAAATTCCTGAACCGTAAGAAGGCGAATGCGGTTGTCCCAAGCATGCCGTCGTCCCCGCCGCCGTCCAGGTCGCCACCGGTGTCTCCCACAGCCAGCATCCGCAGTGTTCCCGCCTCTGGCTCGACTGGGAGCGGCAGCGGCAGCATCCGCAGCTCGCGGTCGAGTAGCAACAACCAGAGCACACCGGAGCCTTTCGTGTTCCCCGGTGGCCGGACCCGCGCTCATCCGAAATCCTCGGCGCCTATTCGATTCAGAAAGAAGAAGGACGAGGCGGGCGGGAAGACGGGGCTCTTTGGGGTGGCGCTGGGCCGGAAGAAGACGGGGGACCCTCCGCCACCGGTGGCTGTAGTCGTCCGCAGTCCGTCGCCGGAACCGGTCTTCGCCATTGAACCGACGTCGCCGTCCGTAGAGCCAACATCGCCCACCGAGTCGGTCACCGAATCTATGTTTCCGCCTTCGCACATCGTGTCCATGGTCGGCTCGTATCCGCTGGATGCCTACGATGCTGCCCTGATTGAGACGTGAGTTGCCGCGGTCGTGGACGGAAATCAATGAGACTCACTTCTCATCGCAGGGACCGCCAAACGTGCGAACTCCTACGAAGAACCAATCCCAGCAACACTCCCTCTTTCCATAACTACCAGGATCAACCACCAAATCAGGTGCTCGATCTGGGATGCGGCGCGGGGCATTGGATGCTCCACGCAGCTGCCGCCTGGCGGTCTGCCGGAACACAAATCGTCGGTTTCGACATGGCTGATACGACAAGAGCGTTGTGGCCTCTGGCGCAAAGGCAGGGACTGACAAACAACATGAGATTCGTAAAGGGAAACTTGTGGGTGCAGTACGCACACCTTGTTCCAACGCTTACCGTGACCGTTCGACAGTATTAAACAAGCCCTCCCCTTCCCCGACGGGACGTTCCAGCTCGTGCGGATGGCTAACCTGGCGCTGTGCATCCCGCACGAGCGATGGGAGTTCGTGCTGAACCAAGTCTGGCGGGTGCTGAGTGTCGGGGGACGACTCGAGTTCATCGACGACCAGATCCTCTTCCCGTACGGCCAGCCGGCGATCCTCACCGCCCGCCCCCCGCATCTGGACACAAACATTCCCTCGACAGCGTTCTCGCGCATGAGCCTGGCGAATGTGATGGGGCGACAAGGCGACGACGGGGACAGCATCATCTACAGTATGGACGAGGAGAGCTCCGATACGGACACCATTTCGCATGTCCCCATGGACGGCGTTTGGGACGACCAGGCCGCCGGCGCACGAGAGCTCGAGGACCTCTTCGAGAGCATGATCAACGTCAAGTTCGGTATCCACCTCCGGCCGAGCGATTTCGTGCTCGAGAAGATAGTGCGCGCCTTCGGTGGCGTGAAGGAGGTCACGGCCATGCATTTGACGTTGGCCCCCGTGGCGGACGAGCACGACGCTGACGACGCGCTGGCCAATTCCCCGGGGCTGATCCTCTGGCCGTCGACATTCATCCCGATGACGCCTGAGGAGTTGGAGATCCACGCGTCCAAGCACCAGCGGGTGCTGCTTTCGTGCAAGGCGGGACTGATTGACTACGCGGCGGAGATTGCGGAGATCGGCGAAGGACGTACACAGAGCGACGCCGCAAAAGAAGCGCTGTGGGACTATCAAAAGTGAGTTCCCAACTATACTCGAGGTGCTGCTATACCAACGCGACCCGGACAGCTTCCTGCACGACCGCTTCAACCCACCACCACAGCTGCCAACCCCGCCCGAATTCACAGCCGTCAACGACACGGCCAGCGTGCGGGACTCGATTTGGTCCGTCGCGAGCGATGCACTGGACGCCATGCGCGAGTACCAGAGCGAGCTGAGCTCGCGCTACGAGCTGTCCTCCCAGTCGTCGCTGTCCGTCTCCCCGCGGTCGTCGGCAGGCGTCCTCCCGCGCATGAAGTCGATGAACAGCATCGCAGCGGGCAGCCAACGCGCGGGGCTCGTCGGATGGAGCAAAAATGGCGCGCCGCCGTCGTACGCGCGCGCAGAGCCGACGCATGTCCGCACGTTCCATGTGTACGAGGCCGTGAAGAAGTCGGACGGGCGGTTTGGGAGGATATGACGGGTATCAAGATAGTAGTGTACACTGTATGCATATGGGGCCTGGAAGGCTGTGAATTCTGTAAAACCGAAGTCGCGGGTGAAGAGAGGTGGTAGATCAAATGTCAGTTTGGAATCGTAGGGCTGCAATCGATCCGCATCAAAGCCGGCCCGGGACCGTATGTTCTCAGACGAGATACTCATCTGTGTTTACTTACCCTCTCCCGTCTTTTCATGCAGGCTGCGCTGCCGCTAGAATTGATTGAACTTATCCTCGCATACGTGGATGACTCGGGCCCGTCGCTGAATTCACTCGCTTCGTCTGCCCGTTCCTTCCGAGCCATCTGCCAGCGCCGGATCTTCCGTACGCTAGTCGTCCAGGACGCTGCTTCTGGCTTCCGCAACACCTTTGCCCGGCTGGCCTCACTTCTTGAAGTGTCTCCGAGAATCTCGTTCTGTGTGCGGAGCCTGAAGACGCCGCTCCCTAAAGTCACGTCCGAAACGCGTGCATTCTACAACATCGTGCGCGCGCTGAGAGAAGCTGGTTCGGTCATACGCTGCGTCATAACGACGAGGAGGGGATGCGACTGGTCTTCCCTGCCGCGCGTCGTGCGGGATGAGATGGGTCTGTTCTTCGCGATGGGGTCGTTGGAGAAGCTGCACCTGGCCAAGATGACCAACTTCCCGGTCGCAGCTCTGGAGGAGATCGCAAACAACGTCGAAATTCTTTCGCTTAGCGAGGTCTTTCTGCACATCGAGTCGGTCGGCGAAGAAAGGAGACAGAGCAGGCTCGAGTACCTCATACTTCCCTTGGGAAGCACCGTCTATCACCATGAGCAGTTCTTCCGGACGTGGTTCACACGAGACGAGTTTCCAGGACTGAAGAGGCTTTCCCTGGGCGTGAATTCATCGCTGGATGACACTCACCTCGCCGTACTGGAGCCTCTAGGCGCGCAACTTGATCAATTAGAGCTTAATTTTCGAAGTGCGGTTTCACCCTCCCATGCATTCTCATCTCACACTTTGTAGCCATACGAAGCAATATCCCCCTTCCTGCAATGCCTCTGCTACGCACCCTGGAGGTCACATTCAATCTGGGCATATCGAGAGTCTTTCCAGAGAACATTCCCGGCATCATCTCGAGTCTTCGTGGACTTGCACCGCGGCTCGAGCGGCTCGTGCTGGTTTTCCAGATCATGCCGACGATACCCGAAGTCGCTTGGGACCGTGTTCTGGATGCTGCGCTGGTGCATAGCGCGACGCCAGCCCCACTAGCGTGGGTGGGCCTTGAAGCGCTGGAGCACCTGCAGAACGTTTCATGCTGTCTGCATCTCATGGCTGATTACTTCCACGGGGACAACAGCGCGCTGTACGATGGGTTCGTCGAGTCCATAGAGAACAAGGTGCCTAGTGCGCTGAAGCGCAGCGGGAGGCTGGGGTTTTCGAGGAGGGCCTCGAGTTATCGATACGAAGATCATCTACCCTGACTGTTGATGACTCGGGAATGATAGACCTGCATGGGAGACGAGTCTTTTGTCGCCACTGGTCGTTCCTCTCTTCATGCACGACTCATGAGCTCCCGCACCCATAACGACATCAGCTTCATTTCCCCCCATCTTATCTGGCCAACCTCATGATGAACTGGTACGCCTCGAAGGGAGCTGCGGAGAACGCCGGGAGCTGATGGAGTGGAGAGACGACTTGACAAGAGTTGAGGGACTATGCCGGTGATTTGCGAGTAATCCCCCACTTGTACGGCTCTTTCAGACTCGTCTGGGGAAGTTTACTGTCGGACAATAAACAGAATGTTATATCAGCTAGACATAGGTGTAACATGTCCGAACTACAGGTCCGAGGTCACCGTCACCGGTCTCCAGAAATGGCATGCCTCATAGAGCTTGCTGCTGTCCGCAGACGCTTGCATTTCATCGCGCAACCAACGGTCAAGAAGCACCCAGAAGTCTGGGGCCCCGGAGGCGCCTGAGTGCCAGTCGGCTATCCACTCGAAGTGGCCAGCACAGACCACGACCCGACGGTCGCCCAAGCCCGGCACTGCATCATCAAGCTTGCTCTCCAGGTCCCAGAGAAACAGAACGCGCAGATCCTGGCGTAACAGCGCATCGATGGTCGCGAGCGGAGTTCGCGCGTCGATGGCGAGATGGGTCAACGCAGTGAGACGTCGCAGCTCGGGAAGATGCGCACTCAATGAGCTGCCCGCGGAGTCGTCGAGGTCGAACAGGCACAAATGGGTGAGCGCCCCGAATACAGGGGAGGAAAATTCGAGTCCCGGTTCCGAGAGAGGCACCAGGAGCAGCATCTTCTCGACGCGAAACCCAGCGCTCTGCATCGTGCTCAAGATATCGGGATCCCGCATACCACCGCAGACCATGACGTTCGTCGCTCCGCTGCAGATGTGGAGCAGGGTCGCGAGCTCCTCTGCAGACCATCTATGCACCCCCCGCTGTGCGAAGAATCGCATATCCAGGGTCTGGATAGCCACATGTCGGATGGCGCGGTGGAAGAACTCGGCCCGTGCCGGATACTGCCTCAGAAGCTGGTATTTCTGGTCCGTGTCCAGGACAGGCTTGACCACGTCGATGCTCAGAGAAGAGTACAGCTTGGGTTCGATCCTGTTATGGGCGCATCCCGCCGCTCGCGTCAGTGAGCGAGGCGGGTGGGATGGTGACCCACCAGCTGTGCACTCTTTGCGCGACACGCAGCAGCACGGGTATCGTGCCGGGATCTAGGTCGGCTGCGAGCTCGAAGATCCGTAGCTCCAGCTCGGGTGGAAGTGAAGGCGCGCGCGCTGGACACATGGGCTGGGATGAGCTGCAAAGTTTGGGATTCTGGCAGAGGAAAGTTGGGCGGCAGTGCTAGGCTATCGCGGTTTCTCTGAGTATCGGATCCCGGACATGTTGCATAGCCCTTCGCATGACAGGTACCGTCGAGTGGACTGCGGTATGACTCTGAGGCACGTGCACGTCACGATTTGGACAAAACGACTGACATTTCACAAACAACATGAAGTTTGAACAGTGCTGACCTTGATATATTCCGACGCCTTTATGCAACACCCGGCTGAGGCTCTTCGACGCGGAGAACCAAAGACGACGTGAATGTGATGGAATTGAGCTGGATGCAGACGATCGACTCAATAACGTCTCTCTCAAGCCCGCCGCACCTTCCAACTCCTGATCATCCTACCCAACCAGGCTCCGCATACTAGGCAGCAGCCTTGCACTGCACTCGAAATCGCGGGCCAATTACCATGTCGTGTGATGCACTCACACGACGAGAGGAGGCGGGCCTGTTCGGAGGATGAGCGCGGGCCATTTGGACAGCGGGGGACTTGCTCCTGCGTGCGCGACCAAGCCCCGGGGGGCGCGCTTGATTAGCTGAACCGGATCTCTTCCGGCACACATGCTGCTTGGTACGCACGACGACGAGAGGAAACAGCTGGATTCGCGATTCCCACCTCCGACCAGACCCTCACGCTCTCGTTGCCCCTGCGTTCGCTGCTCGCCCACGCACGCATATAGTCGTCGTAAAGCCGCCTTGGGCTCGGTGTGTATTGGCTGCTCCCGCGCATGGAAGCGCCCACACCTGCGCCGATCACCAGTGATCTCTGCGATTCGGCCGCTCGGACAGGCTCGCATCAGGATGGCAGTGGGAGGCTGCGAAACCGACCGACTGACCATGGGCTCACTGCCGGGTCTACTGGAACTCGCAGAGGAGAGCAAAGCAGAGGATGAACGAGAGCGTGATAATCATCGTTAGGAGAGAGCACGAGACCCCACCAGGTGCTGGACGTGCTGCAAACCTCGAAACGGTCGCCCTACCGTCCGCGACCCTGCGCCTTGAGGTCGAATCGCTGCCTGTGCAGAAGCCGGTGGCTTTTCCAGTCCTCGTAAGTAACCCTCGACGGCCTTCTTAAATTACGTGTTATGGAGCTCGCGGCATTGCATCCCCCTTGGAAACCGACTTCAGTGCCCCATGAGCGGCCGAGCGCCCTCTCTTCCTCGAACGCAAAACAAACAGCTCGCTGGTCTTCTTCCGCAGATATCATAATGCCGGATCTCGGCACGTGCCGCACAAGGGCACGCAGGCACTCCAGCGAGGCAGCGGTGGGAGAGGTCATTCTGCCATGACCAAGGACGTGTATTCCGCAATGCATCCGAAGAAAGGCTGTCTGGACGTCATCCTCCCGTGATAGCGTGTCTCCTTGATATGGCGACGGCGGCTCAGCTGACGGGACTTGGCAACCACCCGACAGTCTCTTGGAGCAGGAGGCCAGATCCCGGGCGCTTCTGACACCATTGAGTCGGATGATTTCCGGATTTGGGCTGGCGAAGTTCAGCCGCGCAGACAAGGCGGGGGCTCACGTCTGCCATGCTATCTATGCTCGCGAAGCCTGCCGTCGACGCTGATTCCCGCGCACACATCCGAGGAAGAGAGCATCGCTAGCTGTCATCCGGCGTAGCGACTGTGTGGACCCGCTGGACAGTTTACTAAACATCGACGACAGGCAATTACAATCACTGCCCAACTGGCCAGGGTCCATTTCGGATAGTCTCAATCGTTCATATGACGACACAAAAAGGTCTCGTGGGGGGGCTGCCGTTTCTGCTGGAGACTGCGTATAAAGAGCACGGCCTGTAGTCTGTGCTGCTCAACAGTTCTCCGACTGCAGACTACTACCCAGTGACATGCTCTCGCAACTTGCCCTCCCGCTCCTGGCCGCTCTGCCCTCCGTCCTCGCACACGGCGGAGTCGTTTCGTACAACATCGGCGGACAGACTTACAAGGGATTCCTCGCCTACAATACCCGTACGTGGTTCTCAGAATAGTATCATCCATGCTTCGTGGCTAGACTGACGCGGCTCTCAGCGGTGGGACAGAGCACGATCCAGCGCCCCTGGGCAACCTAGTACGTCGTCCGTCTGGGATCCAGGCTGAGCCGCTCCTGACTTGCGCACCTAGCGATCCGATCCAGAACGCCACGGATCCGACGATCGCGTGCAACGATGACGGGACGTCTCTTGCTCTCCAGCTCACCGCGAGCCCGATCGCAGCTGGTACTGCCATCACCGCTTTCTGGAACCAACCCTGGCCGCATCCCTACGGGCCGATGGTGCGTTCATCGACTGCCCACAGATATGTTGTTCTGACATCGCCTAGCTCACGTATCTTGCTCAATGCCCCGGCTCGACATGCACTGGAGTCAATCCCTCCACGCTCAAATGGGTACCGCACACACATTTCGAGATACAACACGCCAGTATTCTGACGCCCCTTCTCAGTTCAAGATCGACCAATCCGGCCTGATCAGCGGGACGATCTTCAACGGGACGTGGGGATCCGGCAAGATGATCGCGCAGAACTCGTCCTGGACGACGACGATCCCCGCCTCGGTCCCGGGCGGGAACTACCTCATCCGCTTCGAGACGATCGCACTCCACTCCCTCCCCGCTGTGAGTCATTCTCATCGCTGCTGCCGCCTTTGCGCGAGATTGCGCCCGGATGCTGATTCCGCTCGCAGCAAATGTACCCCGAGTGCGCACAGATCGTGATCACCGGCGGCAGCAAGCCCATCCAGCCGACCGCGGCGCAGCTCGTCTCGTTCCCTGGCGCATACAGCAACTCAGACCCCGGACGTGCGTCTCGTCTCGCCTCTTCTATGTATATATGCAGCACAACGCGCTGATTCACTCACGCGAAACAGTGTCGATCGACATCTACTCGAACCAGGCCAGGACGCAGACGACATACCCCATCCCCGGCCCGCCGCTCTACCCGTCCGGCGTCGCCGTCACCAGCGTGAGTCCCGCCACTGCTGCTTCGGGGCCGTGCGAAGGATGCTGATCGCGCGTAGACCGCCGCCGCGACGAGCACCGCCGCGGCCTCTGGACCCACCGGCCCGGGCACGGTCCCGCAATACGGCCAGTGCGGCGGGCAGGGCACCGTCCCCGCAGTCTGGTGCGTCCGATGTATCGCAAAGAACTCGGCGGCGCTGACCCACCTGTTTTCCCCGCAGCATCTCGCCCTACAAGTGCACCGTCGTCAACCGTGAGCCGTTTCCTTCCCGTTGGTTTTGTGCATGAGATGTTCTGACGTGTGTTTGTCTGTGTGGTAGAGTATTACTCGCAGTGTCTCTGATCCCGAGGATGGCCCAGTCGTGCGGCGCTCAGCTTGTGCCTGCAGGTCGATCGTTTCTCCATGTTATTTATGAATTGTATGCAACAACAATTGAAGTACGCTTATGGTGACGGAAGATGCGTGCCGGAGAAGATATTTGTTGGACGTGTAGCTACCGACAGTCGGTGCATGTTTTGTTGCGGGAACATTCACGCGCCAGACGCCGGCGAGCGGAGGCCGAGTGCGCTGCAACCCTTGTGGTCCGATCTTCTTGTGTGAAGGCAGATTGTATGAGTAGGTAAAAGAAAATCCAGACCTCGCTTGAAGCTTTGCAATCTATCCGCTGACGCAGACCTCGACATTCAAATCACAGAGGACCTGCACTGCCACATGGCAGATTGAACAGCTGGAGCACGTGCGCTTGCTGATCATGAGGATCAATCGATTCCCAATCCGGAACAATTTAGACCACCTGTGGAAATCGTGGCTCCAGGTGTGTGGATTGTTTCAAGAAATCATCATACAAGACTCCTTAAGCTTTATATCCCTTTGGCGCGGCCTGGATTCCCAACCACGGAATGTCAGGGCAGTCTGCCGGTTGGCACTCATTGAGCCCATCTGATGAAGATCCAATGCGTTTGATCGGTCTACCATGCGCCCCGGGTATCTCATCTCGACGACATTGGATTTCATACGACCCCACAAGTCCCACCAGTAAGCCCCAGAGCTGAACGCCCTCCGAGAGTTTTTTCCTTTCAGAAAACACCCAGCCCACGGACAGAATGCTGGCTTGGGCACCCCAGAGTGAGGAATTGGGACGGTGGTGGAAAGAAATCAGCGACCGGCGTGAGACTGGGGCGGATTCTCGGATCCGTCGTACTCAATTGGTGGAACGCATTACTTTTTCAAGAACTCCGCATATGTGAGGAGTCAAATGGAGTTGGGCTTGAGTGCTTTTGGGGATGTCATTCTCCCCAAATCTTTGGAATGGGAATGTTGACATCAACATGACTTGCACTTATTGTTCACGAAGATCCTGTACGCAGATTTGATCTCACAAGAACTCGGCCAGAATGGATGTCCGGGCGGCTCAACGTTGGAGGAGTTTCTTGGGTCCCGATCAAATCGCCTCTGCGAAAGCTGTACAATAATTCATTGAGAATCTGTCCATGGGTAAAGAGTGAAATAGGAAACAGGCTTGTCTGAGTCGTGTAACAAGGGGTTAAAAGAGTAGTCCATCAAATCAGTCCGTAGCTAATCACCAGCCGCGCGATACATGACATGTACCGCAATTCCGTACGAGTAGGGACTATTGCGCAATCCCACGCGATGAAAATTTCCAGTGAGGAGTGCACTCACGCGGACAAGGCCCGGAACCCTTGCATGCTGAGAAGATCTTGGCTAGAGCCCCGCAGGCGCGCCGCCTTCTCCGCCGCGGGGTGGAAGAAGCGGGTCGGCCAGACGAGCGCGTACAGCGACATGGTGAGCAACAGCGGCAGCGCGTCGAGGAGATAGAAGTAGCCTTCGTGCGTCGCGACGCGGCCGCTGTAGCTGTAACGGCGCCGTCAGGTCCATAGAAATGCAAAATGGACAAGGAGGAGACACGCACCCCCCGGCAAATTCGGCGATGCGGAACACAGACCGCGTGAGGATGCCCACGCAGGTGACGCTCATGATGAAGACCAGGATGCGCCAGTCATCGATCGGCTCGGTCGAGAGGATTCTCACTGGCGCGGAGGTCTTCGGGTGCCAGATTTGGGGGTAGTCGCTCTCGCTGGACGGTCGATCAGCCCCATTCTGACTGCAGGATGAACAGAAATGGAGGACGACGCACACATGATGGGCAAAGGTGAACACGAGGAATGTGAATAGCAGGAACGAAACGGCTTGGAGGATGAGCCCAATCAACGCGATCTATACGCCGTGCGTCGTGTCAGGAGTCGGAAGATTCTACGCGTTGGACATGGGACGACGCACTTTGGAACCTAGATTGGCCTGGCTGACGTTGTGCGACGACGTCAGACCTCCACCCGAAACCTGCAGGAAGAACGTCAGCGCGTCGCTCCATACGAAGATCTTGACGACGCGGGTCGGTTTGATGGCGAGGCACCGCGCGACGATCTGCGGGTCGAATGTGTTGACGAGACGGGAGAGCAGCATGTAGTCCGTGGCCAAAAAGAGGCATGGCTGTGTGCGGCTGCCTCAGCTCGAGTCTTTGAGGGATTGGAAGGCGGAGATAGAGTACCGAGAGCAGAATGCACTGAAGAATTGTTAGGTCGCTGCCAGCACATTGCGGGAAGGGACATACCATGTCCCAAGCGGTATATTTTCCAAGAGTGAACGGCGGTGTAGCGTACATGTACCGCAGGACGAAGCCGGCTGACATTGCTGCATACATCACAAGAGCATGAGAAAACAAATCTCGCGCCTCAACAACCCCCGAAACGCTCACTGGACATCCCGAGGTTCAGGCTGAGCATAAAAGGGTGTTTCGGTTTGTTCAAGAAGAATTGGATCCACATGACCGCCGCGGATGTCCCGTATGCGATAGCGCCGATGATTGAGAGAGATTTCTGGGCTCGCGCTCAGACACCCGTAGACTGGGCAAAGCTGGCCGCTCACCTTGGGTATGAATCCGCCGCTGACCGACCAAAAATCAAGCGTCAGTCTATTGTTCTGGCCACTCAAGAAAATTGGCCACGCACATCGGTGTATCAGCGCTGCTGTCCCGCTGAACGACTTGGTGTTCCGCGGCAAAAGCCGCCACGAAACAGGCGGCGAAGGTCAAGAGAGTGGCAAAACGAGACATGAAGAAGAAAATAATGCTGGGCTTGGTTCTGGGAGTCGTCTTTTATAAGAGAAAAAGCCGTTTTTTTGATGATCAGACGTGTTGGCGCGTAGGACTCATGCAGTCAAATCACCACCCCAGCCACAGCAGCTGGCGTTCACTGCATTCCTTCAGATTACGGGAGCCGGCCGCACTGATACCAAACTGCGGGCTGCGGAAGAGCAGGCTTAATCGAGTATCAGCACCCGTACAGGCGGTGAATGAACCCCGCAGATTGGAGAAGCTGGACGCACGCGCGTCCAAAAAATGATCTCGGAACGATCCCGATAACGCGAAGCCAGTGCGAGTGGTGGCACAGGGCGCTCATGGCAGCGCGACCGCTCAAAGGACGCTGCTTCGAGTCCTCAGAGTATCTTGGAAATCTGGGCTTTTTCCCGCCTTCCCTGGGTGCCGGGATCGGCTCACAGGCCTATATCAAGAAGATTGGTTTGCCAATAGCGTCCTGGTAAGCTGGTGAGTCACTGATCGCGGCATATATAGTTTAAACACACCTTGTGCAAGCCGTTGGAGCCACAGCTTTTGACAGAGCGCGTGTTGTCCGACGTAAGTAGTTCCATCGGACATGTCATCGGAGCCAGATACAGTCCGTGTTGTTTGTGCGACATCACAAACCCACCTCGCTTTGGTGACTCTGCTTGTTTGCACTGACTGTAGTATTTCCAGCAAGGTTTCTCCTGAGCGTTTTGAGCCACATACTTCGGTGGCTTGCATAGAGGATAGGTTCTCCCTGGAGTTCATCGAAGTTTGAAATTAACGAGGAACGACAAGATCGGGACCGGACTGATGGCACGCCAGCTTGGCGTATCGGGATCAGGGTTCATTGATTGGCCGTCACGGTCTGAAGGTGGCGATACACCGTCAATGACGTTGGCGGTTTCTCGTTCAGCAGAGATTCTTGTGGTTTTCTTTTTGGGTACACTCAAGGGAGAAACTCTGCCTGAAATAGAAACTAACTCAATTGTAAATCTGAATTCGATGTTTCACTAATTTGCGTCCAACAGAAGGGAAATGGAGAGCACGATAAGGCCATAATGTTTTGATTAGGTGTATTGAGGCGGTGCGTTACGAACAGTGGCTATACAGGTACACCCGATCCATATCTTGTGGTCCTCGTGTGTACATGACGTTTAAGACGACGCGATCAGGATTGGTGATTCGATTAGCATCTATAGACATTTCTCCAAGTTCCTCTTGCATTAAGGTTTCCATGCACCCTGTCGATCATGGCCGTCACCGCCCACCCGCGATGACCCCATCGACCGCAAATTTCATTCTGGTTGGTAACCTGCACAACAAACGATTCGTATCCGGCCGTTTGATAATGTTCTTCCCATACTCCTTGATCAATGAAGGCAACCGCAAATTCCTCTGAAAAAGACATCTGCAATTCTCTAGACAAGTAAATCAAGGCTCTGTTGAATTTTTGTTGATTCCATGTGGACTTACTTACAAGGACACAGGATAATCAGTCACGCGGTATGGTTTCTTATCGTGTCCGTTGCCTGGATCAGGCCGGCTTTGAGAACTTGACATTGGAGCGAGAATCCATATATTTACCCTTTCGAAAGCCTAGAATCTCGCGCAGAGAGTGATAATCAGCGAATGAATGACCTTGTGGGAGCACAATTCTTGCCGGCTGCTGCCGCAGCGATAGGTGCGGGCCTTGTGCATATTCGGGTACGAACTGCTTCCCTCGGATGGTCGGCTGTGTGATATGCGAACAGGACATCCTGAGATCATGCAGACGGGCAAAGGCGGTGAGAAATCCGGAGAAGTTTGTGTCGCTCCACCCATTCCTCTCCTCGCCATCTGCCCAGCCGTAGGAATACATGCAGGCCTAAACATTTCCTTTCGGTTCTCTGCTCGACGGAGTCGATTTCTTGTCTGTCCGGGCGGAGAACGATGATGCCTACTAGAGCACTCGTGTATCCATCAACATCTCAGCCCCGATTCCATTGCGTTCGTGGCAGCCAGTCTGTATATCGGTCTAGAGTCTCAGTCTCATCACTCCTGCGCTGATTTACGGCTCTGATGTGTCCATCCGGCAGGCCCGTTGGGAGGCTTTGACCTGGCCCACTTTCTGAATTTCTTTCTGAGCAGGATACCGGAGAACCGGAGGACGGATCTTTAACCACGCCGTGCCAACAGCAGTCGGAAGGGGATATATGCGCCGAACAGGCGATGTCGTGTTGGGATAAAAGTAGTTTTCAATGAGCCTAGCATCCTCTGTCGTCGAGAGTCACAGCCCGCGGTCCTTTGACGCACGATCAGATTCAACCCTGTCTAGGACGGTGACTGACGACCTTGACTCGCCTCACAGTAACACGAAGCCTGAGATATCGGACATGGTGCTCAACTCGAATATCTGTCTGCGATTTAGTTTCGTACAAGGAGACATGCGGTGGGACGAGGAACGGGATTGAACCGCGGTCTGTGGGGTGGTGCACTGACGACTGTCATGAAGATGTTTGTTGCTGCAAAACTCATTCTCCTCCGACTGTGCACATGAGACTCATCTTTTTATTCCCTTGAATGATATTTTGTTTTGGCTAAAATCAATGAAAAAGTGTTTGCTGAGAGGAAACAGTACCTCTTGAGCGGAGCTCGCACTGCCAACGACAATACGCTTCGACGAATTGAGGTGCACTCAGATTGAGCAGGTGCCGAGTGATTCATTGCTGCTTTGGAAAGGACGCCCGTGTATGTCGGATTCTACACCGTTGTGTGAGAAGTAACGGACCATGTGCCGTTGGAGTGCATTGGTACGCACAAACCAAGCGACGCCGCATGCTCTTTCTGGACTGTACGATAGACATCAGAAATGAAATCTGCTTGGTCAGACGGACCAAGTCGGCCAGCCGGATTTGGAGGGGTGGAATCGGACCTGGATGGGGGCGCTCCCGGTCAATGAAGTAAGACTGCCCTATCGGGAATGATTGACAACATCATTTCGTGCTGATCATTTCATCAGGTACATAGTCTCATTTGTTTGGAGGGATAGATATAAACCCACAGGCAGAAGAAAATTCTTTACAAATGATATATGAGGATCAAATGCTCAACACCTTCCTACAAGATTTCCCCATGACCTGTCTTATCACCTCGAAAAGGGCCAACAACAACCCAGAGACCTATCACAAAACTTTTTGAGCTTTGCTTTATGAATTGAGTTAAAAACTCAATTCATTCTCTCGGCTAAACTTTGATATGCTCAAAAATCGCGATAAATCAAAACAAAAACTTTGGTTCCAAAGATTCGAAACTTTTTGAACACTTGGTCCAAGTCAGTATGTTTTCATCTTTTTTTTGGCTCGAAATGTATCAAGTTGGATATAGAATTTGAGCCTGAATTGAGTTACATCCGTCTATATCCTGACTGGTAAACTTTGTAGACTACAGACCGAGGACATCCTTAACAGTCTTCCACTGGTGTCCCGGCCACAGCGCGTTTCCGCTCTTGGACGCCTCCTCATCGGGCACACCTTCGACGCCGTGGCCGGTCGTAGCGATACCCTGGTCAGCGATTTGCATCAAGAACGTCTTCAAGCCAGCCATCTCCCCTTCGAGTGTCTTGACCGTCTCGACTTCCGCACCAAGGAGCGGCCCCAGAGACCGATAACCGAGGACGCGGTCACCTTCGATACGCAGGGTCTGGTTCTCGAGGGCAGAGGGAGGTAGGTGCGTTAGCACATGTGCGACGTAGCCTGCAGGGAGATTATTGAGCACCGTGTAGATGAGGTAAAAGCCAGGGATACCGCACCTGCAACATCGCCGATAGATGTGACAGAGACAATCCCCTCTGATTTACCAATCACGTAGATCTTTTTGGCCGCGGCATCGTAGTTCACGGCCCAAGTCAAAAACTCGGTGAACACTCCGTTCTGCGTGATGTTTCGTCAGTATCTCTCGCTTGCAAGAGCACGCAAGCACTTACAAAGATCCGGAGATAGGGCACGCCGACGCTCCGGAGCTGTCCTGGATGAATGGATGCTTGAGCGCACAGCTGTTATCGGAGCATGAGCTGGACGCACCGGCAATCTTGTTCTTCTGGCCGAATTCGAGCTCGGTGTGTCCGTCTGTGGGGGCGCCAAACTCGGACGGCACAAACAGCTTCACACCCGCTTGCTTCGCCGCATCGACCAGCGGCGCCTGAGCGGGAATGGCTCCCGTGGATAGCGTGGACACGATCACTTCGACGTTGTGCGACTTGAGCGCGGCGGTGACGGCTGCGACGTCGTCGTACGACGGGACTTGGACGACCTGGACGTTCTCCGGAACCGTCTTGGAGGCGCTGCGGGAGAGGAGGATCACTTTGACGGAGGGCTCTGCGGCGAGGGCGGCTATGATGGGGCCACCAAGAAGGCCAGCACCGATCACTGCGAACGAGGAGTAGAAAGACATTGGTAGAAGTGTTGAGGATGGGATGTGAATTGGGAGGTGAATTTGCTTCTGGCCTTTGTGTACTTTTGAGCTCGTCTTTTATATCCATGCGAGGCGCATACGTCAGCATAGGGTCTGTCGACATAGTCAGTCAAAGAGTGCAGAACAAGTTGCCGACATCGATCGCGTATAGATGATCCCATCAAATGTTCGAAATTCCTAAACGCTGACATGAAAAACGAGATGTTCTCTTCCGAGACTTGGTCATTGCGCATCCTCCTTCGCTCGCATCTCGATTGAATTTTCGTCGTCGAGCCAAGTCCGCCGTGGTGTCTTCATGCTTGGATTCCTACCAGTTCTTTTGCTTGCTGCTCTTTCCCCCTCGCGCTGGCTATGCACCGGCGATCAAAAGATGGTGATATGAATCATTCCTAATCGGGCAGACTTATTCATCAAGCGCGACGGCCCCTTTTTAGTCACCCTCCCACCCCCAAATTCGCTGGCCGACTTCGTCCGTCTGACCAAGCGGATGTTGTTATATGTTGTCTATGGCCTAGCCCAGGAAGAGCATGCGGCGTCAATCGGTTTGTGCATGCCACTGCACGCTACGGCACACGGTCCGTTACTGCTCACACAGCGGGGCCGAGCAGCCACTACAGACTCCGGGGAGTACACGCGTCCTTTCAGATACAGCAGCAAATCCATCAGTTTCTCTTCAATTGTCTCCCCAATCTGAGCACACTACAAACAGCCATAGATTCCCAGTACAAAGAGCGCTGTCGGGGGTGTATCTGTGCCGCCGCAGCGAACAACGTCATGCTTCTCATCTGTGCAAAATCAATTCCGTTCCTTGTCCCGCCGGATGTATCCCAGTACGAATTCCAATCGGGGACAGACCATAGAGGTGCCCATCATGTCCGCTTGTACACTGTGCAACGTGGGTCGGTCACCGTTGCGAACTTCGTCGACGCGGTTTTGTGCTTCGCAGAGTTGCGAGACTGGAACTCTCGACAACCGGGGGCGCTCGAGCCCATATAGAGCTCTATCTTGGCACGACACACCCATTCGACGCCTGTATTTGCTGTCCGATCAATATTAGCCGCCCCGCACCCGATAGAAAGTCGTTCTCCTGCTGTAGATTGATGTGGAATAAAGGCCGGAAGTTGCCCAAGTCGAGACATATCGGCGAACCTCCCGTGGGACCTCCCCGATGGCAACGTCTAGGCCAGGAATCAGCTTTGGATCGACGGGGCCACCGCCGACGGACATACAGACTGACTGCCGCGGCTGTGGGATGGGGCTGGCGCTTGGTGTTACCACGTCCTAGTGAGTAGGCATTATCGCCGGAAGTGTTGAGCCCAGATGGATCAGGCGCAAACTCGGATGTGCGGCGAGAAGATAGCAGATATTGGGCCCGCAGGGTATTTACTGAGTTTGGGTGCAGGGTCGATAGCGAGGAGAGGAATAGGCGGAGTGCCTCCCGGCTTGAGCTGAACAGAGCGAACCGGGGCTTCGGGGCCAGGACCTGGGACACAGCCAACGAAACTGACTCGCCGGTCTGCCGATGGAGTATTGCAATCCACGAATTGAGGTCAGAGCCGTTTTTGACCTAAAATCTTGAGCACAAAAGTCGGCTACATCATCGAGAAAGTGCCCAGACCAGATGTCCCAAATTCTATACTGTCGTTGACGCGCAGCCGACGGAAAGCGAGTGTCTGAGTCTGCAAGCGGTCTTGCCAGAGGCGTCGCAGGCGGGAGATGCAAGCCAGGATCCCTTGGGTATGTCGCTTTGTTCCTAGGGCTGCGCAGTCTGTGATACTTCCCTCTGACCATCAGCAGTGGCATTTCCGACTCACAAACCACCCACCTGAAACCAACTCTCTGTTTGGACCGGAACCCAATCCACCGTTCGGTCAAAATACGTGTCCAGTCGGATGAGTCTTGCTCATCTCGTGAGCCGCGTCATCCACAAAACGGGTGTGGGCTTCATAGAGCTTCGTTTGAAATGCAGAAGGATGTAGGATGTGAGGACTGGCAATTTGAAGCCGTAGGAGACAAGGAACCAAGCAGAGCGCGTGCTTCACAACAGGTCACCAACTTCTCCGGATTTTTGCCCGCTCCTGTCACAATGTCGTGCTCACATGCCACACAGCCGGACCTCCGAGCCAACCAGTTGGTTTCCATACATGCACAAGGCTCATGATGAACCTTTCCCCACCGCAGTTAGCGGCCAAAACTGTGCTCCGACGTGATCATTGGCTGATTATCGCCTTCTGCGCAGTAATAGGCTTTCGAAAGGGCAACTGCGTGAATGCTCGCTGCAGTGTCAAATTCCCAAAGCCGGCCCAATCCACACAGCGTGCACAATAAGAAACCATCCAGCTTGACTGATGATCTTGTGCCCGCGTATACGTAAGTACGCGCACACAAAATTGGTAAAGAAAGCCGCCTTGATTTGCTTTTCTGGAGCATTTCAGATGCGTTCATTAGAGAAAGTTCCCGTGCTTTCATGGACGGTTACCAACCAGTCGAATTTGCGATGGATGGAGCCACCTTGGGCGGATGGTAACAGCCATGATCGACAGCGTGAATGGAAAGCTTGATACGAGAGGACGCTTATCGCGACGGTCAATTCATTTTTCATGCGGAGACCATAAGATCTGGATCGGGACAAGGAATGCTGGACGCATCGCGGTCTATTGATGGGCCATCGCAGTCCATAGCTGGGCCATCAATCCTGTCCCTGGAGGGGGATTTCTTTTTGGATATCTGAAGAGCGGAGGCCAATAGGAGAGTACGTTTCTCTTGAAACATAAATCGATTTTTCCATGTATGAACATATTTCCTAACAGAGAGGAGAAGATAGCATGAAACAAACAATAACGTTTCTCGATCACGTAGACGTCATTCGCGATCAACTGTCTCTTTTCAAACTCCGCGCCACTCCCGTAAGAACCCACCCTCCCATCAATCCCAGCCTCTGTAGTAGGTGGTTTTGAATAATACTCGAGAAAGACCTACGTGAAGATATTATCGACAGCTCAAGCGAGCTCAGTCACGGAGGCGACTTCTTCCTGTCGAACAAGCACTGTGACTGGCTCCGGTGACATGTCCGATGGAACTGCGTCGGAAAAAACGCGTTCTGTCACAAGCTGTGGACCAAACAGCGTGCAAGGGGTGCGGTTAAACCTTTAATACCACCATCAGTGATTTACTGGCTCACTAGAAAGAAAGTTGCAGACCAATCTCTTTCAAATCAACCGGTGAACAGATCCCGTGGGCCGGCACCTGGACGGGCAGTAGAAGGCCCAGGTTTCAAGATACTCTGTGAATTCGGACATCGGCGTGTGAGCACGATCTCTGCAGAGAGCGCCTTGTTCCAGGCCCACTGTCTGTCCGCCATTATGATTGTGAGTCCGGAATGATTCCTGACGGGCGTGTGCGCCAAGCTTCTCCTGGCTGCGGGGGGCTAATTCACTTCCTGCACGGGTGCTGATGCTCGATTGAGACTACCTGGCCGCAGCGCGCAGTTTGATATCACTGCGGTCAGTTTCGTAAGTTGACAGAATGAAGTGAGCGCCGGCTGTGGCTGGGTGATTTCACTGCTTTCCTTTGCGCGAACTCACCTGACAATCAGGAATCGTCTTTCTCTCATAAAAGACGAGCCCCAGAATCAAGCACCACATTCTCTTCATCTTCATGCCTCGTTTTGCTCTTCTCTTGACCTTCGCCGCCTGTTTCGTGGCCGCTTTTGCCGCGGAACTCCAAGTCGTCCAGCGGGACAGCAGTGCTGATACACCCATGTGCGTGTCCGATCTCCTTGAGTGGCCAGACGAATCGACTCATGCCTGAATTTTTTGTCGGTCAGTGGCGGATATGTCCCGAAGGTGAGCGGCCAATCTCCTCTAGTGCACGGCTCTGAGCGCGAACCTAGAAATCCCTCTCAATCATTGGCGCCATCGCATACGGGACATCCGCGATGGTGCTCTGGACTCAATTCTTCTCGAACAAACCGAAACACCCCTTCATGCTCAGTCTCAATTTCGGAATGTCCGGTGAGCGTTTTGTTCGGCGTTCAGGCGGAAGCATCTTTTCCTCATGCTCTGTCAGCAATGGCAGCCGGCTTCGTCCTCCGGTACATGTACGCAACGCCGCCGTTCACTCTGGGGAAATACATCGCGTGGGACATGGTGTGTCGCTCCCTAAAACGTGCAGACCAGCCCCTTGACAATTTTCCAGCTCATTTTGCTCTCGGTACCTCAACGCGGCTCCTTGCGACCTCCAGAAACTCGAACTGACGCTTCACACAGCCATGCCTCTTTTTGGCCACGGACTACATGCTGCTCTCTCGTCTTGTCAACACCTTCGACCCGCAGATCGTCGACCGTTGCCTCTTCATCAAACCCACCCGTGTCGTCAAGATCTTCGTATGGAGCGACGTTCTGACCTTCTTCCTGCAAAGCTCGGGCGGGGGTCTGACGGCCTCGCACAGCGCCAGCATGGCCAATCTTGGCTCTAAGGTACGTCGTCCCACAGCTTACACCCAGGATCTTGCGAGTGCTAAGACGACTCACGGCATCTAGATCGGGCTGATTGGGCTCATTCTCCAAGCTGCTTCGTTCCTGTTGTTCACCTTCCTTGTGCTCACGTTTGCCTCTCGCGTGTGAGTCGTCTTCCCCTGTTGATTTTCGAGAAGTCGGAATCAGGCTAAACGCGCACGTACCCAGCGCAACACACTACCCTCACATCTGGAACCCGAAGACCTACGCGCCGGTGACGATCCTGTCGACCGAGCCGCTCGATGACTGGCGCATCCTTGTCTTCATCATGAGCGTTACCTGCGTGGGCATCCTCACGCGGTCCGTGTTCCGCGTGGCCGAATACGCCGGGGGGTGCGTCTCCTCGTCTTGCTTCCTGCTTGTTTCTGGCCGTGAGCGCCATCTGATGGCGCCTTTCCAGCTATGACGGACGCATCGCGACGCACGAGGCGTACTTCTACCTCCTCGACGCGCTGCCGCTGTTGCTCACCATGTCGCTGTACGCTCTCGTCTGGCCCACCCGCTTCTTCCATCCTCCGACGGAGAAACTGGGGCGTCTGCGGGGATCGAGCCAGGATTTGCTCAAGATGCAAGGATTCCGGGCGATGTCTGTGTGAGGGTGCTCGCTTCGAGGAGTGGACTGGACGTTTCCATGCTTCTAAATGCACAGTATTCTCCATGTCCACTTGAATTGACGTTGATCGTTAGTCGCGAAATGATTTCATGGACCAATTGTTACTTTCGTTTGAAAGCCCACTTAGCCCAGACAAACGCTGTTTCTGTATTCCTCCTATCCAGTCGAACACTCCTTGGTGAATTATCGCATAGCTTTCACTGATGCAGTTCGATATCTCGCTGGAATCTCTGAGGAAGAGAGTTCAGCGCGCTCCGTATGCTTGTGCTTACATAGATGCCTCTGCGTATATATGTAGCCTTATGACGGATAGCCAAAAAGGTCCTCACGTAATCCGTGCCATCAAACTGATCACAACAGATCACAACCTACTCACGGATAAGCACCCACGGATCAGCATCCGCGGATTTGGATCCGGATGTGAAGAAATTCAACGCGGCAGTTGTGGTACTACCAGGTGACTATTTGCCAATGACAGCAAGTGGCGTTAAGACCTCTTAATACTTCGTCGTCTTGCTCTACGGCCGAATTTGGACATCGTCACACTCTTCTATAAATTCGCTACCCAGAGCAGTCTCATTCCAAACCACTCTCACCTTCCACATTCTCCGTCTTAAAACCATGACTTCTCCTTACCCAGGCCAAAAAACTGCCGTCAATGTTGTTCTGGTGCGTCGTATTCAGACTGCAGCGCAGGCGCCGACTCTGATGCACTACGCGCAGGGCACCATGACATTTGCGGCCCCGGGTACATCCCACGCGCGTGTCACAGATCTCAAAGATGTTGAAGCTATCATCGATATCTTCCTCAGCCATGGGCATCGCGAGGTCCGTGTTATGTCTCGCTGCTCACTGTCTTCCAATGAGCATGCCCGCCCATAGCTGGACGCGGCACGCTGGTACGGTTATGGCACGAACGAAGTATATCTCGGGCAGATCGACTGGAAGAGCAAGGGGGTGCTGATGGAGACGAAGCTCTGGCCCGTTTCAGTTCGTCAAGCTACCAATCCTCTTCGTTTATGCACTGCTGACTGAGCCAGCCCGAGATGAGCTTCATCGGTGATCATTCGCCGGCGAACATCCGCAAGTTCTGCCAGATGTCCCTGGACGCTCTCAAAACCGAGTGCGTGTGGTTCATGGGACTTCGCCGGCTATGGCTCACTTAACCAGCTCGCTCGAGATGTGGTACCTCCACGGTCCTGATCGGCACAACCCGTACGAAGATACGCTGCGCGCTGTTAACGAACTCTACAAGGAAGGCAAGTTCAAGCGGTTCGGGATCAGCAACTACATGTCATGGGAGGTGGCTGAGATTTGCGGCATCTGCGAGCGCAACGGCTGGGTCAAACCATCTGTTTATCAGGGCCTTTACAACGCGGTCCATCGCGCTGTGGAACCGGAACTCTTCCCGTGTTTGCGCAAATTCGGGATTGCATTCTATGGATTCAATCCGATCGGTGGCGGATTCTTCACAGGCCGGTACTCTAACTCTACCGACGAAGCGGAAAGCACCTCCCGCTTCCACGGTGAGGGTCGCACCAGCGTCGTGAGTCCAGTCCAAAAACCTGGCCATGTACTCCGGCGTACCTGACCCCTTCAGCTCTACCGCAAGCGATACTGGCAGCAACCGTACTTCGACGGGCTGAATAAGATCTCATCAGCAGCAGAAAAATACGGTCTCACAATGATTGAAGTCGCCTTGCGCTGGACCATGCATCATTCTCTGATGAAACGTGAATTTGGCGATGCGGTCCTGATCGGTGCTTCGAGCGTCGCCCACATCGAACAGGTGCCCATCTCCCCAAAATCGGCTGGTTTTGATTTCTGACTGTGTGACGCACCGTAGAATCTAGAGGATCTTGAGAAGTGGCCGCTGCGTGAGTGGCTGAGACCACTGGGAGACCATTATTTAAAGTTTTTGTTTGCAGCTCAAGAAGTGGTCGATGCTCTGGACGGGGCTTGGGCCGGTGTGAAGGGCATCGCAACGAACTACTTTCACTAGCTCACGCCGTCAAACTGAATTTGTTTCTGGAACGATTGACCTTGAGATCCATCGGGCTCTCGTTGCGGGTACTTAGAACTATACTCTTTCAATCGCGGAATGCAGCGAATTGTGGAGAAAAACATTTCGCCCCATTGCCGCGAAAAGTCATTCACAGTGCCCCAGGTTCCATCGGTCAGAGTAGTGAACATGATTGAACCGTATTCCAAAGATTGGCAGTTGCCGTTGACTTTGTGCATGTGCCTCGTATCTGATATCGCTTGACGAACGGAGGTGGACTGTAAGTACAACACGGCCAAGATCGACAAGCCATTCACGTAAACGAACTGCTCCAATTCGGCTGTTTCTGGTTCGGCACTACCTCGTTGTGGGTGACTCCAGCACGGGTACTCGTGCGCATTGCCAATGAGATGGACGCTTCTCGTGTAGACTTCAATTCAAGATCCACGACCTCTTCAGGGGACGCCCACCTCCAAAGACGTTTGTAACGACTATACTTAGTGTATTACTCTTGCGAAGCCTCAGCGGCACTCTGCGGCATTCCAAATAGGCACAGACCTGAGCTTCCCAACTCGAAACGGGGTGTCGTGCCAGCACTCACCTGTCCACGAGGAGTAACGAGAATTGTAGGACTAGGACTGGCAGCCCAGTCCTACTCCGTGAAAGTTGTTAGCACGTGATGGTCTATCGCAATCCGATTTGAGATAAGCCCAGTCCTACAGGAACACAACCTCACATCAATCTTGCGTGATCGGACTAGACCGGACTTGAGACGTCACAGCCAACATGCGGTGCCCGAAGGTTGTCGCCTATTGGAGACATTTTATCTTCTGGCATGATGAGGGTATGCGATAAAGAAAAGGATGCAATTCTCAACACGGCTGTGTAGAACTCGAAAGAACGCAATAAATAACGCAAAAAAACACCCATTGAACGCGTGTTGATGGGCATACTGAATTTCATCACCATCGGGTAGCAATTTCAAATTATCGTGGTATAAAGCTTGCAGTAATCGATAAATCCTCGCGTTCCCAATGTTGAATTTCCAGGACTCCGTGGAGGCCATGCCAATGAGAACTATTCGCGATTATCGCGAACACGTACGTGACTTGTCCCACGGTTGAAATAGTCTGACATCACTCCTTCAGATGCACTCAAAGCTTGTTACTCAGGCTACGCACGATCCACATCTCTCTATGGATTGTCCTGAACGCTGGATAACCTCCCATGGATTTCAACTGTTCTTGCAGTTTGACAGTGCAGTACCACTCATGGATCCGTTGGAGCCATCGCGACGAGATCTCATCACATTCCGAGAACAAGTGCGTGTTTTATGGCTCATTATAGCGTTCCCTGATTTTCCTAGATCTTACCTCCGGACCTGCTCAGCCACGCGTTCTTTAGCCTCGATAACGTTGAAGATTGGGTGATGCCGGGTCCATTCACCACCTTCACTCGATTGGAAATGGAGCGGTCAAGATATTTCCCACCTACATTGTCCCAGCAGGACCCTTTATTCCGACCAAATAGCTCCATGTCAACAAACACACGCTCTGAAGCCGGTTCAGAGGTTTTCTCCGAAGGTGAGAATGCGTAGCGGTAGACGCCATCGATTGTTCCTCTGTCTCAAAATGGCATTAGATCCGCCGCCGCTTTCTGACTGCTCTCGTCCTGGTAGTGCCATGTCTATTCGTTTGGAATCTTCACAAGGTATGTCTTTCTGAGCTGTGTGCCTCATGTACAATTGACGACTCGAGATACAGCATCTCAGTTGCCTCTTTCTGCTTCATTGCTGCCTGATGCAGCTCAATCTAGTGAGTTTGCATCCATTCTTGATCATATTAACATTGAAACCTTTCAAGACGGGTTCAATCCTATCCGTCCAAAGCTGGCCCGAATGCCGCGTCAACCAAGGAAAGCGCAACGGGAGGAGCGCAAAGGCATGATCGCCATCTCGAGAGAGCTATGGGTTCATGAGTTACGAACCATCAAGGCCATTCCTGACACCTGGGACGTATCAAGAGACGACCACCGAGTTGCGTATCTTGTGGACATGTCCGAGGCTTTGGAATTGCTTCGTGATGATAAAGGTATTGTTCAATCAATTCAGGCATATATTCGGAAGCAGGTGCGTTTGATACAGTTCTATGCAGCTCAGTTCCTCATTTCGTGGCCGATGTTCATAGGATCAAGACTCAAGACTCTTGGGCCGGGAAGGGATCCGGCGGGAGTCTGAAAGGCGACACTGACGTCTTGGCGTTCCCCGGAGAACCAGGGAAAGCTGTCCGTTGTCGTTGTGGACAATTCGGCTGTGGAGGAATGCGGAAGTGCGAGTTTCTTGATCCCCAACTCCTCGAGAATTGCGAGAGATACGAGGTGGATGACACAGAACGTCAGAAGCTCTCAGCATTAGTATTGGAGGCCAACGAACATGAGAGCGAAACAGAGTGGACAGTGATCGCTCGGTAATGTTGATCTTTGAATTCAGTTCTACACCTCTGACGTGCTGTAGATTCTTCCGGTATGTCAAAGGCCTGAAGTGTAAAGCAAAAGTAAATGGTGTCTTGTGTTCGGGTACTGCTGTGGTTGTCCCATACAAAACGGTTCGTCTCCTTCGATTGAACAGGGATATAATTTTTTTTACCTAGTTTACAGCCAATTCCTGGGCAGAACAAGTATTTTATTGGCTGTAGCGCATGGTCTCCTCAGGCCAACGAACGACAGAAGCATATTTCTGATCACCTTCGACCTCACATCAACGAGGACTTGTTTCGTTATGCCATGGATCATGACGGGTTACTTCCAAACTCCCCCACTACTCACAACTCCTGTTGCTTCACTGCACACCCACGCTTTGGTTTACTCAACTGTGGTGCGTTTTCTTCTCATCTAACTGCAATGTTCTGAATTGGAACCAGCTTATTCTCACATGATCGAGGGCCAAATCAAGATCGGACGAATGGTTCCACACAAATGTCCCTGTGAGATGCTCATATTTGAGCCAGTCAATCCGGCTCCGGCTCTAGCGAATAAAGCAATCATCTTTGTTCGTAAACCACACAGTCACCCCATCTATCCCTGAACAAAGCCTAGTTCGGCTGATCGTCAGAAGCTGAATGCTGCAATTGATGCTGCCGGACTCGGTTCTGTTACGACTCAGAAACTACTGGATGGTTCGTTACATTCGTTTCATTTTGCGGCTGTAGCTCATTGATGACTTTCATATCAACTCACAGCGTCTTCAACACGAGATCTTTATGGAGGAAAGCGTGTGAGCGAGGAGAGTCCTGCCTTTGCAGATAAGCGTCTTGTAAGGGATACAATTGCAAAGCGCCGAGGGGAAGCTTATCCGCACGGCATGGGATGGCTGGGTGAGCTGTCTACCCGCATTCTTTCACAAATTTGGTCACTAATAACTCGTCGAAAGGTGTTGTCAACCGATTTACGACCATCGACCAGAAGAAACCTCCCGTGGAGCGGTACATACACTCGGTTATCAGCAAAAATTCACGACTCGCTGTTATGATGCATCCCATGCTTGCTCAACGTGTCCATCACATGACGGCCATCATGTTTGATTATGCATACAAGCGAATCGAAGGGGAACTGAATGAATGTGACGCTGCAGGATTTTCGAATTCACTCAATACTCGTGAGTGAGAACTGCTCAAAGCACTCTGTCTGCTTTTTTACATTTTATGCCGCAGGGATTCTCTTTGGCAGCGTAATTGGTGACGGCCTTGATTCTGCATCATACAAAACGATGTTTTCAGAGTTTTGGGACGCAGTCGAGAGCTGTACTGGCCAAACTCTGAAGCTGGCGCCGTTCTATCCGGATGCAAAACTCAAGGTCATCGTTCTTGATGGCGACATTGCTCAAGCGCTTGGACTCGGCATGTTTCTTGTCAACTACAACAAGCCAGAAATCAGCGGAATCCACACCACTGATCCAGCCGAGATCATCTCCTACTCTCTCAAGATGTGTTCGGTTCACTTTCAACGGTGCGCATGTCCATCAAATATTGGCGTTGACACATTCACTCATACACCACAGTCATATCAACGAACTCCCGAAAACCATCCCCTTGAATATAATTGCGCTTGCAAAGTCAATCTTGACTGCAAAAACTCAAGAGGAGATTGATCACTGGAATTCCGTGATGTCTTCGCAAACTGTCACTGAGCTCAAGAGTTTGTGCTCTTCCAACTTCGAATAATACTCTCTGACTTATTTGCTAGACTGGTATGAGCATAAGCTTCGTAATCCCCTCATTTTTTGCGCCATCAACCAGTCGCTCTCGAAGATTCCTTTGGGAATTTGGAATACAACACCGGACAGTACCAACTACGTCGAGTCGGCACATGCCACCCAAAATGCGGAGACTTCAATCCACCTAAGTCCCTTACGGGCAACTGAGACGTGAGACTGTGAAGCCATCAATTATTCATTTACTTATCTCTATTTACAGTGCTGAGGAGCGAGACAACATCCGGGTGAGAGAGCTTCTGCAGATTGAGCTCGAAGGGGTCGGCCCAAAACGCAACAATGACATCTACAACCGTGAGAAGCGAGGGCTCCAGCGCCGCCAGTGGACTTTGCAAAAACAGGCGCAACGTGACGCCGATCTCAACAACTACGACAATCTTCGAGCTGAGATCGAGCTCATCGGAGAACAGAATCAGGTCTCCCTTGACAGGGAACGTCAGATTCGTACTGATATCCAACGTCTGCAAGGAGAACTTGCAATTGATAAACGTCGTCATGAACTGAAGCAAGAAATTGCTCAGTTGCGTGAGGAGGCTGCAGCGGAGGCCGCACTTCGTCGAAACCTCCGGATCCAGAAAGAGGAGACCGATGCGAAAGCCAATGCCCTCCGCGCTACTTCTTTATCTGGTGTTCGGATACAGGGTCGTCACAAGAATTCTAGACCAAGCAACCCAGACACGGCAGCGACTGATCGCAGCGGCATAGACTGTGAGTATTTGAACCATGTTTCTCGTTTGTGGCACTCAAGCTAGGATAGGTTCGACTACAACCGTCGAAAGTGTGCACGAAGACATGCCCAATGGATCATTGTTTGGTCTGTGCTATTTAATCTCGTCTCTTTGGTCCAGGCATAAGTTGACCATATTATCAGATGGCGTGGACTGGGAGGTTCAAAACGATATTTACCAGCCTCCAGACGTTGGTGCTCCTTTTGTGTACAGCCCCACTCCCCCCCAGACTCCAAATCGTCAGTTCTCGTTTCCAACACAGCTCGTGGACGCTGATTTTCCCAAACAGAAGCCGAGTTTTCGCTGGAGTAGGGGTCACGTGCACAGGCACGTGACTCAGGCGGATCACACAGGCTCAGGGTAGACACACACGTGCAAGCATCATCGATCCATTGCATCAGGCCACTAGTCCATCTGGTGACAAGAGCGAGTCTCGACACACGCAGCACGCAGAGAAGAAGGAAAAAGACGCAAAAGTGGCAGACAAGAACCGCAGTAGCAGCCAACACGCACGGGACGTACGCGGAAGATTCATAAGAAGAGCAACAGAAGCGATACAAGAGGAAGAAAGCAGACCCAGCACACCGGAGACACTCAGAAGCAGCGGACAAGCAACACCATTTGAGCTCATCTCACGAAACAACACACCGGACCCAGAGATATGAACGACGCAACCAACAACAACAGCGCCGATTCCGTTCCCAAGCGCCATAACAACACCAAACCCGACAACAGCACCGACGAAAGCACAAAGAATACGACCCATGGTGGACCAAGACCCGAACATAGTCTATTCAGGGGAGCCTGGAAAAGACTCAATTAGCGCAGAGGACTTTGCCCGACATGTTGCTCTCAAAATGCGTACCATGGCACTAACAACCGACGCAGACAAATTGGACGCATTCGGCGACTTCCTGCTAGCAGGGAAACCGGCCGACAAGTGGTGGAAAGCGAAACAGGCGTCCACAACGCCAATCACCAAGTGGACCGACGCGAGAAAGGAGTTCGTAATGGAATTTGACGCACCACAAGCCGCAGAGAAAACCAAACAGGAGTGGGAGCGGGAACTAAGCAAGATACGCATCACGCTGGACAAATTGGGAACCAAAACAATGGTGGGGGGCGTAGAAACGCACGCGCACATAGCATTTGCAAGGAAGATGTTACGCATGGCAAAGGAAGCGGGCATATCGAAGTCGAACAGCAACATATGGGTAGTGCGCGACCACCTGCCAATCTCCCTTCGCGACCAAACACCAAGATCGGCAACCAGCTGGGAAGCGTTTGCGACGGCCATCGAGAAGATCGAGGTAGACAAGCTGAGGGAAGAAGTGGAAAAGGAGCGGGAAAACGACAAGCTGAAGACAGAGCTAGCCGCACTCAAGGCCAGAAACGCACCAAGCGCACTAGTCCCACAATCACCGACAGCGCCGCTCCGCACCCAAATGGCACGCACCAGCATCTCCACGGAACAACGAATCCCAGCACCGAACTTCCGGCCAACCATGCAAACATCACCGGAGGTACTCTCGACGGAAGCCAAGGCGACGCTGGCCAGAGTGCTCGAGAAGATGAAGGCGACAAAACCCCTGCTCAGAACGAGCCCAGCAGACGTAGCAACGTACAAAGCGAGATGGAGAGCATTCTCAGCACTGCAGGAGCCGGTCCTGGTCGAACAAGTTGGAGTTCCGCTCTCGCCAGGAACGGTATGGCCAGGAAGCGGCGAGTGTTGGAACTGCGGGAAACTGACAGCACCAAAGCACAACGCCAGGGAGTGCTTGGAAACAGCACTGCCAGCAGCCGAACGTCGCTTCCGGCGGATCTGCGCCAAGAACATGCCACGCGCGACGTCGGTCAACGCAGTGATAACGGACTGGATGGACGAAGAAGACGGCGGACAGCAGGGTTTTCAGGACGGGTCGCCGTGAACGCCGAAACGACGACCCCAATGCCGAGGCAAGAGCAAGGCCCCGGAACCAGTACCATAGAAGGATCGCATGTTCACGAAGATAACGATGAATCACAAGCGCTTGAGCTCTATGCCGTTGATAGGCTGGCTACCAGACGCGCTCTGCACCAGCTCTGTAAGGGCGTATTTTTGCGCATTTTACAGAGTTTACTCCTGAACCACCCGGTGTATCGTGTCGCGGATGACAGTGTTGCGCTCAGTAGGACTTAAGGGTCTACTGCCCAGTCGACGACTGTGGATAGTGTCGACGATAGCAAGGCAGTCGGACCACTACTGTGGAACTGGTCTTATGAGTCTATACCAGGCTCAGGGCCATTAGTGACGAACGCTTGGACCGCGACCATTCCCCAAAAGGGATCTGTTGTTGCGTCGACTTCTCAAAAAGGGTCATTCTCTGCAGATGGGAACTTGGGCTGAAGGGCTGAGCAATGCGCGACGTTCTCAATAATAGAACTATTACTGGACAAGACTTGGCGTTACGAGACTTAAACCATCTTGTCGCGGCAACTCCCGGTTTTGAGTTGGACGTTTCCTCAGATCGTGCCACGACGACGACTTGTCACATGTCAGGATCCATTCGATCACGGGACATTGTGGACGCGTCGCGGTGACACTCCCAAGTGTCACGGCGGGTCGCGCCCATACCCAAACACACTAGAAACCGACACGGCTAGATCCGTGAACCGAGTCATGTGGGAAACGACCAGCGTGCCTAGGGCCATACGGCTTCTTGGGGCGCCCACGTTGGTCTCACATGCCAAGACATACCCGTTGGCCAATCCAGCACGTCGTATTCCAAAAGTATGACGCGGTGGGTTGACCCACATCAAAAGTATCATATGGACTATGGGGCGGGGTCCTGATCACTAGGACCTGTCCGATCGTTCAACTTTTCAATTACCCTAAAAGGCAACCGATCTTAGATAGCGTAGCTACTATGCAGTTGTACAGGACTTTACTAAGCATCCTCGTAGACAGTATAAGTAGCACGACGTTTCTTTGTATTAAAAAGCTTTCCCCCGGACTGTGAATCACTCTCATTTCAGATTGTTTTGTACAATTTGCGTGCCGCGTGATTCCACCCTAAGAAGTTCTGCTACCCCTGCCCGGTCGCGACGAGTTGCTCCCTGAGCACTTGTAGCTACTGTGATTTGAGTTTGAGTTTTGAGCCATCAGAAAGTCGGATTCGCCGCATCTGGTTTAGTCGCGGCATTTAGTGTCGTCGCCTTCGGGCTTTGTTGAGATCGTTCCACACCTCTAGCTTGGCAGTGCGTCGACTAGTTGTGCTCGGGTTGTTTTGGTCAGTTGGCAGTGCGTCGACTTGAGAACTTTGGTTCCACACTTCTTGCTTGGCAGTGCGTCGACAAGTTGTGCTCGGGTTTTGGACATTGGATATTGGCTGTTAGTTGGCAGTGCGTCGACGCGGCATTTTGGTTTACTAGTTGGCAGTGCGTTGACTCAGTACTTTTGGTTGTGTCAGTTGGCAGTGCGTCGACTTGACATTTTGGTTCTACTAGTTGGCAGTGCGTCGACTCAGTATATTGGTTGTATCGGTTGGCAGTGCGTCGACTTGATATTTGGGCTTTGCGTCGCCATCTAGACGCTGTCGCTACAAGGGATCTTAATACTTCGTATTAAGCTCTGACTTGTTATATCGTTGGTTGTGGATTGTATTAGTGTTGGTTGTGCTCGTATAGAAGATATTGGTTGAGATACCATTGTTTGCTATATATATATCCTTGTCGTCGACTCCGTCTCCGCGACTATTGGATCTGCGTCTATTGAGAGTTGTGATACTGGTGCTCTGTCCACCCCGAAGCCCTCGCATCTTTCACACACTGAGAAGCTGATTACGAGGAGTGTGAACGTGTTTATATTTGGGTTTACTTTCATAGTAGATTCACTTGTGAGCACGCCCTCAGCATTTCAACGGATATGGGAAAAACATAAGCAGCGACTGGGCGGAGGGACAGCGTCAAAGCGCACACTAAAAATGGCCGACGGAACACTGGTGAAACCAACGGCACACTGGTCCGGGAAGATCCAAATAGGACACGCAGTCATCCCAATGGAGCTGGAAGTATTTCCGAGTGGAGGGGGATGGTCCTTCTTATTCGGAAAACCATCACTGGCAGCGGCAAAAGCGATACACGACTACACGGCGGACGAGGTCACAATACCAGGACAAATGGGAAGAACGACCACAATACTACGAAACGACAGAACTGGGCGAAGAGGAAAACAACCGAATCCAGACAGATCACAATCGCGATTCACGGGAGTCTTATCGAGATTCGAAAGGACAAAAGGAGAAACAAAGGAAGATCAGGAAACGGACAAGCAGAGAGAGAACTGGATGAAGGAGTTAGCCGAGGAGGAAATACGAGCGGTGTCGGAAAACATAGAAGCGGAGGGGAGAACAGAAGGAGGAAGTACGACGAACGAGAAGGAGGACATCGGGGAAACACCACAGACGGGGACAAGCTTGGAGAGGAACAAGACGAACATACACACAAGGGCATCAAACCCGTTCAAAAAGGAACGCGTGGATGAGATAGTAAAGCTGGTAACAATCGGCCCAGACATCACGGAAGCGCAGAGGGAAAAGGTACGCACTTTCATAGCGGACTACGCAGACATGTTTGCGCTATCAATAGCAGAGGTCACACCGGTCGAAGGAGCAACGTACGCACCAAAGATACCGCCGGAAACAAGGTTCAGCACCAAAGTACACCAAAAACCGATGACGCCGCCACAGGAAGAGTACCTGCACGAACAGACAAGGAAACTAGTCGAGGCAGGAATACTAAGACCCATACACCCACGCGACGTGAAATGCGTATCGCCAATCAAACTAGTGCAGAAAGAGCACGAGAACGGAGGCCTGTCGCACGATGAGCTAAAGCAAGAGCTCAACGAAGCATGCGAACAAGCAGGGCTACCAAGGCCGTACAACGTCGAACAGAAGGACAGAGAGAGGAGGGCGAAACGACCACAAAACCAGAAGTGGAGGATATGTCAAAACTTTCACGAGCTGAAAACACTGCTAAAAGTTGTACCAGTACCGCAAGGGGACATACGGGACAAGCAACGTCGATTAGCGGGACACCGGTATGTATCGGTATTCGACTTTGCGTCAGGATTCTTTGCACTACGAGTGGATGAGAAAGCGCAGCCGTATCTGGTCATGTTCGTACCAGGGATGGGATACTACGCCTATACACGAATGCCGTTCGGACTGACGGATGCACCAACGGAGTTTGGGGCAATGTGCGCGGACAAGCTAAGTGATCTGCTAGTAAAAGTAATGGAACTCTTCGTGGATGACGGAGGCACAGCAGCAGACACGTTCGATGACATGCTCGACAAGCTGAGGCAGATCTTTGATCAAATACGCGCTGAAGGATTATCCCTATCAGCGGCCAAGACAAAACTGTTCATGACGGAAGCGGTATTCGCGGGCGCGATGGTCGGGCCAAAAGGACTAGCCCCGGACCCAACAAAGCTCACGGCAGTGGTCGGATGGAAGACACCAGAAAACGCCACAAACTTGGCGGCGTTCTTAGGCCTGACAGGCTACTTCCGAGACATCATCAAGAACTATGCAAGGGAAGAGGCGCCGCTTAGGAACCTACTGAAGGAGGTGCCAATCCCAAAGAACGCCAGCAGACAGATGTACCGCACGGCAATGAAGAACTTCGACCTAAGACCAAGATGGAGCATGGAGCATACAAGGTGTTTCTTAAAGCTCAAACAGATGCTAATCTCGGCCCCAGTACTACGCGCACCACTGTACGACATCGTACATAAGCACCCGTTCATAGTAACGACAGACGGAAGCAAAGACGCGTTCGCAGGAGTCCTATCACAACGGATGGAATCAAGAACAGCAGAAGGAAAAGTGGTCGTCAGGAGACACCCAATCGCATTCGTGTCAAAAAGGACCTCAACGGCAGAGGAACGGTATCAGCCCCATCTGCTAGAATTCGCTTCACTGAAGTTTGCGTTAGACAAATTCTCGAACATTGTATGGGGACAACCAATATGGCTAGAGACAGACTGCCAAGCTCTGCGCGACATCATCAACAACGAAAAGCTCAACGCCACGCACACAAGATGGCTTAACGGACTGCTTGGATACAATATAGTAGGCGCAGAACACATCAAAGGCTCAACAAACGCGGTAGCAGATGCGCTGAGCAGAGCGGCGGAAGGGACACCGAAAGAATGGGGCGATGGGAGCGAATGGACGGTGTCCCCGGACTGGGAAACAAGAACGGGACTGGTGAACGATCTATTTGCGGTAAACACGGCTGACGAAGAGCTAGAATGCACAGTGGTGCCGTTACCAGAAGGCACCAGCACATTACGGAGACGCTTCGAACAGGAGCCAATGTACCTACAGATCGTAGAAGCAATCACGGAGCTAGACCTGGGGAAGAGCGAAACGGACAAGAAAAGAGCAAGACACCGCGCATCACAGTACTTCATTGAGGCCGGCAAGCTGTGGCGCACAGGAGGGGGACCCAGATTACGAGCGAGATCGAGGAGAGAATGCATAACACGCGAAGAAGCATACAACGAGGCAGCAAAGGCACACGCGGAAGGGGGCCACTTTCACAGAGACGCTGTAAAACTCACACTGATGGACAAGTATCACAGCCCGGGACTGGACGAATCAATTATGCGAGCACTCACGGATTGTGCAAAGTGCAAGGGATTTGGACCAGCACACCTACACGCACTCATGGAGCCAATCACAAGAAGACGACCGTTCGAGCTGATCGTTGGTGACTACCTATCGATGCCGGACGGAAAGGGCGGATACAAGACGATAGGGCTCTACCTTGACGTATTCTCACAATTCGTGTGGGGATTCAAATACAAAGAATCGGGATCGGCTAAGACAACAACGGCGGCGCTAGAACACATCTTCGGGAAGTTCCACAGGGCGGAAGTGTTCATGTCGGACAACGGACGACACTTCGCCAACAGAGAAGTGGAAGCACTGTGCGAAAGAAGGAAGGTCAAGTTCCAGAAGGTGGCCGCATACGCACCGTGGATCAACGGACTGGTCGAAGGCACAAACAAACTGCTGCTACACGTCCTATCGAGACTATGTGCGCCGAACGTAGGGGAAGACGAGTGGAAGTCGTCAAGAAGAGACGAGTTGCCGAGACAATGGACGGAGCACTTCGAAAAAGCAATAGAAACGCTGAACGACCGGATATTACCGGCGGTGAAGTTCTCACCACGGGAACTGATGTTCGGGATACAACAGGAGCCAGAAGACAAAAGGAGCGAGAGCCCCAGGGAGGCGATACAAGAAGACGAGGCGATACGACATGTGGCATACGCAGAGCAAACACGACTGGACGGATACGCCGAGCGAGTAAAATATGCGCTGAGCCGGAAAGCGGCATTCGACAAAAAAGTACTCAAGTCGAGGGCGGGGAATGTGGTTTTCAAAGAAGGGGAGCTGGTACAGGTCTTTCGAAGCGACCTAGCGGAGACCGTGAGCAACGACAGGAAGTTGACGTGCAGATGGACGGAGCCGCATCGGGTGAAGGCGAGAACGCGCAACTCATACACACTCGAATCGGTGGAAGGGATCCCATTGGATGGACACTACAACGCGAGGAGACTACGACACTATAAACCAAGGGACAGCACGCCACTAGCAAAAGCACAAGATGAATATAAGAAACGAAGAGGAGAGCAGGAGGACGACAAAAGCATAGAGCAGACAGAAGACACGGGGAAGCAGAGAGACAAGGAGACAGCAGAGGTGGAGAGATGGCGGATACAAGAGGCGGAAAGGGAGCTACGGGCAAGGAGGAGCGACGAGGACGTCGCCATTTAAAGTGGGGGCACATGGAGTAGGGGTCACGTGCACAGGCACGTGACTCAGGCGGATCACACAGGCTCAGGGTAGACACACACGTGCAAGCATCATCGATCCATTGCATCAGGCCACTAGTCCATCGCTCTCAGAAGGCTGGGACCCAAACTTCGACTTCGACTTCGCTAATTATGAGATGACAGCGGAAGATTACAGGTTTATTGATACTTTTGAACAGTATCGACTGGATATGGAAGTTGATCAGGACCGCGAGGACGTACCAAAGGCATACACATCTCATCTTGACATTCAATTGCCACAACCCCCGGCTTCGTCTCCACCGCCTACTCCTCTGCCATCCGCATCCGACGTTCTTTCTCACAGTCCTGTCGAGACAACTTTGGATCTGGGCAATGTTACCGCCCAGAATATCATTACAACAAGGCGTGTTCGCCGAACCCGGGATCGTGGGCGCGATCACGACATTGGTACTGACCTGGGCAAAGCTGCTAAACGTCAGCAAAAGTAGGAGGTGATGCTGTAGAGTTTACAACCATTGTGTCTTGCTCCATGTAGTTACGAGTATCAAATTCTGACTCAGATCACTCTGAAGTGGCAACTTTCTTGATGCGTATAATATGTCAGGGACAGCCCGATTTGCTCCGAGTGTTACCCAAGATTGAGATCATCTGCGATGATCATGTGTTCCTTGATGAAGTGGGACTGGCTCGGGTAGGACTTGATTGCAGAATAGGACTCGCGCGAGTCCTACTGGATCAAAATACCAATCCCAGTCCTACAAATCCTGTATATACTCCCTGTCCACCCGGTATCTCCATCAGCCGGAGCTTTAGCAGACGCGCTTTTGGATGTCTATATTGCAGAAACAAGTACACGATGTCATTGAATATGTTACTCTACTTGAATAATTAGGTGTTGGATTGGACTGCTGTGTGTCTGTACATTGAACTTGTCAGGCGAATTGAACCTGAAGAGTGACACAGGCGCAGCGTATGTATGTAGTACAACAAAATCACAACCATGAATACGGCAAGTCCAGTTCTACAGGCGGGATGAGGATGATTTTACACTGGAACCTGCTGGAATGTATTCAGTTTGAGCTGCTCCTGGCTGGACCCGCGATGGTGGGTGAATTTTCCCTCTGGGGGTTGCAGGAAGCGTGTCGGCCACACCACACAGTACAGCGACATGGTCATCATGAGGGGAAGCGCGTCAAAGAGATAGAAGTAGACTTCGTGTGTGGCGATGCGGCCGTTGTAACTAGAGAGATAGCATGAGAAGGGGGGATGATTACGAAAGGGGGGTGATGATACACACCCTCCGGCAAATTCGGCGATACGAAAGACAGACCGCGTCATAATGCCCACGCAAGTGATGCTCATGATGTAGATCAGGATGCGCCAGTCCTCGATTGGCGCGGTCGACAAGATCTTGAATGGCGCAGGGGTTTCTGGGCGCCAGATATGAGGGAAGTGATTTGCTCTGGACGGCTGATCAGCTCCATTCTCCTATCTGAGAAAGGACAACTCACACTCGAAAGGCAAAGGTGAGCATCAAGAAGGTGAAGAGTAGGAACGAAACCGCCTGGAGAATGAGCCCAATCAAAGCGATCTGTGCAAGGAGTTCGATGAAACTTGTGGTGAAACCAGCACTGAAATCACACACCTTGGTGCCAAGATTGGCTGAGCTAGTGTTGTGAGATGCAGTCAGACCACCGCCCGAAATTTGCAGGAAGAATGTTAGAGCGTCGCTCCATACGAAGATCTTCACGAGCCGGTTAGGGTTGATGACGAGGCACCGATCCACGACGTCCGTGTCGAATGTGTCTACCAGACGAGAGAGTAACATGTAGTCGATCGCCAAAAAAAGACATGGCTGTTCGCAATGTCAGTTTGAGCTACTCGATGGATCAGATCGCGAGTACCGAGAGTAGGATGAACTGCAAAACTTTCAGGTCGCTGTAGAACCTTAAAGACAAGTACACACCATATCCCATGCGATGTATTTTCCCAGAGTGTAAGGCGGATTCGCGAACAGCCACCGAAGGACGAAACCGACTGTCATTGCTATCAAAGCATGAGCGTGAGACGTTCTTGTCCTCGCACAAAAACCGAAACACGCACCCGTCATTCCGAAATTCAGAGTGAGCATAAACGGGTGTTTTGGTTTGTTCCAGAAGAACTGTATCCACAGTGCTATCGCGGATTGCCCGTAGGCGATGACTCCCATCATCGAGAGGAATCTCTGGCCCCATGTTCAGACCTATGTATCGAGGACAGCGGCGAGCTCACTTTTGGTGCATATCCACCGCTGAGAGAAAAATAGATCCGTCAGCCGATCCGTCTCCTCTCTAAAACAGGAAAATCCATTCACATCGGAGTATCGGTATTGGTGTCCCGTTGAATGACCTCCGCCGCAAAAACCGATGCGAAGCACGCAGCGAACGTCAAGAGAAGAGTGAGGCGAGACATGCAGATGAGATGTGTGCTGGACGTAGGCCTTGGACATGCCTTTTTATGAGTCCGATCGATTTCAACTACTGACGAGGTGGATTGCGGAGGGATGCGGTCTAGTCGCCGGGCCGCAGTTGGCGCTCGCTACATTTGTTGGGCTGCACTCAGCCCGCAGTTACATGACGTCCCATCTCACACGGAAATTGAACAGTCCCGATTACCAACGCCATGCAGTGCATGGTGCCTGCCGCCGAGACAAGCAGGGGGGATCAAACACATCCGGACGTGGGCAATATCACGATGTCGGGGTTTGTCACTGGCGCGAGGAAATGTTTCATCGATGCATCAACGATTCTTTGAATGGGAAGAGCGTCTCCGAACTTGAGAAATCCAGGGCGACCTTTGGAACGCGAGCGTACTATGTCCGAGCAATTTGAAGCGAACGACGGACGGGCTTTGTGCGGCGGCCCCTCGCAAGCAGCCCATTTTCCCTGAGCTGCTGGAAAAAGAACAGATCGGTGGTATATCTAGCTCGCCGTTGTCTGGACTGTGTAACTCCTATGAAAGTCGTTTGAATGAAGGCTTGACAAAAAAACAAGGATGTAGGCCGAGGCGGTTACATCGGGAGCATCAACACAGCCAAACAAGTCCCATTGTTCTTTCGACGCATTGTGGCCAACCATGCCGCACATTTCCGAACCATATAAGAGCACCCCTCCTTCGATGCGATCCTGCCAAAGCCTCCCACTTCCTCTTTACTTTCAGGACCGGTTCCTTCTTTTTCTCCCGGCATTTGCTTGACGACTCAGTTTACGACCATCCCACCACTGTCTCTGATTCCATCCGATCTCTTCCTGCACGATGTTCTCGACCGTCTTCAAACTCTCTTTCATCACTCTGGCCTTGGCTCTCCACGTCCAGGGCCACGCCATGCCGTCGCCAGCGCTCGGCGTGCAGGGCGCCCCGAAGCGCAGCGACGTCCAGCGCCCCTCGACCGCGAAACCGTGCGGCAACGTTAACATCGCTGCCACCCTCGACACCTCGACCGCGATCCCTGCCGCGGCAGATGGGACGGTCCTCATGAACATGACCAACTTCAACGCGTATGTAACGTCCCTCCCGGGTCTTGTGAATGAGCTGATGCATGGCTATTCAGCGGCACGGATGGTGCGCGCTTCGTCGCCTCCCTCGGAGTCGATCCGACTGGACTGGGGAAGAACTTCACCGCCGTCAACGTCACGGTCAACGGCGACAAGGTGTGTCTTCCTCCTCTCATCTCTTTCTCCATCTCCTCACCAGCTTTCACCAGAACCCGACTGGCACCGGCACACAGCAACTCCAGTTCTCGCTTCCATCGGGGACCGCATGCACCGGAGGCAAAACGGGTGACCTCTGCCTACTGACTGTGAAGACGTCCAGCGGCTTCGGCGGATGTGTGGTCGTTAGCCAGGCTCTGACTGCCGGTTCCGCCACCCCCGCCGCTGGTGACTCGACAATCGGCTCCACGACCAATACAACCACAACGACTGCAAGTGCCCCTCAGAGCAGCAAAGCCTGCAAGGCTAAGGCCGCCAAGCGCCGGGCACTCGTGGGTCCCTGTTTCTTCTACTTTCCGAGCTGGCTGTTGATACCATCTCTTTCAGGGCACCCGTGCACCTCGTGCTTTGCGCAGAAGCCTGCATGCAAACCCTGTCTTTGGGGACATGATCTGAGCATTGAATCCATGCATGCAAACGACGACGATGTATCTTTAGCCCACTTACCACGCACTAGCTGTATTCCCCTGTAATGTATTCCTTGTGTTTCATCGCTCGGATAGTCTTTGAGAGACCCGTATATGCGTCCACAGCCTGTTTACGGAGGAACCCGTGCCTTCCAAGACACTTCTCGAAAGCATAGATTCGTCTGAAGAAACAAAACTCATGAAGCCTGTGCAGGGCAAAGCCTCAGAGTTGCACGGCTGAAACCCCCACTGGACCTATAAAATGCTTCATCTTCCTTTCGTGAGTGCTGCGACCCGTTTTCATCCAAAGATGAAGCCGAATGAAGCAAACTTAACATGAACAGACCATCCCGTGGAGCCAAGTCATGATCCAGAGAGTCCAAACCCAAACTGTTCAAACACGACATTCGATTCTTCACTTTGGACCACAATCATGCATCACACGAGAACAGCGATTGAAAACAAGAGCTCCTTTCTGGTCGCGTGCCCAAAATGATCGTTGGCAACAAACTCTTCCAGGAGCGGAAGGTTGGCTGAGTCCCAAGCGGCTCGTCTCAGGTGATGAGAGCGACTGAAGTATGCAGCACAAACAGACGGATTTGCTCGGGGAAGGACCGGTCAGAAGTCCACTACTGGGTTCCTGACGCAGGGCGGCATGGCATGATAAGCGGTAAGGGACATCTACACCTCTCGATGAATGCTGTTTCATATTTCACCATGCTTCCTGTCTCACGATACAAAATTAGTCGTTCTCGTAGTCAGAGTCTGGTTCCTGGTGCTCCTGCACGCGCATGCGGTCGTCGCGAGTCAGCATTGCCTCGCGCCGCGCTTGGGCAAGATGAAATGCGGAGTCGGGTAACCGCGGATAAACCGGACGAGGATACAAGTACATGGGCAGGATACCCACAATCAATGCCTGTCAGGACGTTGAAGCCAGAGCTCTAGCGCAATGCAACAAGACGTACGGTGAATCCAAACGCCAAAATCAGCCGATCCACCCACCCGTCGTCCTGCACCGGCCGATGGCGCTTCCACGAGAACGGGTCCTCATACCCGGGGCTATAGCCAGAGGAGAACTCCGCACGCCGCGCTCGCGCGTATCCCGCCTGGTAGCGCGCATATGCGTTCTTCCGCCGGTCGATCTCGTCCCACGTATCCTGGTCCTGCGGCTGCCGCCGCGGCCCGCCGGACATCGACACGGTCTTCCCGCGCAGCGTGTCGTATGCAGCCGAAACCAGCTGGAAGCGCCGGTGTCGCTCGTCTGAGGGCAGGGCCCGGCATGCGGGCGAGTCGGGGTGGTGCTGTTTCACCAGGGCGATGTCTGGCGGCCCGGGAGATGCGGGAGAAATCAGTGGTTTTCAGCCACAGCGGGAGGGGACGGGGTACGGACAGCGGCGCTTGATGTCTGCATCTGATGCACCCCGCGGGAGGTGAAAGATCTCGTGCGGGGTAGGGTTGGGGTGGGTTGGGAAGCTGAATGGGGTTCGATAGCGAGGGCTCGATTGATGGAGCAGGCGAGCGTGAATGAGAGTCTGGAGATTGTGCGGCAACTGAGAGAAATTCGAGGACAGCACCGTCTCTAATCGGCGGAAGCTCATCGGCTGTCGCAGTAGGGGGAAGCAAGCTGCAGTGGCCGCCGATCGGTGATGCGATGATGCGTCATTGATGCGCAGTCACGTTGTTTTGCATCATCAGTTCTGCATCATGAGGTTCAATGCTTACACCACCACTAGGTGATGCGATGCAAGGCCAATTGCAGAATAACCAATCTGAGTGTTTACCGACGGAAATTCACAATCCCGGGGTCAGCTGACGTAGCCGGCCGACAATTGTTGTTCGGCAAGGCTTCCCGGATTTGTTTTTGGAACGAGCTAATAAAGATGTGCTGAGAGACATCGTTAACCTATTGAGATTTTCATGGCAGTTTCGATGGAGATACAGAATGCCTGACCTCCTCGTTTACGTTATCGGAGCATTCTGAATCGTAAAATGTTGAGCCAAGCACGCACGATATTCAGGTGAACTTCTTGCCCATCTAGAAACTCTATATCAGCTGAGAGTACAAAGCATGCTCAGAATGGACCAGATTCTTATCTTTCCTTGTTTTGTGACATGTGGAGGCGCATGATGAACTGTGTATCCCAATGCGGTATAAAGCGATCCATCACGTGAGTGAAGTTGGTTCATCTTCGCTTTCAATTTCATCACTTTATCGAGATAGAGCAGAGCTCAGCATCAGCGGAGCAAACTGTCCGGTTTACACTCTTCCTCTTGAACGATCATGGGATCGTTCTCCTATGGAACCGCACTGGTTTCATGCGAGCAACAAGTGCGGTAAACAAGCGACATACTGGTGCTGACAACCAATGGTATCACAGCCAAAAGTAGAACGCTGACCCCACCCGATTTGAACGGATGACCTTCTGGATATTCCAAGCGAAGAAAAGTCCGTGAGCTGGAATCAGATACTCTACCAGCTGAGCTAGGGGGTCAACGGCGCCCAGGTTCTGGGTTCATTCAGACCATCGGTGTATAAATTGCCCAATCGAGCGGTTATCAATCACAGCCTTGCCCGATGGTGTGTCTACCAGCTCAGTTCCACTGCTCTATATACATCCACGCAGCCATAATATCACTCGCTTGCTGTCCCTCCACAGTCAAAAACTCCAATCCAGCTTCCATGAGCACCCGAAAACCAGCCTGGTCGTCAGGAGTCATATTCAGCGACCCATAGGCCAGTAAACCCGCCGCCCGCAGTTCGGTGACACCGAAGCGTGATCTCAACATCATCAGAAAGAGCCGCGGATTCGAAAATTCAGCGTCTGCGTAGCCAAAGGATATCCGAGAAAGCTGGGGCGAGACGTTGGCACTGAGCTCTGCTATCAAGGTGTCGCAGATCTCTGCATCTCCGAAATCGAGATCGAAGAATGAAATAGCAATTTCGGTGACGGACGGATGTCTGGACAGGATGCGCATGAAAATAGGCACTTCGGGGACGCCTTTCAGAGACAGATGCTTGAGTGTGCATGCAGAGCGTTTCACGAAGGCATCTACGCAGATATCTGCATCAACCCAGTCGTAGCACTCGAAGAAAAAAGCCAGGCCATAGAGCAGGGGAGCTCTGAGAAAATTCAGAATCCCCGGGTGGCCGATGCACAATCGCTCCAGCAACGAAACTTGAATCACGTCTTTGTCGCTGTCATCAATCAGAACCAAGGGGTTGTCGAACGAGATCTCGACGTAGGCTTCTCGCAGGTTTTTTGCCGTGATCAGGATATCTCTGTGTGTCGACCAAGGTGCGTCCATCCGATACCGCGTCAGGTTCCGCGTCGGAAACGACATCAGAATCATTCGAAACTCGTTGTAGAATCCCGCATCCCGCAAGACAGGCGCCTCGGCGAAACTGTGCAGCGACGTGACACCCTCCTGGCTGGAACCCGTGTCCCAGTCCACCCACAGCCGTTGCAGCGCCGGGAATCGGCCCTGCAGAGCAGCCAAATACGGAAACAGCGCCGCCGTGAGCCCGATGCTCAGCTCCTCCCACCGCCCGACATGCTGAGCGAGGAAGGCGAACATCGCGACCTGCGGAGCCGGGTCCAGATCCTCCGAGCCATAGAAATGCACCTGGATCTGCTGCGCGCGCTGCAGCTGCAACGCAACCATCGGGCCGGAGTAGTACGAAATCGGATCTCCCGCCGGCCGCGGGAGCACCTCGTTGCTAATGAACCCGCGGTAGTCGAACGCGAACAGCGACCACAGCGCCGGGCTCGAGATCGATGCGATGCGCCACCGGCGGCACACGTGGCCGAGCACCCACGGGCTGTCGGCGACGTTGAACGACAGGCGCCCGTTGAGCGGGTACGTCACGGATGGGAGCGTCCACGCGAATATCTCGAGCAGAGTTTCCGTCGGAAGGCGTCGCAGGGGACATACGAGTCCGATGTTTTGGCGCAGCGCGGTCTCCACTGCTGTTCGCTCGGTCTCCAGCGGTTCCATTTCGGCTCGGAGCGCAGTGATACGCTCTTCGAGGCTGTTTAGTCTGGTCCGATGGTACCCGATAGCCGCCCGGGCCCGTGAGATTTCATCCTCTTCGGGCGTGTCATTTGTGGTTAGCAGATGCTCGTAGCGCGCCTTCCCAAGTCGATCAGGATGCGATTCAATCTAATTGAGATTTAGGCTCGAATACCTCAGTGCGATCATGTCGAATCATATCTTGGTGCTTGACCTTGATTGAATAGCTTGGTGTCGTAGAACAGCAGGGAAGATCATCATTCGGGTATCTCCGACGTTTCAACGATTATTTCGAGAACCACTTGTGTAACTTTGTGCTCTTCTCAATGCGCTTTCTGACACAAGCGCAGCTGACAAGCAGTGGTCCTTGATTCCGGAAGATAAAGCCATATCTGACATATATTACACGAGTGGGATCCTACAATAAGCTATCAGTCGAGACGTATGTATGTATGTATGTGGGTGTGTGTGTGTGTATGGGCGTATACAGAAAACCAGAACGACAAAGAATATACACAAAGAAGGTGGGGGGAGGTGTTAAGGGCAAGAACGAGACTAAAAACGGATATATGTAGTTTTTGGAGCGGCATAGATATCGATAGCAAGCGCATAATCAGAGGAGAAGAGACGGAAGAACGAACATGGTCCACATAAGTTGGCTGGATGAATCTACTGCCCTTCGACGGCAGCAGCAGGCGTGACTGGCCACACACTGGCCCCCGCATTGGCTGAGCTCTCGCGACTCCTGCCGCGCAGGGGGACGACGTCGACGGCACCCTCCGACGCGCTGATCACACCGGCACGCATCTCGTCCAATCCCCGCTTGAGGCCGGTCATCATCCGATCGGTCTCCCGCAGGATGCTCTCCATTTGCCGGCGCTGCTCGTGCAGGTTGAAGTAGTGGCGCTCCAGCTCGTCCAGCGTCGGCACTGGCGGCGGGCGGTGGTAGGTTCCGTTCACCGGTGACCCGGCTCCGCCCCGACTTGGAGGGACGCTGCCGTTCCCATCGCCGCTGCCATAAGCAGACGCGTACGGTGTATAAGGCAGCTCGACGTTCGGGAACCACTTGGCCCGATCCTTGCCACGGGCCTCGTCGTCCGTCGAGACAGTTCCCGTCGTCGTCGTCTTGCGCCGCGCACGTTTGCGCTTCGGTGCGTCCGCGTCCGTTTCGTCATCCGTCGGATGTGGGTGGGGCGATGGTCGCGACCGGCCGACAGCGACGAGTGCTTCGGCAGCTGCTTGGTCAGACATGGCTGTGCTCTATTAATGGGGAAAGCAAGAGGAATGACAGATGTAACACACCGTTTCCGCCAGGGCTCGTTTCACCTGCTCCAGCCGCAGGAACGCGCTTCCGTCTTTTGATAACAGTCTTCTTCATTGAGGTGGGTCTGTGCGTTCCGTGCAACTTGAAGTACAGCCCTAGAGGAGAAGAGATCGTTTAGCTTCAAATCGGCGTGTCAGATAAGATATGATAGACAGTCTCCTTCGGAGTTAGATCAATGAGGGCATGAGAACCCTCACAGTCTCCATGACATCGCCTAGATCCGGATGCTGACGACAATCACATCCGTTCCAGCCCGCTGCCGCATGCATCATTTGTCACTCGATCCACGTGTGAGAGGAAGATAACAATTTTTCCGCCCAGAGGAACGAGAACGAGAGCAGCGAAGGAGAGAGATACACGTACCACATGCGTTACATATATTGTTCCCCACATCGTCCCTCCGCCACAAAGGCGTTGTGCTCGTCCCACAGTTGCCACATGCCAACGCGTTGATCTTCGGCGTTGACGGGGTGGGTGAGGTTTGGCCTGCACACAGTCAGTCAGTCGGGGATTAGGCCGCAGGAAGCGGCGATAACGTACCGCCAATCGCATCCGGATGAGTGGCACTCAAGATCTGGACCTCCTGCACGGGTGTCGACGGCGGAGGCGTCGGGTTCAAGATATTCCTCAGTGTCGCGTCGGTGGGCTCGGACTTGTCTTCGGATCCGTTCGTCCCGCCAAGGGCATTGTTCCACGTCGGGCAACCGCTGCAGGCAGACGATCCGCCCGTGCCATCGCACCGGCCGTCGCCGGGGCAGGTTCCGCCGTGTCCTGCGACAGGTGCAGGAGTGAGAGGCACGGAGGGAACCGCGGGTGCTGCGTTGGCAGAGTTGGCGTGCGCTGGTGCGGGACGTGGAGCACCGCGTGACTTTTGGTAGAGGCCTGCGTAGAAAGGACGCGTCAGCTGAGTGGTCGAGGACATCTCGCTTGCGCAGGAAAGATGAAGATAGGGAAGACCGGACAAGATGGGGTAGGTGGGTCAAAGACGATGAGCTAGTGCAGACAGGACAGCACGGATAGTCTATGCGATCCCATCCTATCCATTCCTGTTCTCCATGCTCGAAACACCCAAGAATCGATGAAGACGAAACCGCATACAAGCACTGACGCAGGCTGCCAGCCACACGAAAACATCGTGTCCTGCAGGGCAATCCGATCCTCGATCGAATCATTCCTCGCCAGAGCTTCGCTTCGCAAGCCCAATCGATACGGGGCGCCAAAAGAGCTTCACGCTACCGCAGGGGAACACAGGAAAGGAACAGAAGGCATATAGCATCGCAGGCGTGCTAGTGTAGGACTGTCGCCCATGAAGCAACCAGGGCGATGCAGCAGAGCACCAAGCAGGACAGAACACGGGTAGACTAAGAGAGAGCGCAGGGGGAGCGAGAACAAAGGCGATGCCACTCACCGCATGCATTGCATATCGGACTGCCCTCGGGTGTGCGGCGCCATAAGGGCGTTTCAAGCGTGCCGCAGTTGACACACGTCGGGCGGACGGGCACTGCGGGGGCGCTGGATGCCACTGCAGCGGCGATGGCGTTGGTTGCAGATTGCGGGAGAAGGGCAGGGCCGGACGGCAAAAACTCGTCGACGGCGCGGAGGGGGGGATGCTCGAGGATGCTCGACATCGCAGCAGGATGTGAGAGGGAGAAGGGTAGATGAAGATTAAGGGAAAAGATATGAGATTAGAAAGAGAAGGAGGAACAAAACGAGGTGCGGTAGCTGAGGTGAAGCGGGGTGAGACACGACACGACAACAACACGAAAAAAGGGTCGATGCTGTTTATCTAAGATAACATCAACCAATCAGAAACGCCGCATTCCTGAGATGATCTAATCAATCGGCTGATGCCACTGCAAGGGGAGATGATCTAATCAGATCAAGTGTCGGAGATAAATATAACATGTATCTTGGCCGACGGTGGGAGACCTGGTATCTGGGGGTTGGGCTTGCGCAGGACGACGAAGTGGTCTATTTACTTCTATCCAGCCACTCGGATGAAAGCTGGAAGGCAGGCCCGCTTACGCTGGGGTATTTCGTAACTAGTAACGGTCACATTGGAATCTGATCTAATCAATTCCGTACATTTCTTCCCCACACCCGGTGACCGGCCATCTACCTACATAGAGCCTGCTCGGGGTCGGACTGAGGATGGGGAGCATCGGCTCTCCTTGAGACCCCCGAAGGGCAAGGAAAAGCTAGTACTCGCTCCGGGCCTGAGACCGGGACCTTGGTGCAGGATATTCCAGTGAGCTTGGCCCCTGTATTATGCACATCGTTTCAGGCAGTCTGGGCGCCTGATTATACTCACCCTGTCATTCATCCCGTGGTATTTGTGGCGAATTTATCAACCACCCGTATCACCTCCTCAGGGAATCTAATCTTTCCTCCCTCGTGAGTCGCATCCTTCTCAAGACGTAAATCCGTCAAGAACGCATGGCAAGCAAAACGACGTTAGACTGCGCTCCTGCGACCTTGACAACCAGACTCCCAGTTTCCAGTCGCAACGGCCGACAAGATCGTTTACGTGGGCCCCGTCCGATAATATCCGATGGATCTATGTCAGCCCTCACCGAGCTGGACAGTGCCTGGGGCTGGGAGCCTAGATCAGCACTGACACCCGTTCGTCTTGGTGCACTTGCCAGAGCCTCTGGCATGCATCTGACCTCCGATGGACGTCTGGTTCCCGCGGAAGATACAAGTAGCGCGCACCGCAACCGACCCAAATGCGCTTACTACAGTACTTCCGTCTTGCTTCCGTCGCCGAAGTGTCGGACGTCCGATCAAGAAGGTCTCGCCCGGAGGAATGCTTCCGCGGAGATCCAGAGCTGTCGGCAAGCTTCTCTGATCTCTCGCAAGTCACAGCTAAGTGTGCACGACATGTTCTCCCGAGAGCCTTCAGTGTATACATGCTTCAGCCAGCTCAACAATGCTTTGACTTCTCATTCAGGAGCTGCGATCAATCGGGCCGTGGTACGATAGAGATAACGATAAGATATGCCCACGGCATGATAAGATTGCCTCACATGGGTTGCATGTGACCTGATGCATAACCTCATCGCCCTTGATAAGATTAAATTGCAGGGCTGATCGAGATGGGCTAGTACACGCCTGGAGCGCATGCCCGGTTACACGCCGATATGTTGCTGAGACGAACGAAGAGCCATTCGATGGATCGATCACCTAAATCCACAACCACTGGTGGTAGATCCACCGATCCATCAACTGGCCTGCTTCCTCTTGCTGCACTACGGCAAGGCCGAACCCTCCCCGTTTCAGCTCCTCCACATCAGCCAGAGCTGGCGGCGGCCCGTGATGGACCGCCACGAGAGCACTTTCGAGCATCCCCAGACCATTCCGCCACCGCGCGCGGATAAGTTGGAAGAACAGCTTGTAGTCAAAGAAACTCTCTTTGTCACAGCCGATGAAGACGTGCCGCAGCTGGGGTGCAATTTCCGGCTCGTTCGCTGCAAGCGCGTGGAGAAACTTGTTCAGCGCGAGAGCGCCATCGTCGTCGATGATGAATCCGAGTTCAGTAACGGAAGGTAAGCACGCCAGGACTTCAATCGTCCGAGTCTCATTGACGTGACCATCAAAGCAAAGTCTTCGTATGAAGCACGACGAGCGCACAACTAGATCAGACACAGCCCGCGACAAAAACCCGCTTTCAGGTTCAAGCTCGAAGGACACCGTCAGTTCTTTGAGGGCTGGAAGGTTGACGAAGGAGAGTAGCGTCGGATTCGTGATGCACATTCGCTCCAGGGTGTGCACAACAATCGGCGTCGACGGAATCAGGGATTCGTCGTCCTCTACATGCACGACAACGATGTGCGCCTCAATGAGCCGGCTGGCATAGCTCAGTATCGCGTGGTGGACTTCAAGCGGAGCATCGAGTTGGTAGTGCGTGAGCTGGTGCAATGGCAGAAAGCCTGGGGTGCCCATGAATCTGTTCAGCACACCAACGTTCGACAACGAGGGTGCCTCCATAAGACACCTGGCCATATCCACCGGCGCCCCCTCGTTCCCGCTCTCATCCCACTGCAGCCACAGCTTCCTGAGCAGTGGCACCCGCCCACCGACCTTGACCAGCATCGGCACCAGCTGCGCACTCAGCTCCAGATTCGCCTCCACCCACTTGTTCGAGTGGCTCACGAGGAACTCCAGGGCCGCAGCCTGGTGTATCGTACACGCTTGTGCACTGGCATGGAAGTAGATCTTGAGGTTCTGCGCGCGCTCGACCTGCGCCCGCAACATCGGCATCGGAAACGCCTTGCTGGCCTCCACATGCCGCGAGTAGTACAGCATCGTGCGCGACCACAATGCGCGCGTCTCCATCGCCACCGCCCGCCACCGCCTGCTCACGTGCGTCACGACCCAGGGGCTGTCGAGCAGGTTGAATGACCGCCGCAGGACGAGGTCGTTGGTGTCCGGCAGCGAGTGGTGGAAGATCTCGCTGAGCACTTCCGCGGGGAGACGTCGCAAGGGCGAGACGATCGCCTGGTGCCGGCGGCGCGTGGAGAGCAAGAGGTCCTGGACGCGTTCGAGAGGCCGGAGAGTGGCACGAATCTTTTCGAGATCGGCTTGAATGCGTTCCAAGTGCAAGTCATGCTGCGAGATGTACGATTCGACGATAGGAATGTCGAAAGGCGATGGCAGTTCGTTGGAATGCAGCAGATGATGGTGTCTGCTATCGGATGCGGGAGGAGGGATGAAGCAGCCATCAGAGGCTGACACTGTCTCGTAGAATTCGAGCTCAGAGTGACTAGTCGATGACATGATCTTGGGAATGAACGGCCGTCGTCCACCTTTGAGAACTACATGAACCGTTTGAACGTGAAAGACAATGCAGAGTGGCAGTGCTGATCACATGCTCGCCAGCATAGAATTCGCCATTGCCTAGCAGCGCTCTAGTAGCAGTGCCTGCAATCACCGAATGTCACAAGTGCCGCCACTGGCAGCCACCTGCAGCCACTCTGTTCCAGTCTGCGTTGAAACCTCTGTTGCAACACCTAGACATAATATGTCAAACTGCGCTGTTTCGCTGTATCAAGGAAACTACCCAAATCGTTCTCCCCTCTTCACTAGCTCCACCTCCCCACTCGTTCACGCTCTTTTGTATCTCCCATCTGGAATCCGAGACATAGTTATGCATCAGCAAAGCTCTCTGGGCACTTGGGACCATTCGATGCTCTATTTCATCAAAGGACCGAACAACAATAACCTGTGGGGCAAGTACCAAAGCGCACGGGCCGTTTCCTCGTGGTATAAAGGGACGCTTGTTCTTTGTCTAGATACGCCACTCATTTTTACTGTCATCATGACTCGCACCAAGACACCTTCCGCCAAATTTAGAGCCGCGACTCCCGCCCAGGACAGATCACGGGGGTCCTCAGCTTCAGACAGTGCGTCCTCGAGCAAGACGTCCCCCGCTGTCGATGACAAGAACCAGTCCAAGAGTGAACAGAAGGATCAGAGAAAAGCCCAGGAAGCAGCTGTGCGAGCTCAGCGGATGATGGGGAAACGGATTCCGTCCAAGCAGAACTTTGTCCTCGTCGGATCTGTGGGTCGTAGTTTCTCGTTCCTCTTCGCATGCGTCTCTAATCCATGTTTTCATCTACCAGCTGGACCCACGCATCACTGCCGCGCAACTCCAGTCGCATTTCGCATCGTGCGGGAGCATCAGCGCGGTGCGGATGAGCTACGCGGGCAGCACGGGTGTGTCGGCGACCGTCGAGTTCGAGCAACCCGCAGGAGCCAAGAAGGCACTCAGACTGAGCCGTAGCACGGTGGCCGATTTCGACGACCGTCCTATCAAGGTGGTGATGAACGTGCTGCACATGGAGGAGATCCACCATCGACCATCCGCTACAGCTGTCGCCCACGCCCTCACGTCCGATACGTTATATCTTGCCCAGCATGTTCCGCAGAAAGCGGAAATCATCGTCAAACCCCCTTTCGTTCCCGTTCCCGGAGAGCGGCATGAGCATTTAACAGGTGAGACGACTTGCGTGGGGGACAGCTTGAAATGTCATCTCATTGTCTTGGTGCAGGGGCTGGGGTCTGCTTTCTTTCCGATGTCGCTCGGGCCACGGTGGCTTATAGGCCGGCTCAACGAGCTGACTGTCGATGCCCGGCGTCTGAATCGACCGTGCACAATGGGATAGTACTCAGAACTCAAGAGTAGCGCGCTGCAGTATCTTCGTCCTGTGTGTCATTCTGCATTTATACAAGAATCGCCACAATGTCCAGGCATTATAATCACGTGACGAATCCGGGGTCGGACCACCGCAATTGGTTAAAAAGGTGGATCCTCCGTTAGATTACTGAAAAACAGTCGACAAAGATGCCAAGGGTGATGCACTGAGGATTGAAAGTCACTCTGAGCCTTGAATATCTTCGACAGATACTGAATGGCGTCGGCAGTGTCAAGATACGAGCGACACCGGCATGCGGCGACCGATTCTCGGACTGTGTGCCAGCAGGATGGACGCGTCCGGTTCATAAGCGGACGAAGCGAATGAGCATCACTCGGGTTGCCATTCGTTTAGCCCAGCCTGACGATAGGTGTTCAAACATTGGCACTGGCATCTCTAAGTTAAATACCACGCATATGATATCAGCTCTCCACCCCACTTACAGTCCACCGCTTCATCATGGTATGCATAGAGCCCGCTTCACCTCCTGCCACTCCCTGAGTCGTCGTGTACTTCTCACTATCCATGAGACAAGTCTGGGCCCATCAAACGTTTGTTAAGATACCAGAAGCTGTACGGTGGCAGAACCTCGATCCAGACGGGCAGACTGACTAGATGGACAATCTTCCATCCGACCACGATCATCTTGCGCCTGGTTTAGACGACGGTCGGTTCCAGCAGGATGCCCGGAACTAACACGAGAAGCACGAGAGACGCCATGGTCTGAGACTACCGGGGCCGATCGTATTCACGGTGAGATACAAATTGGACGAGATGGGGCAGGTAAGTCCAGCGCGCCGAGCAGCCCACCAGTCGCGGTCGCATACTATGCAGCCGATTGTCCAGGTCAACGAGTCTGGGAACAATTTCGAACCCGCATTCACATAAGAATCACATCGGTCGCCCAACACAGCGCGATAGAAAACGCGCACTCTGACGCTGACAGACGCTCGTCATACATCACTCCCCGAAAACAGGTCATCGGCTTCCAGTATTGCCCATTTCCGCGAACAGGGCGTCCGGGACACGATGTAGCCGCGATCGTTCGCCGGTCCAGTTGTCTTGTATGAAGTAATGGGCATACACTTCAGGCATGTTTGTGGCTCATGACCGTCCGCAATTGCCACGATATTCGCATGCGGTTCCGGTTCGTCTATAGGCAGTTGTTATGCATCATGCACGGACAGGCATCCTGGGCAGTCATCTTGTTGTCGGCTGGCGTGCTACCAGCGAGGGGAGGAGCACTTTCTGGCTGTTGATATGATCTGCAGTCGAGGGCGAATCCAGTTGGGCACAGAAACCCGGCGGGAGTTCCGACTCTGCTGTCGCAAGACAGATGGTGTTCGACAGTGGGAGATGGAACCGCTCGTAGTCTCGCAGTAGCTAGGGCACCACGTGCCGGTCCAACAAGAGCACGACGAAAGCGACCTCGTGAACACTGTCGAGCACCCGAAAAGGAGGAGTCGAAGTCGAGTGCAGCATTGTAACGACGTGGCCCGGTAGAATCCTGCTTGTGTGAATGCCAACATCCGAGATAGTACCTTGCCATTGTCTTGTGATCATGGTGAAGACTGCCTGAACTACATTAACAACTTGGACTCATCACTGTCCGTCCCGTAGGTTTTGAATGCATGGGCGAGAAATGAGGTCGATTAGGGATCGAGCCACGACAGAGCAAGGTGTTCTGAAACGTGGGTGGTAAACGATGAGTACGTGAGTGCATGGTGCAACATGCCAGTCGAAGCCCGGCTGTCTTCGTTCAGAAGCCCTTGGATCATGCAAAAGAATCTGGGTCGAACGCTATATAATTCTGGCACACTGATGACAAAGCCGATCCTGCTGTCTACCGCACTCTCACAACGAGAATGTCAGCGACTGATGAATCAAATCTGAAGCGCCAGAGGGCTAACGGCAACGAAATCTGGAGTGCGGAGAGCTCGGTGGCCCAGAATTACGACCAAGGTGTGGTCGATGGCTGGAGGAGCGAGATGTATGGCTTGCTGATCTTCGTGCGCCCCCTGCGTTTCCCATGCTCGTCCTCAGTCTCTGACTCGTCTTAGGCTGGCCTCTTTTCCGGCGTCATCGCAATGTTCATGACCGAAAGCCACAAGATGCTGAGCCCCGACTCGGGCACTCAGACCCTCGCGCTGCTCAGCGAGATCACACAGCTGCTCGCGGGTATCGCCAACGGCACAGCGACCATGGCCGCAGCTCCGCCCGCCCCTGCTTTCTCACCTTCGTTCTCTGCCCTCCTCTGCAACTCCCTCTGGTTCGCCAGCCTCGCACTGAGCTTGGCGTCCGCGCTGGTCGCCATACTGGTAGAGCAATGGGCACGGGAGTACCAACACGGGACCTCGGTGTTCCCCTCCCCTCCCCTCCTAGCCCGCGCTCACACGTATCTGTACCCTAGTCTCCGACGCTTCGATATGCATGCCGCCGTCGGCATTCCGCTGGTGCTCTTGAATGGAGCTCTGGCCATGTTCTTGGCCGGCCTGGTCGCATTCCTCGCGCCATCAATGCCATGGTCTTGATTCTGTCATCCGTACTTGTACTACTCTTTGTATCACTCGATGGAGCATTCACTGTGTTCCCTTTGTTCTTCTACGACAGCTTGTACCACAATTCACTTTCCCGGATCCTTTGGTTGCTGAATGAGAGCTTGGGAAAGCAACGTTGGACACCAAGTCTCTTTCGTGGGCCATACGCTCCATATACGATGATAACGAACTTGGGACTTCCTGCAGGGAATCATCCAGGCCTGTTGGCGGATGTGGACTGCGGGCTCCAAAGAATCGCCGTTGAAGCTATGTAGCCATGAGGTTTGCACGCCTTTGATGGGGACGAGCATGTGGATCCTTCATGAGGCTCAGAGACGCACTCGATACACGTTACGAGGCCACATTTCGCCCGAAATCCACGAGCAGCTGGGTGCTCCAGGCTGTTTGCTTGTTCTTGATCAGCTCTCACTTGCCAAATTTGGAATGTCCAATCCGAGTAGTGCTCTCGAGGTTTGGTTCAGAAATTTGTCCGAGCCCGGAATGACATGAACTCGGGTTCGGGGTTCGGGTTTGGGAGGTATGCAAAAATGCTGAACTAGAACTAGTACTTACGTCATGTATGGTGCCCCGGTCTGCCATTGTCGAGGCATGCATGTGTCTCATGAAGTTCACATCACCTCACGCAAGGCAGCACTGTGAACTTGACCTTGGGCACGTTGGGGCATCGGAGAGGTCAGAGCGCATGATTGGTCGGGCTTGCACTGGCAAGGATTGCCGCCCAGCTCAGATCTTTCTACCGGACAAATCTGATCCGATCGATCAAAATGTCGAGATGCCGGTTCTTCTTCCTCATCAGAGAACATCCGTGCAACAGGACACACATTCAAAGCCCAGATGTCAAGTCTGCAGAGTAAACAACACGCCCACGGCCACCTAACTGACGAAGCCGACGCTCATATTCAAGTCCGAGTTATCCATGGCATAGAAGACGGAGAAACCTCGTCGGCCCCTGTCTCGCGGATTATGTATTGTCAGCATAAGAAGGGAATTCAAAGGAATGAATACGGGAGTCGTTTCTCGTCTTGCCTTTCTTGCCTTCCACCGCATTCCCTGCTTCACCTAACACTATGCCACTCGTGCCAACGCCCTCGCTAGCTCGCTGGGTCCATCCTAAATTCCTTCTCTGCGCCCTCCTTCTAGGTTACGGCGGGTACAACGTCGGTTTCCTCTCCAGAGAGTCTGTGGACACGTCCGCGCTTGTCAGCATACTGCAAGGGGCTACGCGAGGCGATCCACTTCGCGCACCCGTCGTTGGCCCGCGTCCGCCGCTGCTACATCGACCGAACGCCGTCACGACTGTCCAAGCCGCGCACGCGACCGTCACGACTGTTGTTACCGAGTACATCGCCGTGCCCCCCAGAGAGCCGGAAAGTCCCCGAGTCTTGAAAGGGTTGCCGACGGACGCTTTCCGAGGTTCGTCCTCACTCAGCCAGTGCATATCGTCTGCATCTGAATGTCCTCTAGATAACTTGCAGCCCGGTACTCAGTACATAACAAGCTGGCCGGGATCGGGATGGAGTGCGTGTCTCTCTCGTGTTAGGAGCGTCTCTTCTCACTAGCATCGGCTTCAGCAAACGACGTCATGCTGGTTATCAACTTGATCTATCTTGCGCTCCTCACAGAACGAGTACCGATTGTCCCATTCTTCGTCCCACTGCATGTCTCCCAGAACAACTTCGAGCGCGGACAGACACTAGACTTTGGCGAAGTCTTCGATATTCCCAGGCTTTCCAAGGCGATTAGGAAGCCTGTGCTCGAATGGTGGGAGGTCAAGGTGCGTCGGCCATCGTGACGTACTTTGTTGGCTCTGACTTCCTGCTTTAGAATCGTAGCACCGAGACAGTTGACACGTTGGGATGCTGGAATCTGTGGCAGGCGGTTTCATCGAAGCACGACACGCCCCATTGGACGCATACTCCCGTCCGACTCAACATCGGTACTTCCCCTGTCTCAGATATCTTGCATCTACTCATGCCCATTAGATGTGTCGTACACTCAGGCCCCCAGCTGGATCCAACTCTATGAGGATGACTCGAATCACATGAAATTCTCTTCCCTCTCTGCTTTGTCGTTCCCGCAGAAGCGCTCCGAGAGCTTGCTGGCACCTGCTCCCGCCCCGCGCACCGGAGCTGTTTTGCCTCCCGACCAACAAGTGCTCTGCTACGACAATTTGTACTGGGCAAACGACCACGAGGTGTGTCATCTACGTACCTCGTTTCGCCTCAATTGCGTGCTGACAGTGAGCAGCAGCACGAACTCGAGAAGAGCGACTACAGCCCGGCGTGGAGGTTCGTCGGACACCATCTCCATTGGTCGAACAAGCTGCAGGATATCGGCGACATGTACATCCGGGAAGCATTGGGTGTCCCTGCAACCGACCCCATCCCACCGGTGAGCAGGTCCGCGCACTCCCGTGTCCCATTTCTGAGCCTTGCGGTGCCCAGTATATTGCAGTGCACGCCCGTCACGGAGACTTTGTGGAGCGCTGCGACATCCAGACTGCGGACGAATGTTTCACGCCCCTCCCTGCCCTGGCGCGTCGTGTCGAGGAAGTGCAATCCGAGCTGCTCCGGACGCACGGCCTGGCCGTGTCGTTGGTGGTCATGACTAGCGACGAGAAGGATCCCGACTGGTGGAACGAGGTGTCTGGGTACGGATGGAAGCGGCTCGACCACAGCGAGACGGCGGAGCGGTACGGCTTCTGGTATCCGATCCTGATCGATGCCGTGGTCCAGTCGGGCAGCACCGGATTCGTGGGCACGGACCAATCAACGGTGTCATTCCTTGCAGGTCGTCGAGTGAAAGGCTGGAGGAACGGCGTCACCAGGTTTGCGAAGTGGGGCAGTCCCCAAGCCGATGACCATTGATTGTCTTGCGGGTTGTTTTCGAAGGACACTTCTTGTATCCTGTTGTATCTTGCTGTGACTTGTATTAGCTATTGATAATTGCTTTCGACCTGCTCAACCGGAGGGAAATTCGATTGAACACAGGGAGGAACGCGAGCGAAAGATTCTAGCGGGTGCAGTTTCAATGAGGCGGTCGGCTTTACCAGGTGAAACTAGCCCGTGGCAAATAAGCACATTATCTCCAAGACACATGCTCAGATCCCGCGGCTCATACGGCAATGTGAAACTCAGACCTGCGTACTTTGTCAGAGTTCAGATTCATTGATGAAACCAGAAAAGTTCAGGAGAGACTCTCAATTGGAGGGGGCTGTTATTTCCTCCAGTAGACACCGAGTGAGCAGACCAATAGAGCTCCCCAAGACATGCAGAACGTATAATACCGATGCAGTTAACGCGTATGTATTCGTAATGATAGGAGAGAGTAGAGTAATAGACGAGGATAGGTTATACAGGATTCACAGTACAGTAACAATCTATAATACAAATATACACCAGTACAAGTCGGCAAATGCCCAGAAGTACAGGTTTCTTATTGGTGAAGGGTCGCTGCCGGGGAGAGCGGAGAACGGAGGGTGGCGCAGGAGGAATCAGGCGAAATCAGGAAAGGGGAAGGTGGACACGAGCGTGTTGTGCGAGATTGTCTCTCCGACTGAACGTCTTCCCGCAGCCTTCAGAAGGACAGATCCACGCTGATGAATGGTAGTCAGTGACAATGAGCAGCGGTGAGAAGTTCAGCGACGTACGACGATCATACGTATGGATGCTCCGAACGTGCCGTTTGAGATGCTCGCCCCTCACGAAACTCTTCCCGCATCCTACAACTTGGCAGATAAATGACCGCGGGGGCGCATTGATGTCTGGCACTGCAGGAACATGACGGCCCCGGCTCTTTTTGATCAGGTTTGGGACGGGCACCGGAAGCGGCATAGACGCTGGCCGACGCCGGTTATTGCACTGCGCAGGTCGGTCCGCCGCTATATGCGTTGGTTCGCTGATGCCCATCATGGAAGGGAAAGACAACGAGAAATCGCTGATGGAATCGTGAGTAAAGTACTGTGCTGGCAAGGCCGATACGTCCGATTGGTGAGCGAAATTTGAAGAGGAGAATGAAGCTGCGTCGACTCTTGGAGAAGCGGAAAAGGTCGAGATGGACTCGGTGCCGTTTCCGGTGGCAAGTTCTGTCACAACCCTCAAAGCCTCGGCCGCACTCCCCGCATTCCGCCGACGCCCTGCTCCTCTGCGATTGCGCCCGGGGTAAGGAGCGGTCGACACTCCATGTTCTTCGTTCGGCTCAGATTTGATGGATGCCCTCTTCCGAGTCTTTCGCTTGTGCCGACCAGGGACAAACTCGTCGTCGTCATCATCATCATCTTCGTCGGCATCATCTTCGTAAGTGTCAACGTCGTCGTAGGGATCACGATCCTCTACAGCTTGAGCTGGAACCTCAGCGTTATTTGCAGCGCCATCCGGCGTGCAACCCTCACTGGCTTGATTCAAACGACCGCGCTTGGGGAGGCATCGATGCTTGGCCTCCAAATCTGCTTCCTCTTCTTCCTCAGCCTTCCTCTTGGGGGCGGAGCCGGAAAGCTCTAAGACTTGAGGAGGAGGGCGAGTGGTGCGCCGCATGATAGGCTGGGCTACCGTGGGCAGATCCTGGTGAGGAGGCCCCGTCAGATCCGCCATGCTGACGAACATGTGTCCACCATCAGGATACGCCATCTCGAGTTGCGGGGTGACATGGGGAGAGCTGGGGAGCGACCGCGTCTCAGCGAACGGGCTGCGATTCATGTTCGATGCCTGGTACCGAACGGGGCCACTGTTGCCTTCGGTGTGGAGGACGGAGGAGTGCAGAGCGTAGGGTAGCGCAGAATGGCGATGCTGGGAGTCGGAGCTGGATCGCGAGCTTGCGGACCAGGTTTCCGACGCCCGCCGGGCAACGAGGTAGCTCGATTCGAGGACATACTCGCCGCGCGAGTTGAACGGTCGAAAGATTTCGCTGCCACTGGCAGAGTCCGATGAACGGGTTTGGGACGACGAGGAGTGGTTGTCCGAGACTGGCGCTTCGGTCCCTTCGTTCCATGCCATGTACGCTGCTCGGTCGTAGAAATCGAGCTGCGTGCTCCAATCTCCACTCAGAGTCGCCATGAGCGTGGGTTCTCGGGATAGACCGTGGTCGCCGTGCTCCGCCTGGTTCGTAGTCGCAAGGTACTGAGCCAGGTCCTGCTCCGATTTGGTCAAGGAGTTTGATGCGGGTTCGGCAGCGGACGCATGGAGGGAGGAGGACGAGGGGATATCGAGCAGAGTCGAGGCCAAAAGAGTGCCGCTCCCTGCACTGGAGCCCATGAGACTGGACAGCGGGATCGCGCCACTGGGGGCACGGGGGTGTAGGCTGTATGCAGTCTGACCCGCACTGCGCGAGGGAGGGCCGTATTGGTCTACGCGGGCCAGCGAGTCCCGCAGCGAGGACACTTGGTGCAAAAGAGGGCTGTGCATGGGGGTGAAATGATAGGAATGGAGGCGGATGGCGGAAGTATTTCGAAACGAGCCAATCGAAATAGAGGAAGGCAAGTCGGGCCGTCGGGGACGGTTCCTTGGCAGGTCGGGTTGGAAACAAGGATGGATAGTGCCGCGACGCGTCTTGCACGTCTCTGGGCGGGGAAGACGCGCGAATTTCAGAAGGATGAGAATGGGAAGGATTGATTGTCTATGGGGAATCTGCACTAGATCACAGGAAAATCAAACCCCGCTCTCCATATCAAACTCCGCCATGACAACCGATCAGCGCAAGAACGAAACATTGGGGCTTCTTTTGGACGTATTTCAATTGACAGCAAGTATGGATACATGTGGGGAGGTGCGCCCTATAGAATTGAATTACGATGGGTCATATATCTATTATGGCAATGCAAAAAGCACAAGCAAAGATAATATAAATTCCCAGACAGAAATTGGAAAGCCGAATATACCACGGAGCTTTAGTGCCCTCGAGACAGGTGAGATTTCGACTTTTTCAAAGATGGAGCGGCAGGAATGCTTTGTCTGGCCTTGTACTCTGGAGGTGCATCTTGGTCTTCCGTGTCAGCGTCCAAATTCGCGAGGCTGAGCGCATCACGCTTCGCGTCGGTGCTCCGCAAGGGATACCCAACTCCCTTCGAGAAAGTCATCAAGCCCGATGCCCCCGCCAATTCAGCACGCAAACTCTCTGCACCCGTCTGAAGCGTCTGCTTGAGCAACTCATGCTCTCTTTTCAGAGTGCGGTTCTGAATCTGGAGCTGAGCGACTTGCAGCCTGTAAAGGACGAGAGCGTCCATGTTTGTATGTTCAGCCGCCGAATTCGGTAGACCAGAGGTGATTTTCAGGTGATCGAATTTGTTGTCGGGCGCTCCGAGTTCCGGATCGATAACGAAAGTCGAGTTCCGTCGCAACAGCTCTGGCGCTCTCAGCCGGAGAAATACGACGGCCCAAAAAACGCCGAAAGAAGAGATGCCGAAGGCGAGACCGAGGATGAGCTCCAAGCGGCGCTGCCGCGGAGTGGTCTGAAACTCACGAATGGTCTCAGCGAGGGATGTTGACTGCGATCTACAAGGACATGAATTGGCTTTGGTACAGGCGGCAATCGAGCGTACTCACGACAGGGTCGCATAACTTGAGCTGGGGCTAGGAGTCTGGAGAGCGGTACAGGGCATTCTGAGGACTAAGTTAGAGTGCCGTTTGAACAGCAAGATGCTTAACCCACGGTGTGGTAGATGGAGCGATTGTAACAGTCGCAAGGATAGTGGTGGTGCTGATATCAGTCGTCGAAGGCGGGCTGTTATGTTTCAGCAACATATATTTTGTAAACCACATCGACGAACCTTAGAAAAAATCCATTCAAACCATTACCGGGGATGGAATGGAAGGTGGTTTGAGACCACACTGATCGGAAGAGAACTAGGGGAACAACGAAAAAGTGGAGAAAGGAAACGAATCTGGGGACCATAAATGAGCGCCCACAACTGAGACAAGACAATAATCCTCACCGCATCTCAGAACAGGCCGTTTGGGGAATAACGAGAGAAGGGCCGGTGAGACACGACCGCAAAACAACACGAAAAATCGAGTCGTGGCGTCCAGAGATGGTGACGACGCACATACCTGAACTAGTTATACGAGAGTGTTCGCAACCCGGGGGCTCGATCGCTGATACGACCTGTCAACGAGAACAAGAGGTCTATTGTTCCATACTAAGACGTGGACCTACACCTGACGGTTGGATCACGTACGACGATATTCTGCCGCCGGGTTGGTCTCGGAACACGTTTAAGGGGGACATATTCGTCACCCAATTTCCCGCTGGGATTGTCACCGACAAGCGAAGCGAGATGTTGTTGGCAGCCTTCAGAGGAAACCAGAGCTTGATCCGATCACAATTTTGCTCTGATGATGTGCTGTGTGCTGTGGGTTCAACACTGTGTTGTATCACCCACGAAAGCTTTCACATCGTTTGTTGTTTCTTCCCTACCCCTTGAAGAGCAAGAAGCGCTGCTAGATGAGCGAACAACGACAGAATGTGAGAATGCGCGTTGTAGGCTGTTGTAGGTCCCAGTAGAGAACAATGCCCAAATGCTTCTGCTGTCAGAATTCTGATATTTCTGTTGTCCTCGAGGCGAGAAATCACTCTTGACGTCGTCCCACGCTGTTTGAGCAGGGTCTGAACGGCACACGTGATAATCCCCGAAATAAGTGACGAGTGCGACCGAGTTGGATCTGGTCGAACGACCATGTTAGAAATAAGGTAGTGTCCGCATGTGCGTCCTATTTCCTGGAGTCAAGTTATCCCTGTTTTCTATGACAAGTGATTTTTTCACCTCGAAATCAAAAGAGTCCAGCCACAGTAAAATCTGTCTAGAATGGGCCCTTTAAGGCGGCCGTGTTTGAGGAATTATTTCCACGTCGTCAATTCCGAACTTTACACGACGAACAGAATACTTAACCTCTGCTCTGAAAGCATTCACCCTTGTCTTACAGTCCCGTCATTGGCACAGCAGATTGAACGTTTTCAGTCCCTCGGACGGAGAGCTGAACAACCTGAATTTCGTTAGAATATATGGGGGGGGCAATTTGACTGCGCCTCCGCCCGATATTGCACAAATTTGGTGTTTAGAAAGGCTCACCCCTACGTCCGAATAGTATCAATGGAATGTAACAACGGTGCAAAAGTCAAAGGCCGATTTTTCGAACCGTCAAGCGACAGGTCGTACAGTTTTGGACTCATTTTCCTGCCGCGGTTGACATTGATGACTTGCTTGGGTTTGTTCGAGGGGTGCTGGCCATCATCCCACCTCTGCACTCGACCATTACCTGTGATGTCTTGCCGAATCAAGGACGACGGCCGCTTTCTGCCTTCGGCTGAAGCCAGGCGGAACACCCGAGTCGATCACAATAATCGCGCATGTGCACTGATTATCGATAAGCCCCATGTTCAGTTTCGAGATGCAGCGAGAGCTGAACTTGTTCTGTAGATCAATTCGTCGAAGGAAAGGCAGGGCGATAGAGACTCATACGTATATAATACATCGTTGCCTGTCAATGTTTTTTTTTCGCGATATCAAACCCCATCGCGCTCTACCCAAGGATAGTATCAAGCCGCCAAAGATAAAATGACCGTCGTCGATTTCACGTGCGGCAGCTTGGGGAGAACATCATCACAAGTCCAAATGTTGAATACTGTAGCATTTGATGTCAGCTTCCATCGACAGTGATCCTATATCAGGTCTCTAGAAAAAAGACGAGCGAGGACCCTTTCCAGTTGCACCAATGAAAGTCACAAGTAAAGAAAACGGATTTCAAGGGGCGTTAATAATGCAGTCCGCTGAATGAATGCATGTGCTTGACCATCAAGTTTATGACTCGTGCGTATGTTATCAAGAAGACGGCTGAAGGCGATCAAGTAGGCAAATTGCCCCCAAGTGTCGGATTCGTATTACTCATACATGGGTTTCGTACATTCATCCTCAGGTCCCAAAGAATCCTCAGACTCTCTAGAACATGCTTCCCTCGGGTGGCTGGGGAAGCTTGCGGTTCGCGGGAGAGGCCATTTCCCTGCGTGATGACGAGGGTCAGTCACATACTCGGAGACAGCATCGAGGTGGAGGGACATATGACAATACAATATAACGGACAAGGCAGACGAGAGTGATAGCTCACCTCCGGATCTCGACCAAGACCGTCTCTATGCTCCCGTTGCGGTTCCAGTACGCGAGCACGGGGAGCTGTGCGGGGTTCACGACACCGTCGGTCTGCGAGACGAAGGGCAGGTTCACGCGGGAGAGGAACTGGCGCGCGCGAATCAGGCTTCGAAGTTCGTACACGATCGAAGACAAGCAGCCGGGACAAACACACACCTGCACGGTCGGCGGCGCCTCCGGATAGCTCTCGCCACACGTGATCTTGAGGGAGTAGATGCGGTTCTCGTGCACCGTCTGTTGGCGGGCAGCGGGAGAAGGAGGTCAGGGTCAGCGGCGGTTCGACAGCGCCTCGCGCGGTACAGCACAGAACGCACATGCCCCGGACCGATGATCGTCCCGTTCCAGTGGCTCATCATGATGTCGTCGCCATCCTCGAGCCCATACGAACACGACCCATCGCCGATGCCTTTCTCGCCCTTCTCGAGCTCCTCCAGCAGGCGGAAGTTGCGTGGGACTGTAGATCGGTGCAGTCAGCCAATCAGTCTTTGCGTTGAGATCCAAAGAGAGGACGCGGCGCGAGGCTACTACGAGAAAGCGCAGACGCGCGCGATGGTAAACTTGAAAAGCTGACATACCCTTGGCCATTGGATTGTGGATGGATGTGGATGTGAGATGAGAGTGGATTGGGCAACCGCCGTGTGGGTCAAGAGTGACGATGTGACGATTGTGACGTCCACAGCCTCGGAATCGAGCCGATCCGGCGCAGCGAGCCTCGTCTGTATCCCTCATCTGTATCCATCAGTGGGAGTCGAAGGGTCCATTGGGCATATCACCCACTCTGATTGCTTGTACCAAAACTATCCCTTCGGCTACCCATCTCTCTAACTACTTCGACTGTTGCCATGTTTGGGGGCGCCGCGACGAATCCATACGATGAGACCGTCAGTGAGTGGTCATCGCTGCAGCAGTCACTCGTTCTCCGCCCTCTCTCATCCTGCTCTCCATCCTGACTCCCCTCACTCCATTCCTGGCTCCCTCTCTTGCCCCGGCTCCAATGCATTTGCCTATCTAACAAAAAACCCACGCAGCCAACGCAACGGCCGAGACGCTGACCTCAGAGCCCTGGGACCTCATCCTCTCGCTCTGCGACACCGTCTCCTCCGCATCCCCGCCCTCGACCGGCGCGCAGCTCGTCATCGCCTCCCTCCTCAAGCGCCTGACGCACCGGAACCCCAACGTGCAGCTCTACACGCTCGCGCTCGCCGAGGCGCTCCAGAAGAACTGCGGGATTGAGGTCTGGCGCGAGCTTGCCGGGCGGGCGTGGACGGCTGGGCTCGAGCGCGTCGTCACTGATCGGGTGAGGCGATAGCTGCCTTTCTCACTCCATTGATTCGCTCACTGGCTCGCAGAATACACACGAGAAGGTCCGCACCCGCGCGCTGCAGCTCGTCGCACAGTGGGCAGAAGAGTTCGCGCACGACAGCACGCTGGGAATCATGCAGGAATGCTACGAGAATCTCAAAGCGAAGAGTGCGTTTATCGAAGTGCTCGATATGCCTGCCGACTGCGCTGACGGAACTCAGATTACCGGTATGTGGAGCCCGAGACGGCGCCGCCTCCTGCGGTCGACGACGCCGTGCGGCGGCGCGAGGAGGAGGAGCTCCAGCGGGTGCTCGAGCTGAGCATGAACGACCGCGGCGGCCGGCAGTGGGGCAGCAGCAGCAATGCGAACACAAGCAACAACACGAACACGGGTGCAGGCGCCAGCGGAAGCGGGGCATCGTCGAGTGCCGTCAACGGCTACGGTTCTAGCCCAGGGCCAGGGTCGGGATACTCGGCTGCAGCTGGATATTCGGCGGCTGCGGCGGCGACGGGGTATTCCGCAGCTTCGGCGTCAAATTCTACCCGCTCCATCAGCCCAACTGCTACTGCCATAGGTGCGCCAGCGGCCGCCTCGACAGCGACGACAGCGACCGCGACGACGGCAACGGCCACGCCAACGGCGACGTCGACGACTCCCTCGCTCACTGACCCGAGCAGCATTGTCACGCGCGTCCGGGCGCTGCACCCGTTCGCGCCCACGGAGCCGGGGGAGCTGCCGTTCGAAAAGGGCGACATCATCAAGGTCGTGGATCGGGGCTACCGTGATTGGTGGCGCGGACAGCTCAAGGGCCGCACGGGCATCTTCCCCGTTAATTACGTCGAAGCGCTACCCGAACCGACGCCCTCCGAGCTGGCGTCAGAAGCTGCAGCCGAAGCCAGCGTGTTTGCGCAGGCGGTGAATGTGGAGAAACTGCTGAACATGCTCAGGGCCCTGGATCCGAGCAAGGGCGACAATCTGGCGGACGACGAGGAGCTGCAGGAGCTGTATCGGAGCTGTATGGCGCTGCGGCCGAAGATTGTCAAGTTGATTGACAAGTACAGCCAGAAACGGGGTGCGGTTCTTCCACTTTGCTCCTCGGATCGAGACTGAGATTGATGCAGCGGACCTTGTTTCGATGAACGAGACGTTTGTGCGCGCACGGACGATCTTTGATCGGATGATGGAAGATAGCCTCGCGCGGCATTCTGGCTTCGCGGGTGCTCCTTCTCCGTACGCTCAGCAGCAGCAGCCACAACAACAACAACCCTATGGATACTTTCCACAGGCTGGGACGCCGGGACCGTATCAACAGCAGCCACAGCAGCAGCAGCAGCAACAGTCGTATCCGTCGCCCCAGCCGCAGGGATATCCTCAAGCGGCGCAAGGATATCCGTCGCAGATGTATGCTAGCCAGCAGCCATCGCCGTATGCCGGACAAGGCCAGGCGGCGACGCCTGTGCAGCCTCAAGTGTCGGCATATCCGGTGCAGAAGCAGCCGCAGACTCAGCCGCAGACTCAGCCGTCGGGATATCCCGCCCAGCAACAACAGCAGTCGCAGCATCAGCCTCAGACACCCGTTTACCAGAGCCAGCCGCAGCAGCAGCAGCAGCCGGTGATGACGCCTGCCGCTCAGGCCCAATCGCCCACCTCGTCGTCTGCGTATCCTGCTCAAGCCCAGTTGCAATCCCAAGCACAGCCATCGACGTATCCTGCTGCTCAGCCTCAGCCTCAGCCTCAGCCACAACAGACCCAGCCACAGCCGCAGCCCCAGGCTCAACCGCAAACAATATCTCCGTACACTGCACAGGGTGTTTTGGCGTCGGTGTATCCTGAGCAGCCGGTGCAATCTCAGCCTCAGCCTCAGTCTCAGCCTCAGCCTCAAGAAACTCAGCAGCAGCAGCAGCAATCGGTCCAAGCACTTGCACAGTCGCAACAGTCTCAGCCTCAGGCCCAGCCACAGCAAACGCAGCAGGCCCAGCCACAGCAGACACAGACTCAGGTGCAGCCCCAGCAAGCGCAAGCTGGCCCGCCGTATGTGTACGACCCGAGCACGACCTATGCGGACCCGAATGTGCAAGCATGGGCGCAATACTATGCTGCTGGTGGGAAAGATCTGGCGGGGAGCGTGTATTTCGTGAGCGTGCCGGGAGTGACTGGCCCGGAGACGGCACCACCGGTGCAGCCCCTCCAGGTTCAGGCTCAGAACCAAACCCAGGCTCAAGCTCAAGCCCAGCCCCAGGCGCAGCAGCAAGTTCAAGAAGCTCAATCCGCCCAAATGTATGCCCAACCGCAGGCACAAGCTGAGCCCCACCCTCAGCCGCAACGCCAAATGAGTGCCCCCAAGCTCGAACCCGAGCCCGCCGAGGACCCCATTCCATACCTCCCGGACCCGTACGCGTCGTTCCCCGCCCAGGACCAAGTCCAAGCCCAAGCCCGGCCTGTGTCCTACGCCGCAGCCCAGCCGCAACCAGCGAGCGAGCTTGCGCACGCGCTGGGCAAGTACCAGGGCTACAGCCTGAGTGATCCAGGATTTATCGGCAGCGGCAGCGGCAGTGGCGAATCCTCCTCTGCCGCTGCCGGTGGGTCGGGCTCGGCGATGAACTCTCCGGTGTTTGCACAGCCCACTTCGCCGCCCACGACTACACTGTCCCCCGAACCGACCCTGACACCGGCTCCGGCGGCGGCGGGACCCAGCACGCCGTCGTGGGTCCTCCCGAAAAAATCGGCGCAGAGTCTCGGTGGGCCGAAGGGCGGGGTGGCAGGGTTGGCTGGGTCGTTCGATGGGATGCAGGTCTGATGAGGGGCACAGCACAAGGGACGGATTTCGCAGATTGTTCATATTCCATCATTACGGTGCAGAGTGGACCGCTTACCTACTGACAAGCTTGCCAACTATCTAATATTCATTCTCATTTTGAGCTCGAGTATTATTTGAGGGATGTAGTGTTGGCATTCAGCGGAAGTACGGGTAGATTCGATTCCGGGTTCTAACGGAAGAGAAAAAAAGAATGGCATCAACGTGGATTGAACACGTGACCTGTAGATCTTCAGTCTATCGCTCTCCCAGCTGAGCTATGACGCCGATGAAATAAATCTCACGAGTGACAATATGTCTCTTTCAAAGCCGAAGGCTGCAGAGGTCCTACTGACCCCATGCCGTTCGCTACATCGTGGAACTGATCGCTTGAAGCACGGGAGAGATGCGAGATGCTAGTCGCATCCCGCGCCGAGTGTCGATGCACGACTGGGGTCATTGTCCCTGGGGCCATCTGCTCTTTCGGACCCATCTCAGCCATTCCTTGGACACCACCTTCCCAGATTGAAAGTAATATTCAGAAGACGGCTTTGTTGGAGTTTACTGCCCCTCTGTCACCCCCAACTCCCGAAACGTGAGCACTTCTGACCCTCTGGCTGGTTATGCGGACTGCCAGTGACCAGCGACGGCCGCAACCGATTCTGGATACAGGCAGATGATGACCCAAGTACTGTATGCACCCTAGTCCTGTATCCGCTCGATCCGATCCTGCTCTAGTCTCGTTGGTAGGGAAAATGGGGGGTAACCACCTCCCATCCGAAAAAGGAAGGTAACGAGTACGTCATATCTTCGTCAAGATCACGCGGCTCTCCCACGTTCATCTCATCGCACGGTGCCCCGCGGCGGTATCCATCGACCCCAAAGAATTGGGCAATCACATGCCAGTGCGGGGACGTGGGTCCCCAAAGAACGGTTATCACATGTCTGTCAGCTAGACCGCAAGCGGAAAGGCGCGGGAGCCCCGCAGATTCCGGGAGATATCGTCGCTACATATCGATATCTGCGTGTGTTAATGTTATTTAGCGGTGGAGATAGTGTATCTGGAGGGAATGTGCACAAGGGGTAAATACAAGTGGCAATAGCAAGTAAATAAGTTTGGGCATCAGTGAGAGATTATGCGTAGTAGTCCGTCCTGCTCGGCCTCACGCACTGGCCTGGTCGACGTCCATGCGGGTCCCGCCGCGTCCCAAGTGAGATGGGTCGTCTTCCGCGTCTTCGGGAGGGGGCGTCGAGTACCTCGAACTCAGACTCATGGCGCCCAGTCCGATACCAGGACTCGGGGCGCTCGAGTACGCCCCCGGGCTTGCGGCGGAAGATGGTCCCGGGCTGGCTGTCCCAGATCGATCCCAAGCGGGGGTCGCACCGGAGCCGGGCCGGTCCGGGAGGTTGAGGCCATCCATGCCGCGCTGGATCCCCACCGTGCGCAATCGGTCTACCCAGCTGCGGAGGTGTCAGTCGTGTGGGGACACGAAACGAAACGGAGAAAAACACGCACGCGTCCGCGCGGTCCAAGCTCTCGCTGACGACAGTCGTCACACCCCGCATCATATCCAGGCTCTCCGTCGCAAGCACCAGGACGCGCTGAGCGGCCGTCAGGGCTTGCGCAGCCTCGACGGCCGTGCTGCCGTTCGATGCGCCTCGGCGGTGATGGCCTGCGTGGTGATGCGCGGGACGCATATGCAGGTGCGGGCTCCCCGGCCGCGATGCGATGGGACTGACGGGGCGCGGCGATTCGGCTGCAGCAGAACCGCGCTCTCGACGCGCGCCTCGACGAGCCGCTGTCCCCGTCCCCGTCAGGCTGACGCCCGTCACTGTGCTGGCGTCCCCCCCGCTCGGCGCCTCGGCACTGAATCGCTTGGGCAGATCGAGAATGAATCCGCGCACGCGGCCGCGGGCCGGTTCAGGGAGAGCTCCCCCGGCGTACTTGGACACGACACTCACGACCTGTCGGACGGTGTGAACGATGTCCGTTCGCAGATGCGTCAATGTGCGGAGATGTTCCGCCGTGACTTCAGGCCCAGCAGAAGCTGATGATGGGTGGCCCGGTAATGAAGCGATGAAATCGCGAAGAATGAGGATCTGGGCGTCGATGTGTTGTGTCGCATACTGTCGAGAGGGTGAAAGTCAATGGATTGTACTTACTCGGTGAGTGGACCTGACTGACCTGTAACCACTGCAAGCAATATCGCAACTTGCGCATGCTCTCATCACTGAGCGCCGCGCTCAATCCACCGGCTTCTAGCAGCATTGCCTGCCAGCCGCTTCTCCGCGCCACTTGTCTCTCTTCCCCGGCGTTGCTCGAAGTCGGACTCGTATTTGTACTGTCGACATCAATCTTCCGTCGGTCGCGATGAGCAGGCGGAGGCGGAGGCGCCGGCACGAATGGGGATGTCGCTTGACGTGAAATGGTCAGTGACCCTGTTGCATGGGAAGATATCTATCTAAACATACCTTGCATCCACGGTGGTACGTCCCCGCCTTCTTCCGGTCCTTCCCATCGCCGCTTACCCGGATTACCAGCGCGTTCTACTCCGGGTGATTCAGGTGTGTCCGTGCCCTTATCGCGGCGCGAGGTTGCTGGAACGGGGGTTGCACCGCGGTATCTGTCGATCTGCAATACGATGAACGTGCGTCAGCGACACCGCGGAAAATAGCGAGGCGGTATTGGGGAGATACGGGCAGCGATATACGGACAGATTGGCACTACAGGCCCGAGTACATGTGGAAGCCGCACAAGTACCCATGGCGCCGTGATATTCTGAACGATCGCAAGAGAGAGAGAGATAAAAGCAGGGCCTGGGAGACCAAGTGCTGAAAGAAGTGCGTTTACGTACCCGGTCAAGAACGCCTCCGGCAAATTCATCGATACGTTCTCCAGATCCGAGCGGGAGCCGGCTGCTCGCGTGACGGAGAGAAGAGCTTACGAGCTCGGACGTATACTGCGGTGAATCTCAGTCAGCAATCCTTGCGCCAGAACCACTGTATGCACACCTGCACAACCCGAGAGTTCGCCTTACCGGCTTCGTAGACTCTAAGTGCACCGCTGACAAGGGGCAGGCTCTGCATTCGCGCTAACGAAGGGTACTTGCTGCCGCTATCGTCATCCTCTTCCATTGTCGGCGGAGGCGTGGGTGGAGATGAGAGTGTCGTCATGGAGCGGTTGGACATGGATAGGGATAGTGCTGGGGTATGGCTCGTGCTCGTGCTCGTGCTCGAGCTGGGAGTCTGGGCTGACCGATTGGATGTATGAGCAGCAGCCTCCCCTTTGAAAATTCAGGGGACTGAGATGGAAGGGGCATGGGTGTCGAACATACCTGCACCTTTGTGTGCACTACTGCCGCTGCCGCTGCTGCTGCTGGCGCTGGCGCTGGCACCCCCACCACCACTGCTGCGCATAGCACCCAGCGCGCGAACTGCGATGCGTACACTCTCATCTTCCATCTCCAGATCCATCGTGTGCGGGACGGGTTGGGGCGTTGAGAAAGAGGAAGAGGAGGTGAGAGTCAGAGTGGAGGCGATGGAGGACAAGACAAGGGGCGTTGAATGCCATGTGTTTTCTTTTTTCGCCTAGATCTTACTTTACGCATGTGATAATCAACGTCAATAGTATCTAATTATCCCCCTTTGGTAAATCACCGCGGCCTCGAGGCAGCATGGATTGTATGAATGCCCTTACTAGAACGGTTCACAGGTCATTACACGACATACTATCGGTGACCAGAACGCCCCTTTCAGGCTTTCTAGCGTTTTAATGACCGAAAGTACCTCCTCCCGAGCATTTGATTGCCTGACGTAACACCTCCCAGGCTGCGCAGGGCCTCGATCGAGGGCCTGAGAGTCAGATTCACATGGATTGATTCAGGACTCTGCGAGCTCTGAATATTTATTTGAGCTCGACCGCCGTATCCTTGGAAGAAGGAGAAAATTCGATCTGTTTTCTAGCCTTTCAGACGCGCTGTTAAGTATCATGCAGTAAAAAGGGTATATAAAAGTGTCCTGTGCGATTCGAACTCGTGCAATTCAGCGTGATGGCCACCTCGTAGACACATCACGACATCAAAAAATATCCTCCCCCTCAGCGATGTTCTACGTCTCGCGCGGGCGCGCCGTCCCCCTCGCACGCACGGGAAACGCCAGCGCCGTCCGTCTTATACACCACAAGCTCGGCTACAAGGTCGCCAAGAACAAGCAAAAGGGCGTCGTCGAGTGCGACAAGGATGGCCGGCCTGTCGCACGGATGCGCGAAAAGTCTGCTTCGGTGGGTGTCGGGCGTCCCCATCTTTTGGCTCTGGAGCGCACTTGCAACGCCCTGCTTACTTGGCGTGAACAGATCTTCCGGGCGCTTCCGGCAAGCAGTTTGGGGCATGAGCTGTTCGAGAGCACGGAGCCGGGACGTGTGGAGGTGGACCGTCCGCTCATGAACCCTATGGAGCTGGGCACCGGTGTCGTGACGCGATTCGACGACAAAGACCCAACAGCACCGATGAGTGCCTTCGGAGTGCCGAAGCACATGCTGCTCGAGGTGCGTCTCTTTCTAGCTTGCCAGCATTTCCCTTCCTCTAAGCGCGGCGAACCTTTCTAGTTCCGTATTCTCGGTGCCCCCTGTTCAGTGACGACTACGACGACCCTCTCGCTTGTGCGCGCGCTCGAGGAGTCCAAAACTCGACCAGCCCATGTGGTGCTTAACGGCCGCGAAGGCAGCGGCAAATCCTTCCTCCTCCTCCAAGCAGCGCAGTACGCCTCGGCGTCCCGATCCTGGATCACCATCTACGTCCCCCGCGCACGCACGCTTGTCGATGGCTCCACGCCGTACTCGTACTCGCTCTCAACTCAGACCTATCTCCAGCCACGCGCCGCGCGGGTTCTGCTGCAGCGCATCGGGCGCGCAAACGCACATCTCTTGCCGCATATGCGCATGAGCTCGACTGCGACCTTCTCTGCGGATGGGGGAACGGCGGTGACCGTGCGGGAAGGCCAGCCGCTCACGGCCCTAATAGAGAACGGGTCGCTGGAAGACGGGTTACATGCGCACGCGGCTCTGGAGAGGCTTCTGGAGGAGTTGGGGAAACAGACGGAGTATCCGGTGCTGATTGCGGTCGACAACTTCCAGGCGTTGGCTGGACCGACATTATATCGGGATCCGCAATACAAGATGATTCGGCCGCATCATCTCGGTGTCCCGCGGCTTTTGCTCGAGTACGCCAGCGGGAAAAAACCTTTGGTGAGCACCATAGTGTGAATCATCATTGTTTCGCTCTTACGAGTATCAGGCACGCGGGATGTTCTTGGGCGCGCTGACACGCACAGATCCCCTGTTCCCTGTGTCTGACCAACTGGCGGACTCGCTGAAGATCTCCCCCGAGTTCGGACCTTCCCCGCGTTCCGTGCGGTACCGACGGAGCACACAGCTTGCGTCTTATCTGGAGAACACGATCGAAGCCCCCAGTGCGTGCGCTTTATTCGTTTCTCACTCCCCCGCTCATTGATGTCGTCAGTGCCGAAGGAGCTCGATCCGAATGTGTCGGAGGTCGAGATGCATGCAGCCGATCTCTGGTCTGGATGGCTAGCATTTGATCCCCCCGTATATGAAGACAATTTGGTCCCGACTGTGACAATGCCGGAACCCGCGCCGGTGCCAGCTAACATCTGGAAGAACATGGTTGTTGCCGAAGGTCAACAATCGGAAGACGTCTCTGGCAGGGGCCTCTTCGACACCGAGGACGACGTCCCCGTAGACGATGGCAAACGGAAGAAGAACCCGCCCAAGGCGAAGAAAGCCCAGGCTATTCCTCCTGTCAAGGCACTGCGGGCTATCCGGGTCCCGTCGACCATCTCCATCCGCGAGGCAGCGGCGCTGTTTGAGCTGTGGTTGGACGCAGGTGTCCTGCGAACAGGTCCGTCTCGCCATGATTCATGTTCCGACTGTGGAGAATGAAAACCACATTGCAGGTGGCGAACGGCGAGTTGGCCGTCGGGCCGATCTGATGATGCTAGACGGGTTCAGGAAAATGAAAGAGAATCCGGAGGCGACTTTCCGCGCGATGGAATCCGAATTCGGCAGCGCTACAACAGCAAAAGCCGATGAGCCCGCATCCCGAGCCACAGGCAAACCCGCGTTGGGACAGCCGCGGTGGATGGAAAAGAGTCAGGAGACTGCAAGCCCAGCGCACGATGTAGTCGAAGATTTTGTGGAAAGCGGGATGGCTGCTGGCACGGCGCAGCTGCTCGAAAATGCGTTTGAGGCGACGGAATGGAGCGAGCGAAAAGCGGCTGAGGCCAAAACCATGATATCGTTTGACGAAGACGAGTCAAGTGTCGTGGTCGACCCGTCGGAGGGCAGCGTCTCGACTTCTGCACGTGAAAGCGCGGATGGGCAGACTGAGCGCGGCAAGGAAGAAGACATCAGCATCACCGACCTTCTAGCGATGGCCAAGGGAACAGACCAGCTGAATCTGGGGGACAGCCCTGAGATTGCAGAGCTGCTCTCGGCCGGTTTGCGGAATGTGATGGAGAATCCAAAAGCACTTCAGAACCTGATGGGCCGACATCTACTCGCCACACCCCAAGAAGAGCCCACGGCTGAGGGCGGGGCGGATGAGCTGTTCCTTAGCAAATACACGGAGAGTAGCGGTAACCCGAGGGCCTTTGTTTGGGGCGGGCTCCTGGGCTCATTGCAGACGTACACAAACTAATAGAATAATGTGACTGTTATGCTCTCATCTACATCGAATCCTGCTCAGCATGTACCGAATTCTACAACTGTTGCAAGACTCGAAGAGATGCCATCTTTAAAATCAGTCCAGTGGTCGATTGTCACGGGTATCCCGAGAACAAGCGAAAGAGGCAGGCATGAACTTACCGAATGGTTTAGACCGAGGGTAGCTTACACTGACAGAGGCTCGGAGGCAGACCACCAGAGACATTGGGAATCAATCGCACTACGGAAATGGCCATTGCAGAAGCGACCCAGAAGTGGTACGTAAACTATATGAATCCAGTCTGGAAACGAGCCACTCATGAGTGCCGGCCAGTATCGTTCTATTTTACACGCTGCAAGCGATTCTTTTAGTCGCCAGACACTATGCGCGATGGTGGTTACCATGGCCGATTAGTCAAAGCAAATCTGGCTGGCGGTCGCAGGAATATGGATAGCGCAGTGCTGACAGATGACTAGTCAGAATGGTTTGGAAACTGCTGAACAATAAGCAATGCAAGTTGATACAAATGCCATGAGACCGATTTCAAGGCGTCATAGCTCAGCTGGGAGAGCGATAGACTGAAGATCTACAGGTCACGTGTTCAATCCACGTTGATGCCATGCTTTTTTGTGTGCCCTGTAGAGGATGTTGCTATCGCATAGCTCATTGACATCCGTTCCCCTCTCGGCATTTCGTTTTAAAATCACATGTTGCCTTCAAGTCGATCATTGCCCTAGCCCAGGCTGTCCAGAAGCCAGTAGCAGAAACTGCATTCACAGAGATTCAAAACAGGTCCACGTGCAAACTACGAAGGATGCAGTACGCAGATGTTCATCGTCACTGCGCTAGTCAGGATATTATCTTCCTGGTGCTAGCATTTTGAGGGACTCGTACCCCCATGGTACACATCAACAGATGACCTCAGGATTGTTACGCCAGATCCAGGCATCAGTACCGCTGACGTCCACTACGTCCCATCCTCTCTTTTGCAACACGCTTGCGCTCCCGCTCCTCCTCCTTGGCACGAGCGCCCCTCGCTCGCGGGTCGATGACCTCGTAATCTCGCTCGGCTTTCACCGTCTCTTCCATATTGTCCTTCGGGAAGTGCAGCGAGTGACCCATGAAGCCCCAGTCGTCGTCCACTTCGATCCCGGGATCTTCCTCCCCCGCACCGGCGGCAGGTTTCCCCGCTTCGCCCGCATCAGCACCCGCATCCATGTCTACGTCCATGGCGGTGGGCTCGTCCTCTGCGCGGGAAAGTTTGCCGCGGAACGAATTGAGCGCCGCGAGGACGTCCGACTCGTCCCGGCGCGCGCCTTTTCGATGGAGGCCTTTGCCCTTAGAGTACTTCGCCATCTCCTCCTCCAGATACGACTTGACCTTCTTCGGCTTGCGCAATGCAGCCAGTTCCTCGTCGTCGGAGTCGGCACCGCCCCGGCGCTTCGCAAGGGACCGAATGTCGGCTTCCATCTTGGCGATCTCGTTCTTGCGCGTGTTACTACAGTACAGACAGGTTGTGAGCGGAGGATAGCTAGGGGTGATGATGCCAAACAGACGCTGAAGATGCCGCTTCCTCCGCATGTTTGGCACGGATCTTGGTGATGTCTTCGTCCTTCTTCGTGGGTTTCGCTCGCTCGATAACTTTCGAAGAAGGCTTGACAGCGACGAAGTCAGGGACGGCAATTGCCGCATTGGGGTCGTCCACCACTGCAGCGCGTAAATCAGCGTTCTTGGGAGAATAGGATTCCAATGCGCACAGTCCGGCCGCACGATTTCTTTCTTCTTGATCAGTACCGGAGCGTCGTCTTCGTCCGCGCCAAAGCTGAGCAGCTGCACGTTCCTGTCTTGCTCGTCAGATCGTGAAAGCGGATCCATTGGAAACCCGCAGACTTCTTAGCACCTCTGCGACGCTCCGCTTCTTCGCGCTCCCTTTGAGACTGCTCTCGGGCCCGTTGTTGAGCGCGCTTTTCGGCTGCTGTTATTCGAGGGATTATATCGTCGAAAGGGTTGTCTACTATGCGAACAGTTTTGATCTTCGGAGGGCTGGCACTGATGAGAGAGGAAAAGGAGCATAGAGCAAATCACTTACTAAACTGGACGGCCTTCCTCCCCCAGTTCTGGTATCCGCGTTGAGTCGAATGATGATGATCCTGCTCTGCAAGGACGTACCCAATTCCCCAATTTTCATGACATCTACACAGTTGGTAGATTAGCGAAAAGTCTTTCACTGTGCAAAAAGAGACGAACTGTATACCGTATCTCCCACGCAGCGTCCAAATAAGGTGTGCTTGCCGTGCAATTCGTCCGCGCGGTCTGCGATCCAATCCAGCCCTCAGCGATTGACCCAGGCAGCGCGGTCGTGATCCTCCTCACCGAGCGTGATGATGAATTGCGAGTCGTTCGAGTTCTTGGTACCGTTGTTCGCCATAGCTACGAGTCCTCGATGCGGGAAGCGCAGCCGCGGGTGGATCTCATCCTCGAAGGGCTCTGTGCCCGAAAATGGATGAGAACCACGGACTGCCGCACGCACATACACACAGACGCACCCCCGTATATGGACTCCCCACCGGCACCCGTGCCTGTCTTATCTCCCGTCTGCACCAGGAATCCGGGAACGACACTGCAGCGGCGTCAAACGCGGCTCCACAGTCGAAACACGCCCGCGTACCGGTGGAATATGACATTGTCGTAGTACCCTACCAGGACGATGAACCACAGGTCCGGAGATGGGAGTCGGACTCACAGACCCTCCAGCGCCAGTTGGATGAAATTGCGGCATGTCTTGGGCGTTTCCTGGCGGGATCTCGTGACAAGGCGCCCACGGGTGCGGTGGAGGCATACTGACTTTGGACCAGAGCTCGATGTCGATGTCCCCGACCGTGGTCTCGATGATGACGCGCCCGTTGGTGGGGAGGGCCATGGATGCGAGTGGAATGCGAGCCCGGCGATTCAGGGCGTGGGAACGGCATTGAGAAACGATCACGAGGACTGCAAGCCTGTGCAAACATGCTCTGTGACGCTTCCTCCCGTCCTGTATCGAAGCCTGTACATACACAAACGGGTAGGCGAGAGCTTTATTGCTGCGAGAAACAAAAAGGAATCACGGCACCCTTAGATTTTTCGTGATTCTCCTCGTGTTTGGGCGGTGCTGATATTCAGCACCAGCACCCATAATCAGGAGATTCTTCCTATATTTCTTGAAGCTGCTCGTTGATGAGATCCATATATTACGCACCGGCTGAAAGCCGAAGTGGGTGCATGCTGGACGCAAAAGTGTGCGTGATTTCTATACTATCCAGTGTACAGTGGGACGACCCAGATCTGTGGAAAGAAAGAAAATGACCCCAGCCGGAGAGAGTAGATAAGCAAATCCCATAGACCTTCCTTAACTCCAATCACGACGTAGGATCGAATGATGTTCACCATCGGGACTCGGAGTGCTCTGGCGAGCTCCCCGAGGTCTCCTCGTGGTCCTGGGGACTCCATTGTTAGAACTTCGGCCGAGATGAGCCAAGCACCGGTTTTCTGACTCTAAACCGAGGCTGCGTCGTATGCAGCGGAGCACCGCGGGTAATGATCTGCGGGTAATTAGAATGACGTGCCCTCTGTGCTTTCGGAGTGCCAGTCCACGTAGTCTCAAAGGCATGTCTTCAGGTAGCCTTGATGAGTCAATCGAGCTGACGCAGCATCAGACGCACTGCGTTGATGAACTTGAGTTTGTTCCCGAACTTGTCATCCTCAGCCATGGGCACAGCCACGTCTTGTTGTCGTGCTGATGTCATGTATGGAAGCCTACAAGAAGGCTATTACTATTGGTATCAATGATGCTGCAGAAAAGGGCGAACTGGCATCGATGTGTCATCCTTCGACAAGGCTCGGTGACACGAGCACTCTATATTTCTCGAAACCAGCCCTACGGAAAAAGAGCATGACACGAAACGATTCGACCATGCGTCTCCTCCCTCCGGTTAGCTTTGCCTGCGTTTTTCCTGGCGAATTGCGGGCCGTCCTGCGCCACCGTGAACGCGAATACATGCAAGGCGCGGCATATATAAAGACGGCGGCTGAACCCTGGCAGTCTCATCTACAGCAACAATGGCCTCCGGCACTACTTCTTCGACTACTCCCAAGCTCTTCACGCCGGTGACGCTCGGCAGCGTCACCATGCCTAACCGAATTTGTGCGCACCCTCTTGTCCAGTGCCGATCCAGCATCACTGACAGTGGGCATCAGTTATGGCGCCGATGGCGCGTAATCGGTCGTCGGACACTGTTCCCAACGACATCATGCGGGAGTACTACGTGCGGCGCGTACGAGGCGGCGCGGGGCTGATCGTGACCGAGGCGAGTCTCGTCAGCAGGCAGGGGTGCGTTCTAGACTCCCATCCATCACCGTGCCAAGGATTCTACGGAGTTGCAGGACGGAATGGCAGGACTCGCCGGGAATTTGGAACACTGAGCAGATGGAGGGATGGAAAAAGATCGTTGATGCGGTGCATGAGGAGGGTGGGCGCATATTTTGTCAGATCATGCACAGTGAGTCCTCTGTTGTGTCACTGTCTTCAACAATTGGGCTCACCAATCTAGCCGGGCGTGCATCTCATCCCGACGCACCACATCAGATCGCTTCGGGAGAGGTGCGCAAAACGCATCAGACCGTGGAGTCGTACTTACTCCGATTCCTAGCCTGTGTGGGCCCCATCGGCCGTCCGTGCCGCAGGGGGAAAGTTCCGATTCATACCTGGAGTACCGGGTTATGCGATGGTGAGTATCATTCACTGCCGATAAGGCGACATGTATGTGCTCACCCTCTGGCCCAGCCGACCGAGATCCCAGATCCATGGAAGATGGTCGAACTGTTCAGAATTGCGGCACTCCATGCCAAAGAAGCCGGGTTTGATGGTGTTGAAGGTGTGCTAGATCTCCGTTTGTCTACTATGAATCCCGGTCGTCGCTCATCTCTGCGCACTCAGTGCACGGTGCGAGCGGGTATCTTATCACCCAATTCCTGGATCCCAGCGTCAACAAACGCACGGACGAGTGGGGCGGCAGCCCAGAAAACCGCGCGCGGTTCCCTCTTGAAATCCTGAAGGCCGTACGCAAAATCTGGGGCCCGAACGTCGGATTCAAGATCAATCCTGGTGCGTGTCCACCGTGTCACCAGCACCAGCACGTCAGCGCTAACCATAGCCCACCAGCCGGGGGATACAACGACGTGGGCTTCCCGCTCGAAGAAACGATCACATCCTTCGGCTATCTCCTTTCCGAAGTCGACAAGCTCGGGCTGGCGTACGTCTGCATCCTGCGCTACCTCGACCTCTTCGACCCCGCCAAACGCGGGACGCCGCACGATGTGTGGGAGATCTACGCGCCGTATCTGAAGAACACGCCGCTGATCCCCAACGGCGGGATCACCCCTGAGCAGGCTCTCGAGTGGGTCGAGAGCGGGAAGTTCCCGGCTGTGTCCATCGGCATCCCGTGGATGTCGCACCCGGACTTGGGACGCCGGATCCGGGCGGGGAAGCCGCTCGACAACAAGCTGGACGGGCCGCATGTTTATGGGGGTGCTTTCGAGCCGTCGATCGGGTACTTGGACTATCCGGAGGCAACATACGATTAGATTAGAACCCGGTGTTTTCGAGTCAGTCGATAGCGCACAACGATCATTTAGACGAGAATCTCGCTCCACAGTTTCTTCACTGCCATCAATTATTGCCGAGTGCGATTGAAGCGCCCTCTCCACCCACCCCACTTGTTGTTGTCCAGGTGGAGAGCATCGCTCGGGAGCAGTCGCTGTCATGCCAGGTCTCAAGCCCTCTGACATATCCCTGAAGGCTCCCCTTGACATGGCAAACCCAACACTAGGGACCGGAGGATCCGAATAGCACTTTCACCTTCTGCTGCGTGAGCGCCGGTATTTTGAAAGACCCGCAGCATCATCAACTGGGTATCACGGTCTGAGATACGTTCTGCCCTGTGAGGATGGAATATCAGTCGGATGACCTCATCCATGCTCCAGCGGGCAGGTCTGATGCATTCATCCTCCAAGCTAGGACAACCAGTCAGAGCCTCGTGCGCCGGACGAATGATTCCTGGCGTCAGATCCAAGGGCCAGCACTCTGTCTCATTCATAGATCATGGAGGCGGAGATGCCACAGCAACTGCGCAGTGCATCTGGAACAGAGCGACGATAGGCACGGCAATGGTTACGCTCGACCCTGAATCAGTCATCATTCCTGGAGCACGGATTGCGACGCTATCCTAATTTCTGGGCGGGAGGGGTTCCGATGAGCGATGAACGAGCAAATCGGTCCACAACTATCGAATAGCAAGCGGAGCAGCGTGACTTCGTAGTCCAATATGCACTCGAAGAACAAAGGAAGCACAGTAAACATTCGGTGGAGCAAAACAACGAGAGGCCAAGAGCGGAAGAGATGTTGATGATGATGTGGTTGCGGGCCCCAGGAATGCGACCGAGTCGAGAAAGAACAAGACGAGTGCTCCGTGCAAAAGAAGCGGCGAAACGCGGACAACGGCATGCACGTTGGAGCGTTGTAAACTGCAGGACAGATGCAAGGGGAGGAGACCATGGCGGCCCGATGCTGCTTCTCCTGTACCCATTGCTCGACCGGTGTAGCAACGAGAGCGCATGGCAAGCTTAGCACGAGACTCGTGAAACAGAGAGCGTTGCGTGTGATGAGGGATGAGAATGAAGGAGAGAAGATAGCGACGGGAAGTGGATCCGTCGTCGCCGTGCCGTTACTCGATCTTGCGCGCTGGTGTGGGATCCGGCTGTGTACGCGATGGTCTGGGTACCGAAATCGAGGTTCAGCGCGTGAGCATTCGATCAAAAGTGCAGGGACAACACCGAAGAAGAGACCAGCCGAAGTGAAACACATAAGAGCTGGCATGGCTCTAAAAGGCAGGGGACGCCCAAATATCGGCTGGCCACCTCTCCGGCGGCCCTTGGTCGTAATTTTGGCGCTCCGTAGATGTCCGTGCCCCAGATATTGTCACTGCTAGCCAGCTCGTGCTCCAGATTTGATTTTGAGCCTGTCGTATAGTCAACACGAGCAAGTGGGTGGCCTTCTTAGCCAGCATCGCCTTCCAGAAGCGATCATCATCCTCGATATGTATCCGCTTCATTGCACGGTCCACAGCCACATAGCACTTGGCTCGTCCATCCGCGATTCAGAATCAGACATATGTAGCTGAATACACCGTAGAGGGTACGACTCAGGATAAGCTCGGGCGGAACAAAGATTGACCGGCTGTGCAGTCCAGTGCGCGGTTCCAGCAGATTGGTGGACATCCTCAGCCGTTCGTGATGTCGTGTCCAGGAGGTGCGGGTATATCAAATGGCTGTCGTAGAATGTCCTTGGACGAATGTACTGTTACTGTACAAGTGGTGGTCTCGTTCAAAATACAAGAATGGTAGTCGACAAAACAAGTCAGCATCAGTGATGCTCTCTTCCAGCACTTCTTCATCCTCACCCAGTGTCGTCGGGCCGTTCCTGTCGGCGCACAGACGTACTCGTCCTACGGGACCAGTGATCCCCTGTCTCCCTTTTACAATGTAGAACAATCCCCCAAGTCGCAAAACTATGCCGCAACAGCCCGTTGACCTGGCCACTCGTTCTTCCAAAAGCGATGGTTCTCGTCCAAGAACGCGCGCACCTGCGTCTCGTCGACCTTACACCGCCGGACGACCCCATCCCCCTTCTCTCGCCCCGTCGCCTCGTCGACCGGGATGAGCGTCGTATCGGCGCGACACAGGAGCGCCTGCCGCAGGAAGTCGAAGCAGTGGTTCGCGTGCCCGAACGACGCGGCCTTCTCCGCGTCGGTCTTGAAGTAGCCCTTGCGCGCGGCGTTGTATGCGAACCGGACGCCGTTGACGCAGTGCAGCTGGTGGTACATCGAGACCGCGAACGCCGTGCCGTTCGGCCCCAGGCGCACGAACCCGGAGTGGGGGGGCACGATGGTCGCCCATTTGTGG